TAAAAATTTTTAAATTGTGATTTTTGTGAATATATTGAATAAATTGATTGCCATAAGATTAAACACAAGAATAGTATTAGTTTAACAATATGCTCAGTTTATTTAAATCATGGCTTAAGCAACATTTTTATCATTTATATAAATAATTTTTTATTTTAGTAAAGCCTTCAAATTTTTTTTTAGCAATATCATTGAGCTATCATGTGCAAATTAATGATCAATTAAAGAAAAATCATAGATTTGTTTTTTTTGGCTTTTGCCCATGAGTATGAATTTGTTTCAATGACTTCTAAAGAATGTTTGCAGTTTGGTTGTCATGATGAATATGTTTAATTTTCTTGTGGCTTTTTATGTATGTTGTGGTTATTTGTGCTGAGTAAGAAAATTATATAAAGAAACCAAGTGAAAAATGAGTCTTTTGACATGAAAAGAAATATGATACACATCTTGACTAGTTAGATATTTATGACAATTAATGAAAATGAGTTGATGATATGTTTATAGAGTTATGCACGAAAAAACATTTTTTCCAAGAGAAGGTTACATAAAGAAAAAGAACATGTACAGTTTTTATGACAAAAGTCTTATCTCTATACTACATTCTAGTAGTTGAAAATTTTGTGAGCATTGTGCTAGAAAATTAACATCAAATTGCTTTGATGTTCAAATTTACAATTCAATGGATTTTTTTGGATATATATATGGGATCTATCCTTTCTATTATATCTCACAAATTATAAAGCTGTACTATCTATACTTCATTGATTATTATTTGAGGTTTAAATGGATGTGTTTTATAAATTAGAAGTCTAAAATTTATTAAGCTAAGAAGTTAAAAGGTCCAAGTTGGGTGTTAGAAGACATCTAAGATATTTAAAATTAAACAAGGCCAAGTAACATAAATTTAGAGAGTTTGAGGTGTATTATATGTTGATAGAGATAGGGTGCGGCTAATAATCCCTCAACTGGGGCTAATTGACCTTCATCCTACTATACAAACTTCACTCTTTGGAGCGATCCGGCTATAGGGTTAGTGTGGTAAAAAGTAAACTTCGCTAGTTCTAGTATTTCTAATTAACGTCAAGGATGCCAGGGTGTCAAAAGCCACGGAAGACGTTTCAAACTCGGTTGATCATCACTGAAAAATCCAAAAAAAAAAACTGTTATGAGATGAACTCATATCCACTAACTTTTCCTATCCAAGCCAAGAGCGGAGTATATTGAAGATAATTTTAGTCTAAACAGCTTAGATTTTGAATTTCCACATGTAAGGGTATTCAAACTTGCAATGACTTCTGCTCTATCAGCTTTCACTAGGACTACTCGAAGGTCTAGAGCGATGAAACCAGATCTTTTGAGATCGTTCAACAATACTTCAACTCAATTTAAATTCTGAGAGATAAATTTTTTTGGTAATAATCGCATCCAATGAGGAACTAAAATTGTACAAGTCGGCTAGAAGGGAAAAGCAGTCTTACATATGTTACTTAATATTCGTGTGAGCTTCGTGTTGTGAAACAACACTAGGAAGGAGGAAAAGTACATGGACTTTGATCAACCATCTTCACATCTTCTGAAACCACTAAGGACAACACAATGGAGTCCCCATATGTTCTTGCAATTCTCTTGCTGGCACTTATGCTAGGACATCGTGCATCAATGGCCACAGCTTAGAAGATGGTCTTTGCTCCCTACTTGATTTACGCATAGGATTCTATCGACACGTACAAGTGAGAACTCGAACTCGCTCAAAGTAAGGGCATTGACACACTCGCATTGAACACCAACGTCTAAACATCACTTGTGCTGACCAAACATTTGCATCAATGAGCACGTTTCCGTTGCCCGCAACCTTGATGTGGCTACTCGAACGCAGAGGTGGCTGTCAGACTTATCCGTGGCTTTTGACACTCTTGCATCTTTGACGTAGATTAGAAAGACTAGAACTCGCTAAATTTGTTTTTTACCACACAGATCCTATAGCCCAAGTGCACCAATGAGTGACGCCTGTATACTAGGATGAGGGCTAATTAGCCCCAGGTGAGTGATAACTTACCATCTCATTAAAGTAAATAATCCACAGAAAACTGATGTTGCTGAGGAGATAAATACAATTTTATAAAAATGAACAATAATTATGATGTACCAATAAATTCTCTAACACAAATTTTGGAAAGAGATTTTTAACGCAGCAACTTACTTCTTCTAGTTGATTAATTACATGACAGTATTTGCGTAAAGCTATGAATGATCAACACATTACAATTTTTTGTATGTAATGCATACTTGCAAGTTCTCACCTCGAAAAGTTGCAAGGTTGTGAGTACTTCTTTGTATCTTTACTTCGTATTGTTTGTCCGAAAAATAACGTGATGAAATACAGTGCTCTCTCCCTCTATAAATATAGAGCATTTAGATTTTAGTTGAAAATTTTGAATAAAAATATAGATCACAATGAAGTGATAAGAAGTTAAAATAGATTCTTGAACTTTGTCATGTCAACATCAGGCGAACATGATTTCAACTGGCAAGTTGGTATTTTCATGAACGCTCAGCTGTGATGAACAGTGAGGGGAATTGAACTCCAAGTCAATTCTTGGAGTTCGCACAGTCGTCACTGTTAAAGACGTATGTACAGTACAGTAAGCTCAACTCGGAAACCACGATCTAACCTTTCGCAGTAGATCGACATGCGCACGAGGTTCCGGTCCTCCGGACGCGTTTGGAGCGACCAACAGGGTTTGGACTCGCGCGACAACTGCAGCAAGGGTCTTGCTTCCGGAGGTCTACAACGCGAGCATGCGCTTAACTCCACCCACACAGTACAGTTGAACCATACCGTGGTCACTGTGGTGAACAGCCGCAATCCGGGCACGAGGAACCGGGTAAAACTACGTTCTGTAGATGGTTCCGAACATGTGGTCCGAGATAAAACAATCGATGAGGGTTCAAAAGAATGATGGTCCTTGAGAGAGGGAGATATTTTGAACTCCGCTGTCTTGCACATTCTTGGATCTGCAACTGATTCCTTCTTGTCCATGCTCAGTCACTAAACATTTTCCCTTCCTTATATCTCGGAAACCAACCACATTGCAAAATTTCCGTTGAGCAGAAATGGACGAAAGTTGAGGAGAACGAAAGCAATTTCTCACATCCCAGTGCTTTGAAACATCCGTTTGAACGTAAAGTCTGCATGAATTAGCAAACGCTCGTGCCAACAAAAGACGAGTTTTCAGTGGAGCTTATGGCGCAGAGTACTGTCCAAGTCGAAGGGAGGAATTTCAAGGGGCCTTTGGAGATGTTAGGGGACATATTGTAAGCATCTGGGTGCATGGAATCTGAAACACGCCCGTGTCTCCGAGCTGCAGAAGAATAAGAGAAATGGACTTTGTGCCGTGGTGCTTCTTCGGTCTGAGCTATGGAGAATACGCAGCAAGCTTGTTGGATGATGCCGACAGTCTCTGGTCCAACTACAGTAAACATTCGCTTAAGTCCGCAACTTGATCCGGGAAATCTGGTGCGGACGTAACTGAGATGCGAACTTAACTCCTCTCGACCTCCGTGCGTCAGTTCGTTTCTCTCTTCCTCCCATCCTGCCTTCGGTTTCCATCTCCCACGCAGTAACCTCAAGCAGAAGTTGAAGAAGCCTAATCAACCCCGCTTGTTCAGGGTTAGCATCTCCTCGTTTATCCTCCCTGCCTCCCTCTTCCTCCTCCTGGCGTGGCCTCCGCTCTGCTGCGAGCAAGGTTTGAGATCGTCTCCCAGTGAAGAGGTAGAGGGGCGTCAGCACACTTCACTCACTACCTTCATAATGCTCTTCACTTGCTTAGGAGATAGGCAGGTGGTTTGGTGGGTGACGATCGTCAACAGCAGCTTCTATTTTGCTCAAGGAGATTTGGAGCATTTGCATCGCAGCCAAGTGAGACAGCCGCTTCTATTTTGCTCAAGGAGATTTTCTGTAAAATACACTCTTGAGAATTGATCCAGGAATTTAGCGTTGTGAAGCGAATGTTTACTGTACTGTTAAGATATCTCAAGATTTAATGCCTCGTAAAAGTCAAGGCCTAGGAGGCCAAATGGATAACAACAAAGGGATCCAAAAGCCCCATTCAGTCCCAGTCATGCGGTAGAGTGGAATCTAGAAAACATTGAATCGAGATTTCTGAAATCACTCCATTCTTCAAAGTATACAACAGTAAATGTATATTTTTATTCAAGTGGAATACTAACCCTGTAGCTCCAAACAAATATATTAATAATTGCATTAAATGAATATATGCAAGCATTCACAAACAGAATATCAGAATGGAATAAATAAATTGTAACGAAACATGTGGTTGCATGTTATTTTTGATAGCATGCATAACACTCGAGATGAATGACGGTCCATTATTTGGTTCTTTAATCAACAAGAGTGTTGATACATTTAATGGATTTTTAAATTTTTTCAAATCTATACCATGGATGATTCTTTGCCTCCATTCTAAATAGTTTTTTTATTTAATGAATGAGTCATTCAACATTTTAACATTATATATACAAATAATCAAATACAAACATTTAATTCAAGATTTTCAATAATTTTGATAATCATTCATTCTATCAATTACCATAAAATACAAAAACGTGCACAAAGCATCAATCTTCACTCAAACATATCTAGATAAGGATGGACAATCTGACCATGCGATCAATCAGGCCCTGAACAAACAAATCACGAACCGAGATAATTGTATTTATGTAAAGATTTCCACTCATTTTTCAGATTTATCGTTACTTTGCTTCAAGCTTATTTTGAGCTTATTTTGATTTGAGTTGTGGACATCCACAGCTCAAATCTCTGAATTGTTTTCGTTGAATCTTCGTGACCCTCACTATACGAAAGCCATGTATTTTGTATCCCACCGGCATGGACCGTTGAACATACAGCAAGGAGAAGCAGAGGGCCGATCGTGCGCTGCACGGAATGTCGACTCATGATAAACAGGATGAAACATTCCACGAGTCGGACTCTGGCAGCAGTGAGGCACTTGTCCGGATTTGGGCTCCTGGGGCGAATTACGGCGATCCGAGTACTGTAATGCGCTCGGCGACGGATCGGTTTAATTCGGCCTTACTTACTTAAGAATGAACAGTGGAAAGCGCTGGATCGTTGGCCGGCTCGAGGACGGCGCTCGAGCCAACAAGCCGAGAGCGAGAGCGAGAGCGAGAGGTAGAGCTAATCCGAGGCTCCGGCAGATTCTCAGTTCCTGCCTTTTCTGCTTTGCGCCGAATGAGAGGCCCGTCCGCGAGCGAGAAACACCAAGCGGCAGCGGCATGGCGATGGCGGCGTGTCGGGCCACCACGCGCCTCGCGATCGTGGGCGATGTGGTGCGTACGATGTTTCGCTCGCTCTCTCGCTCTTCCCTCTGTTTGCTCAGTTTGCTTCCCGTGCTCGTTCTTGCTTTCAGCGGCGAGTTGCCGCTCGGGTGGGCAGGATTGGCTTGTTTGACGATTGACGGGTTTTTTTTCCCCTTTTTTTTTCTCTCCTGATTTCCGCCCATGAATAAGAATTTGCCTCGGTGACTTGCCAAAAAACGTTTGCAGTCCGGTCCCCAAGATGAATGAATTTGAATTTCCTGTATGGTCTTTCACGGATGTCGTGAGGCATTCGTGCTGACTGAGAGCAAATAATAGCGAACCGAAGTGGAGAATTTGAGTCTTTGAGAGAACAGCCCTTGACAACTCTAGTGACCCATGCTTATGCTATTGCACTGGAACACGCTTGAAAGAAATTCCTCTCGTCTATGTTTTAGAAAGCTTTCTGAACGTGACATGGCCCTGATCGCCTCCAGTGAAAGGTCACAGCTGAAGTTCATAATACGGATTCTGGAGTTCATAACCTTCTATGTGTTCTCACCGAACTAGAAAAAGAATGCCTTTTGTAGACAACACTTCGAGCTCTTATCCGCGTTTGAATGTCGAATAACTCGTGATTGTAGTGCTGTTGAAAAGTTTCCTGACTTAATTTGGACTTTTTCACTCCTCCATGAGCAATGTATGTAATTACCTGCGGAATTTGGGCAACTGGGCAAAGGGTAACATTTTAGAGTAGGACTGTATGACAATTTGAGTGAAAATAAGTACACAATACCAAGAAAAAGAGTAATGTTGGTTGAAATGTGTAGTACAAAAATCTATTGCAAGCAACATATCTTGATTTTGGGAATGATTGTGAGCACGAATTTAGCTAGGATGAAGCGCAAAACGTTTGTGTTTATTTCGAGTAGAAGAGTTTGTCTAGAGCTCTGTCGACGACCTCGGTTCCTGCTTGCCTGTGGTGCCTCTCCTGTATTCGGGGAGATCGTGGATTCGTATAGGTAACCTGACCCTCTGATATTACACATGTGGAATTCGTCTTACTAACTTTCTTCTTTTGTTTTGCAGCATGATGCCTGGGATCCTGTGGTAGACGCAAGAGCTCTTGATTTACTGCAGGTAGGAGGATTCTTTATTTGATTCTCAATTCTGCTTCATAATTCTCTGAATTGGCTGATCTTCTGTATCGCCTTGCATATGTGTGTGATTTTTCGGGACGACCCACACCTTTGTAACTTCGTCTGTTGTGTCTTTGGTTTGCTTCTTGTTTGCAGCCGGACCTAGTTTTATTCACAGGCACGACAGCTTTCATTCATTTAAAGAAATTGCCAGTTTCATTCGTAAGTTACGCCAGGTTTGAAGTCAATATTTAGAATACGGGGACTTATCATCCTGGCGGCCGTTGTGGCACTATGCGGACTTGTCGTCTCTCGTCCATCGGCTACATCCTGCAAATTTTTTTACGTGATTTCTCTTGCTCTTAGACTATTTTCTCACACCTCGTTTTGTGACAACAGGGGATTTTGGAAACAAGAATGTGGATGTGGTGTCTAGTATAAGTACTCTAAACTTCCCAAAAGCAGCGATACTTGGAAATCACGACTGTTGGTTTCCGTCAGGATCACCAGAGCACACAAGGTGGTATATATATCTATGTATTCTTCGACAGTAAAGTAACCCTGCGATTACTATTAGCATTTGTGTCAAGCAGTTTGCGCTAATTTCCTCTTCTCTGTTCAATGCAGATCGTGTAACCTTGAACGAGACCCTATTCAAGTTCAACTAGACTTGTGAGTAAAATGTTAAAAAGTTTTTGGAATAATCTTGGAACTCTGCAATCATTTCTGCAGAGTGCTTGATCCTTACCAACCTTCTCAGATTAATGGACTTTGAAAAATACTGGTGGTTCCGTATTGTCTTCTCTTGCGCTTATCGTGGCCCAATGGGATCACTCATATACGTCCTGTTTGATTCGGGACGCCAGGCTTGGTAACTCACATGTGGGGTATAAGCGGTTAGATTTTCCCCAACTGAAAATAAGCGTCGTAGGCGGAAGGCCTGGATCATGGGGTGGTCTACATATGCATAACAAAACAAAGCGATTGTAAGCTTTCCTTTCTACCTTTGATCTCCAGTTTCAGTTCTAAGGGTGAGGCGATTCTGTGGTTTCAATACACATGGAGATAGTTTTTGGAGGTTATTGACATTCTATGAAATTTTTATTCCTCCAGACCATTTTCCTCCGCAAGCTATTGGAATTTTATTTTTTTACCTCTCAATGTCAGTTAGTTTGTCTTGAAATGTGTATATGAAGGATACTGCGATCACACGAAATGATTTTGGATGCCATGCAACGTTGGACTTAGGTTGAAGGTTAATAGTTCAAGCATTGCACTTCGATTTATAAGGGAACTTTAGCTGAAAGAAGGAAGACTCAGAGGCTGAGGTCAGACTTTCTACAAAGGTTCCTACTAGTTTTAATAATAGCGATCAGATCCACCAACTAATATATGAAAATAATGTTTTTTTGAAGCTTTGGAGCTTCCAACATGGATCAGAGCAGTGATCTAATCTCAAAGGCGGCTCTTGGAGCACCAGAAGATAATTTTCTTCTGTTGTTAGCTCACAACGGGCCTACGGGTAATTACACAGATCCTTAGAACTCCTTGCAAATTACGGACTGTCATACACAAGGTCACTATTGCTTGATGGCTTTTAAAGTTTTATAATAGGCATGGTTCATATCTCCTCGGCTTCCTGCTCACAGTCAACATGATGGATGTATTCCCCGTGCATTTTATTTACGTTCTCTATCTACGTCTGACGTTATGTAGATGATCAAAACTAAAAAAAATTAAATCTCGGCATTGTGGCAACAGGACTCGGTTCCAAGTATAATGACATTTGTGGCAAAGACTGGGATTTGAGAGGTGGCGACCATGGCGATAGAGGTAATGAAATTACTAACGGTAATTCAAATGTTGACTATAGCATGATATAACTTCCTCTTGTTTTGTTTATAAGCCACTTGTAGAGTACGACTATTCTTCATGTCTTTTGTTTTCGTAGTATGTTTGTACACGAACGCAACAAAATCTATCTGCAGGTGTTTGTGACTCATCCGAGTACTGATGTGGTGCTGTAGATTTGCGGAACGCAATTTCACAAGTGAAGAAGAAACGGAAGGTTCCTCTTGTAGTATTTGGTCATATGCACAAGGGGCTACAGTTTGGTGTTTCTGAGAGAAATATGATCGTGGTTGGAGAGGACAAGTCCGTGTATCTCAATGCCGCTGTCGTCCCAAGAATCAGAAAAGTGTCATCATCAAATGCTGACGAAGTCTCTCTGGAAACTCAACTGGCAAACTCCAATTTGTATGAATGTTATGAAGCTGAACCATTACCATCTGAAATACCGTCCGAAAGGAACTTCACATTAGTAGAGATGGAAGATGGGGAGCTAAAGAAAATATCGGAGGTTTGGATCAAAGTCGATGAGTCGCAGGCATCCATAGGAGAAGAAACTCAGCTGTATCCTAGAGCTAGAACGGTATAACAAAGTATATACTGTGTAATGGAAGGCTTGATGTAACCTTGCAAAAGTAACTAGGTTGAAATAGCGCTTGTAAAAATGTCATCCTCCCGATGCAGGATACCCTGTATCATACCTCTAGTTGAAATGCATAGCTGTTTGTAAAGAGATGTATTTTAAGAGACCAACATGTAATACATCAAAGATTTTCCTGGAGTGACTTGTGCAGTTTCACTCTGAAGTGACTGTCAAGTGTTATAAATTTTTAGACCTGTGAGCATCTTTGAAAACTAGAGTGATGTGAACCCTAAATCGCTGAGAATTGCGTCTGCACCAAACGAGTATTATCATGAATACTAAGCAAACTAGTGTTCACTAAAGTCATAACAAGTGCGTCCATTAGGCCGAAGGTGTTTGACAGTTTCGGCCCTGACAATTCGCACGTGTGGCGTAGCTACCTTTCCCTCGCCACAAGTCCTCGAACTTATCATCATGATACTTGTTATGCAATCATCTAATCGCATCTAAGCCTTCGTGTATTTCACCACTCGTAGTCAGCCTTCATGAAGAAAACCTATGTTGCAATCTCAGATCTTATCAATGCTGAGTTAAAACTTTCGTAAGTTGGTCACATTGCTGCACTTACTTTATCGTGTAATACCACGACCAAGTTGGAAATAACCATTGGAGGTCAATTATGATATATTGGTATCCCGAAGACTTGAGAGTTACCTACAAAGAGGGTAGGCAACTGAAGAGAGATGCCTTCACAACCATTAACACGAGCACAGACAGATTCAGAAGAATTTGAGACTAATACAAATTTTGAGGACTGTGTTGACCACCCATGGTACTTATGCACATCCGTGTACTTAGATGATTTCAAACTCGCAGTTAAAATACCACCTTCAAGGACACAAACAAACGACGTAAATTTCGAAGGCCGGGACAGAATAGGACAGTAGCAAATCATGTTCATAAAAGATGGATAAGGTTCCGAGCTGCTCAATTTGACACCAGTGTAATGCTTTACAACTCGTTCTGATTGACGCTTGTTGGTACGAGGATAAGATGGCTGGACAATTACTCTGTTCTTCTTTGTCTCTAAAGATGAGTAGCTGCGTACATACGAGAAGGGTAAACTCTACCCATGTCCAGAAGCCATTTTCCTATTCCATGGTGTCAGCACTTGCCTTCCGTGTGGATCAATCACGCGTTCAGCTTCAGCAACCTGTCAAAGACAGTCTTCACATCACCTCTTGAATGCCCAAAGAATGGTAATTCGTAAATTTTACATATCTAAATCTGGCCCTGTGTCATACTCCAAAATAAGGAGAACTGCTGCAACCACAAGCCTGCAATCACAAAACCATGTAGTCAATTCCAAGAGCTTCAGAAACTTACGACGTCATATGTACTTTCAGATGAGTTGCAAACAACAACAAACAATGCATATTTGACTGACGAGTGACGACGTGATTTGAGTTCAATGGTTAGTAACTACATCTTAAGCTCGTCTGGGAATTCTTCCGTATCAGGTTGCAAATTGAAAATCTCGATTCACTAACTTACAGACTTAACATACTGGCCAGCAGCAGGGCCTCTGCTTCTACACAAAAAAAGACACTCACCCGACGAAAGGGACGCTACAGCAGAATGTCAATCAAGCACGGACAGCACCATCCTGTGCAGCAATATCCCCCACATTTCAACTCCGGTATTTATGTCAAACAAACACAGTCTGAAAAGACCTTCTTCACTGGCGTTACCACCAAGAAAGATTGGTGACTTGACGAGGGAGAAAGATTGAGGCATATTCATGGGATGGGTGCAGATTTGAGCTGGACTCTACGGCAGGTAACAGAATAGCAGATGTAATAGAAGGTGAACAAAAAATTCACAAAAAGACTTCATAGTAAGTCTTCCTTGAACCAGTATTGTTTTGTACTTGGAGGTTCTTCGATATCAGCTACGCATACTTGCTACTTGAAGGTCTACTAGTTGTTTTGTGAGTCACAATCTTCTTTTCTCTAAGCAGTCACGCATGAGATGAAGCTAAACAACTCACTGAACATGCTTTCATAATAAACATCATATTATGAAAGCCAAAGTCTTTCACCTCAGGTCGTGATAGAATTCTAAGTTTGACCCAATTAGATACCTTGATCTTTCTCGTCCATACTAGTATAACATCTCTTTCATATCCTCAGGCCTTATCCCAGACGTATTGATTTGTTTTACTTCATTCAAAACAAATTAACCTCGTAGACTGCATCTTCGTTGTTTTCTTTGTCAGCTGGTATAAGGACGTGCAATGTCTGACAGTAAAACTAATTTTATGGGATGTTCGTTCTTGCTACTTACAGGTTGCAAAATTGAAGATAAGATGACTATCAACTACTCAAGCTTGTTCTATATATGGATCCTAGGTAGAGAAGTATAGAATTGACTTACTTGTAGATCACAATGAAGAACAGGATAAGATAAAATCCAAGCTTCATCAAACGATACTTCTTCTCATAGCCAAGAAGATTGAAAATTTCTGTGACATCTACTAAATGTCGTTTATTCATATACCTGAGCAAAATTACAGACCAAAGCATTAGCAATATGTATGAAACACTAACTGAAACCAAAACAAAAAGATAACTAGTAAATTTCATTCAGCTCCAAATTTCTAGTACTCGGCCAATTTCCGATCAAGTAGATGAAACAATGAGTTAAACGAATCAACATTTCATTGAGTATCATTACAAAGATTGAAAGTATTTACACAAGTTGTAAGATATGTCTTACAACCATTCAACGATTAGAAAGTGCCAGGCACAGGGATGCTTACAATCTTGCGTGATAGTAGACAACTGGCAAATTGAGAAGGAACAAGCCATAGTATCCAGTAACCAGATACAAAACGCAGAGACTAGCTTGTAACACGAACTCAGGTACGACAAACTTGTTGATGCTGGATGAAGAATCGAAAGGATTGATGTAGTCAAATTCCAAATCCGATAGGCACATCAGCTGCATTCCAACAAAAAACATTAAACAGTAGTACATACATAAATGACATACATACGTCATTTACGTAGTGAGGAGCACACAAGGCTTCTGGGCATATCCCATTCTCCATTTTATTTCGAATTCAATAAACGTCAAAGCATAAAATATGCACGGAAATGGCGTCACAAGGCTAATTTGATCAGCTGTCAAACATTTCAACAGTCGAATATTTAATGACATTGGAAGAGGGTTTTATGCCTTTGAAAAGAGCGATGTGATTTTGAACAATGTGAATTGACCTTGTCAATATAGAAAACTGTGAGTGCAGTTTGTAATCAAAGGAGTGAAAACTGGAGAACATCTGGTAAGACACAGTGAGAGAAGACTGGAACGATAACAGGGTAATCAAGATAAGGATCTCCCCCCTCATAATTTCAAATTCTGAGGCTTTACAACTTATGAAACAGCACAACTAAGACAAAACAGACGGTTTAAAAACGATCTATTTTGTCTTAGTAGTTCAATAAAATCAGCCACATTAAGTTATATTTAAGGTGCAAAATATAAAATACAGAGTACAAGAAATTACCCTACAAAAACTAAGAAATTTCTATTTTTACACAGATCGCATGCTAGACACGGGAGCTTGCCTGAACCTCAAAATTTCAAATTTGTCGACTCTTGTGAGTTGAGGAAAAAAATCTAGAAGGGATGTTGAAACCCAGGTAGCGAATCCACTCGATGGGGTATGAAGGAGGTATATATATAAAACGCCAAACATTTCAAAATACGATGTCGCTTATCAAACAATTTGCACCAGCAGGCATAATCAGGAATTCGCTAACCTGATAAACCACAATTCCGAGAAGACCGGCCACCACAATGAAAGACAGAAGCCACAAACTCAGCTCCACAGCAGCCATGCTTGCCCTCTTCCTTAAACTTGTTCTTGAGGCTCCCAATCCGAGAACAATTACAGATCCATTCCATCTCTGCGTCTGGTCATCGGACTTGATTTCAACTGAACACTACTTCTAGCCCAGCCCCGAAATCTCCTGCCCAACAGTAACATCTGATTCCCCGCCTCCTCGTACGCCTCTAAACCAAACCAAACCAACCCAACTCCGAAAAAAATTCAATTCCACTAACTAACCAACCAACGCTGAAACCCCTTCAGCCTCCTGATACAGAGCTCTAATCCCTTGGACAAAACCTGTCACTGCCGAATTCCTTCGCGTTTACGAGAGGAGGTGCCCTCGTCGAATCTTCCGCACCTCAAATCTGCAGTGAAGGCTCATCGAGGAGGCCAAGGACGTTCGGCCCTCGTGCTGATGGCAATCCAACAGAAGTCGCTCGTCGTCAGCTGCTGCTGCTGTCAAGAAGCGTCTAATTCATCAAAAGCCTTCCTTCCTCAACTTTAGGGTCCCCGCGGTCCTGCGACCCCGGATCCACACAACGAGACGTGGAGACTCGCTAAACAGCTCGCTGATTCGAAACTGCTGACGTTGGACGCGCGTCCCGGAACTGGTGATCTTCCCCCCTCGGGCGCGGTTAGAAGGCCTGCCTGCCTGCCTGCCTTCCTGCCTTCTACGCAAGAGTTGACCAGTTCATAACGCTTAGAGGGTGCCCTCGCCGTATACGGGGGCGGAGCGTTCATGGCTCTTAGGGCAGGGCAGGGCAAGGCCGGACCGGACCGGACAGGACAGGACTGGGCTGTCGGGGTTTTAGACCGACCTTTGCTCTCTTGTTCCTCACTCCGTTCGAGCGAACTTACTCGGTGAGTGAAACGCGAACCAGCAAGAACTCTACGTGGTTGAGAGCTCCGCCACGTGCTGGTAGTCCGTAGTGAGCCGCGCGCTTCTGCGAACAGTTTTGTCTACGACGCCTTGAAATATAAAGAATTGGTACTGAAAGTCAAATCTGGTCAGATTACGCGGCACACATGTCGATATCTCTCGATTTTAAGGTCCTATTCTGGAATATATCTCTTCGATACTCGTCTCTCAAATTTGGAATAAAAGGCCCACACCGCTGCCGTCCCTTTTATTTTCCGGCAATTTTCGGCACTGATCCTTTTTTCTGGAATTTAGAATCCTAGACCCACACTCGTCACTCCGCCACGCGACGAGCCGATTCAGCTGGTGGGCGGGCGGAGATTGGTCCTCGCGACTGACTGACAGACAGACTGCGTGGGACTCGAACGAACCCTAGGGTAAACCTGGTCAGGGGAGTGACAGATCGAGCGCTCTGTCGCAAACGTGGGGCAACATGTGTAACGGCGGTCGACTGCACAATCCTCTCCTCGTCAACCCGGCGGAGTTGTTCTCACCCGGTTGGTCAGTCGTGGTTACCCCGAGCGATCGGTGAGTCAAAGAAGGACGAGGAGGTATTGCGAAGCAGAGGAACGATGCCAAGTGGGCAATTGTGAAGCTGGCGGGCAACGGGCGGACGGACGGGCAGCAGGTGAGGAAGGGAGGGAGGGAGGGAGGGTTCATGGTGGCCTCCTGTCACTCGCGTCGACTCCGCGCTCCAGGCCTTCGAGCGAATCTTTCACGCCCTCGTAAATTGCATCCTCTCTTCGTCGTCGTCTCCTTCTTCTTCTCCTGCCCGCGAGCTCCCCTGTCGCGTCCTGTCCTCGGCTGCTCGAGGGCTTGGGATTTATCGTCGTATCTGTTTGGGCCTGTGATTTATCGTCTCGTTTGTGCAGTCGTGTGGCCGGGTTGAGGTGGCGTCGTGGGTTCTCTGAGACAATTTGCTCGTTGCCGCCCAGATGAGTTTTCTGGACGCGTTCCTGGGTCTGGTGGCGCTATCAGGGCTGGGGCTCGGATTTTGCTGGGTTTTCGTCTTAGAGGATTTGCAGAGGTCGACGATTTTGGAGTATGCTCGTCTTTTTGCCCGTTTTTTGGGGCAATTCTTTTAGACCTGAAGCGGATTGAATTGTGCGGAGCATGAGCAGTTAATTTTTTGTAATTTGTGCGCCGGGAGGCATGCGAGCTTCAGGAAGCGGGTGGCGGTCAGTAGGTTCCTTATTGGTGTGCAGGGGCGTCTCTCTAAACTCGGGGTGAAGCATGAAAGTTCCCGGCAGCTATCTCTCTTCGTCGATTCTTCACATCATCGCACCTGTGGTCTTTCAACACAGCGCACTTACATCGAATTGAACCATTTCATAGGACATCGATCATCCACGCTCGGGATTCCGACAAAAAAACCCCTAAGATCAGAGAGGATCTCAGTGCTTTTTGGTCACTTGCTTCCTGCTCTTGCCCAGGTTTTTTTTTATTAAATTAGACAATTTCTGACGCACGTCCAGCTGCCGGGATGTCGTTCTCCGTGAACCCCCTATCCTTGTGCTTGTCTCAGTCGACATTCGAAGCATGGTTGAGGGATAGCGGGCACTTGGAGATCTTAGACAAATGTGTTATGGACCAGGCACGCACAAATGGTCACGGTTCGATCTCAGCATTTTTGAAGGCCTTGAAAATCAATCCTTTTAAAAGCTTAACTTTGGAGGATTGCTGCAAAAGCCCAGTAGCGTGGACTGGTGAATTTTTTGATTGTGGCACCGGACCAAGAGATACCTACTCCTTCCCCCATAGTTTGACTCAAGCAAAGCTGCGAATGGAGGAGAATGTGAAGAGATACACGGGCAATTACTTGGTTCTTGCCCTGGTGATCCTTCTCTGCTTCTTGTAAGTGCACGAACTCCTTGTTGAAGTGTCCAACTGATGTTTTCGGCTTGCTTGGGGTTGACTTTTCCAATAGAACGGTATGAGAAGTAGATTTTCACGACTGGAGGAAGCTGTTCAGTGTGTTCATAACCGCAATTCAAAGAAATTGTTTAATACTTCATTGCATACAGCAACCAAATGTATCTCATGAGTTTTTGTTGGAAAAATCGATGTGATGTCGATGGAAAGTGATTTAGTGATACATACAATTCCGAAGTTAGTGAAGAAGCTTCTATTTGAAATGAAAAAATAGATCGGACCCACGACCCATGGGTCGTGGGTCGTGGGTCGTGGGTCATTGCTAGAAGGGTGCAGATACCTTAGGAAGATGGTCAGCAGCAGATGAGTGCCCAAGCAGTGACATCTGTAACTTTTCCATTATTCCACTCATTAATTGAAGTTACCCAAATCAATTCAGTCTCAGTACTGGCCTGAAAGAAGCAGTCACACTGTTTCTCTCCAGCACTGAGACTGAATTCATAGTGGGTCACTTCAATCAATGAATGGACAAGTCAACTGTTCTGGTCATGAGCCGCCTTTTTGGACGTTCTTGGTGACAAGTAGAAGATGTGACTGCCTAGGCGTAACCATCTTTAGGTCTCTACACCCTTCTAGCAATATAATACATATTTGAGTTTCGTTGTCGCTTTTATTGACCTTGTCTTTCAGATATTTCTTACTGATATTCTCGGTATCGTCTGGCAAACAGGTACAAAATTCCCGTTGCTTTACTGGGGATTATGTCCATCATTGCACTTTGGGATACCGTAAGAGTGTATATCAACTCGAGAGGCCTGACTCAAAACAGTTTTAGATTTCGAGTCTTGCGAGTGCTCGGAAATATAGGTCCGTACTCATCTTGTCCCAAGTTTCCCTGGGATGTTGGATCATGTAGGTTATTTGTCGTCTTTACTATGTATGACTGCTTCACTCTTTGTTCATATTTCACACTCACCTTACGAAACCAAGGAGATAAGTTGTAGTCCCAGATGCGTCATATGTTTAGCCTCCAGGTCTCTCTCCTTTACTTTGATTAATTCAGAAGCTAAAGAACTGATCCGGAGACTACATGTCAAGGTCTGAGGGACCTTAGTGAGTTTGGTTCAAAGTAACAGAAGAGTCGACTTCTGAAGTTAACGTGGATCTGAGATCTTACAGAGACATGACGGAAACAAGCATCAGCTGAATTTTTGAATCCTATAAGTAATGTGTAATGTATGAATCTTGAAACTATATTGGATCTGGTTATGGGCACAACATTCATGACAAATTTCTTTGGAGGTGCTTGGGCATGTATGAATCGTTACGGGTTGAGGAATCAAAAGTTGGGCACCTGGCTGTCCTACCTGCATATTCTTTTTCGAGCGAAGTTTAAACTCTATGGTAACTTTTCTGTACTGCAGGTACTATGTTTATTATGATGTACTGTAGAGTGGCGGTTGCGCTTGCATGGGCCGGGTTGACAAGTCTATTAGGTGAGACAATACAAGTTACAAGTGCTTGCATTATGTGATTTTGAACATCAAGCTGTACTCTTCTTGGAGGTATCTTCATTTAAGTTGTAGCCTGCATGGACAACTTTGTATTGGATCCAAGTAATATTAACAACCCGGAGTTACGAGTACTAGATTTCTCAAATTTCTTTTCTTATCTGCAAAATTTCTGTGCAAATTTTCTGTCGTCCTCGTCAGCTTTGGGATTGTTTCTCATTTCATTTGTATATGTGGCCGAGATACTCGCATCATTGAGTTTGCCAGATGAAAGAGAAGAGAACCATCTGCAAATATGGAGTTGATTTTCTCCTCCTACGTTCGAAGTTTAGGTGTACCGTAATCACATAATCATGCAGCTCATTACATTCTTATATTTTGGCTTAACATGTCTTCTGCTTGGTCTTTGTATGTTGGCAGTTGTGCTCGTCCACAGCATGCTGAGAAGGATAACACCTATGAAACATCCGCGGAAGCCTGCTGAGTTGAGAGATTGAAGTTTCCCAGGATTCAGGGTGCAACTGCATGTAATTATAATTGGGCGGACTCACAGAACGCCCTTGCCATGAATGTCATGGCTTCCAACAAGGATGTAGCAATATAAGACGAAACGACTATTCTCTGGTACAGTACCTTTCTGCATAGGATGTCTTCTCACATTTCTGAGTGTAAAGTGATGAACAATCATCAACCGGTTTATGGTTCAGAAGTATAGCTCTTGTGGTATACGAAAGAGTCCCATGTTTAACAATACGGGTCAAGTTCTAAGGTCAAACACCGTCATCTCGACGCTTCTACGGCCACTGAGTGGGATAGCATGGTCGTGAAGAGACTGCCCAACAACTTAAGGGGAAACGTTTGAAAACAAATGGAAGTGACTCGGTGGATCAGTCAGTTCTATCGAGAAGTTGTGCGTTCTCAGGTAGGAGAGTCAGAACTGAGAAACAGCTCAAATCAATGGTGACAGAAGTAAAAAGTGACAATTCTATGATCTGCTCCTGGTAGAGACGGTGTTTGGCGTGCATGATAATGAGCAGAGTAGTAGCACTTGGAACGCTAGCCACATGCGACATCTTTTCCCGATGCTGTTTTCATGTTCTTGTGGAAATTCAAACGGCAGTCGACGCGTGCTAGGTTGGTGTTAGACCCAGCAAGAGCAAATGGCCCTGGGCAGATGTGAAGTGTTTCTGGATCCAAATTTTGATACAAAAGTGTGATGACTTGGAATAGATAGACTTAGAATAGACCCTTTACGCGTCCTTTCGGCTTTGTTCTAACATGGCCAACCACCTGCGCCTAGATGAACGAGAAGAGGCTAGTTGCATCGTAACGTCCTGATAGAGGCCATCGAATGCTGGCATTCTGACAGGAGAGATCGCTGCCGTGTGGTCGCACAGTTTTGGGAGACGAATGCGTGAGAGGGTGTCAGATTGCCCACACTGTGTGCCGTTAGTGTTGCGCCATATTCCAGTGGCTGTCTGTGGTGACATTTACTTCCGGGACTGCAAGAGAAGCGGTGTGGCCTAGCACTGTGAGGATCAGTCGCTGCAGGGGAGCTTTTGCCCTCGACTTTTCTGGATCCGAAGGCACCACATTCACGTGATCTACCCAAGTCGGGACTGGACACCAAACCCCTCCCGCTAAATCGGGACGGATGCAGACGGGCCGTGGAAATCATCATCCGATGCCCGTGATCCAGCGGCACTCTACGACGACATCGGTTATTCCAAAGCCAAAGCGAAAGGCTGTTGAATAATCGAGGTGGGTAGGCGATGGGGGCTGCAGTCTCTTTAGGTCTGCAGATGTTGAATGTTTTCGTCAATTCAGCGGCAGCGGTCCGCGTGTGGCCTTTTCGACTCTTGTCCATGCGAGGCATAAAAACTGAACGCTTTTTTCTTTTTTACCTCGGGTGTGTATCTCCGATCTTGAAAGATATTCTCGTCCGACGTCCTCCAGGTGCTGCCGGCCGTAGAAATACACACCGCTGTCCTTTTCATCGCGGCCGAATGACAATGAGCTGGAATTTGGAGCGACATTTGACATGCCCTCGTGAGCATCCGCGATGCTCACGAGGTTTTCAAATGTTTTCCCCCAAAGTGCCGAAGACATGTCACACCCGTCCGCAAAGAAATTGTGGATTCAGGAGAGTTGCCAATTACGCTCCGAGGAGCCCCAGCGGCATGAACATGGGCACACGTGTACAGCGGTGTCGGGAACCTGTACCGGGAATGTACATTCTGCCATAGAATATGAGTTACGACAACCACTGAAACGTCCAAGACGTGGACAGTGGAAGTGGTCACTGTGTAGTGCATCAAGAACGTGTGGAGAAGTTGCAATACAAGCCACAAGAGCTGCCAACGAGACTCTCGTGGACCCTCGAAAGCAGTGTTGAACTATTAGTGCGTGTCCAAGCTTTCTTTCCATCAATGATTTCTGCCCTCTATCGCACTAGAGAGCTGTTACTAGTCTCGCGGGCATTGTCTTCCCAGAAGAGTAGAGCATTGGATGGATCTTTCTTTCTACCACGATCCTGTGGGAAATTTACTTTACTCCGAAGGGTGAGATAGCGCGACGAGGCACTTTCCCGGGCACGAAGTGACATGGTACGAGGATCGTTGTCAATGTGCGAATCTAATTCCGTAGTACGTTCCTTACTCTATAGGGCTTCCGAACCTTTTCCCCGAGCGGAAGAAAGGAAGTGACTAGCGAGTGTGAGCCGAAAGCTGACCTCGCTAGCTCTCTCTCTCGCCCAAAAGGCAAGATTTGAGAGCCCCAACTCTGACCCCATCGCTATAAGAGGGAAGTCAGGCGCGGCGGGCCCATGGGTCTGCCATCGATCCGTCTTTGTATGTATTTTATCTGCACGTACTGTGCATCCCCACCTGCGATCCTGCACCATGCACTGTGGCATGTCAACCACCGGGGGATGAAATTTGTCCTCCACGACTGTCGCGTCTCCAAACGATGGGCTCGATTGGCAGACATTCCAAAGCCTACTCGCTTTTCGAAACGCCTCGCCTACCGAGCGCCCGCGTCAACAAACGGCCCAAGACGAAAATTATCATCGAGCAAGAAAGCTAGCCAACCTAAAACAGGAGCCGACTAATTTCGACAACTTGACAATTCGCCAATTTGCAGATGTTCTTCCGGCTGCGGCCGTCAGTCTCGAGATCGAATGAGACCAGCGTCGGTCGCGACTCTTGTTGTTTTTGCTGTCGTTGTTTTTCTTCTTGGCCTCGACGATTGGACGCCGGGAGGCCGCGAATCGGGGACGCGACGAATTTATTTCTCCTCCGCCTGTAGCCGGATGGGCCGATGGACGAACGGACGGCCGGATTGTCGGATGGCTGGGCAGGGCTGGGTTGGTCTGGGCCCCGGGAAAATCTGCGTATCAATATCGGAGCAGCGCGCGCTGCAAAAGCTGTCGCCGGTGCTCGGGGGCTGCGCTAGCGAGCGAGCGAGCGAGCGATGGAGGAAGGGGAAAGCGTCGATAGGATCGAGCGAGCGAGCAGAGGAGCAAGAGGCCGGCGGAGAATATGTGCGTCGCTTTTCGAAGTTCCTCTCGAAAGCTGAAAGTCCAAAGCGCTCGAGGGAGGGAGGGAGGGAGGGAGGGGTGGGGGAGGAGGAGGTCTTGCCGGGCCCGAGTCAAACGACAGGAAGGACAGGGAGTCAGATCGGGGGCGACGGGAGGGAACACGTGAACTTCGTGCATCTGGAGCGGGCAATGGGTGGACGAGCAATATCCATCAATGACTCGGCGAGATATGTCAGCAGCAGCCCAACAAGGGATGAATGTACTGGTCCGTATCCCGACCTCGGCTCCGGCCCCGGCCCCGGCCCCGACCCGACCCGACCCGACCGCCTGTACCGGCCGCGAGTCGAAATCATAATGTCCGGCCGTCGATCGAGTCGAGGTCCGGTCCGGTCCGGTCCGTCAGGCTGCCGCTGCTGCGATCGCCCTCTTGAGCTTCGAAATTCGAGCTCTGCTGCTGCTGCTGCAGTTTCATGCGTGCCGGACTATTGCGAGGGCCCGTGACTGACAGGCCCGCGCGCTCTGATTGCTCGCACTGTTGAGTATGATTAATGTCTCGAAACGGCGAGTAGATAATTCCCCCGCGATCGAGCTCGAGGCCAGCAACAGCAGCGGCGCGAGACGCCCGAAGAGGAATCGCTGCAGATTCAGCGAGCGCTCGAGATCCGTACTCGGGCTCATGACATCGCTCGAGGCCATGACCGCTCGGCTCTTGAAGCTCTAGCCAGCCCCCCCCCCCCCCCCCCCCCCCCCCCTCCCCCCGGCCCTCCGCCCCTCCATGGACTCCTTCACCGCCGCCGATCCCAACTTGCACGAGATTCTCGAGCGTGGTGCTGCTGCTGCTGCCCCACAGTCCGGTACTGGTCCCGATTTTCTGACCGCGCTCGGCGACGGGGTGGGAGTGGGAGGGGGAGTGTTGGGGCCGCACAGCAGCAGCAGCGCCGGCAGCGACTCCTTTCTGCGCCAGGCCGAGGTGCCCAAGCCCAAGTGGCCTGCTGCCCCGCGCTGGATGATTCAACAACATATCGGGCCTCCCCCGAGCTTCCCTCTCGCTGCTGCTGCTGCTGCTGCTGCTCCTGTTCCTGCTGCCGTCGTCGTCGTGCCCTCTGCTGCTGCGAGTGGCGGTTCCAAGTTCTCCAAGCCTGCGTCGCTAGCGAGCCCCGTCTCCGGCCCTGGCCCGGGCTCGAGCGACGACAGGCCTGTGAAAGTGTGGTGTGACAGAAACAGCAAGCAAGCGCTTCTCAAGAGCGAGGGCGAGAATGCACCGCCTTCCAAACTTATAGCGATGGCGAAATGCGACAGCCACAACACCAACATCATCATCAACAACAACAACAATATCACCAACACCAGCAAATCTTCGATGGTCCTTGACACTCTTCCGGCTGCTGCTGCTGCTGCTGCCGCCGATTCGCCACGAGGAAATGTGATCGCCAAAGATGGCGTCGATGTGGATTTGAAGCAGATAGACTCGTCGGATTGCAGCGACCACATGGAAGAGCAGGAAGACAAGGCCACGAACCGGACCGTGTCCAAGAACCTGGTTTCCGAGCGCAAGCGCCGCAAGAAGTTGAACGAGGGCCTGTACACATTGCGGGCCCTTGTGCCGAGAATAAGCAAGGTTTGTTGCCGGCAGCTCGTCGCAATTTGAACTCGTCGGTCGATCTCAGTTTGGGTTTCTTGACTCCGATACTCGCGCACGCACGCACTTGACCCTCGCGTAGTATCAGCCTGATGCGAGTGCTGTCTCAGTGCGCAGGACACTAGGAATATTGTCTCAAATTGCAAGGCCGCCTCGCGTCGACGGTGGCCGACCGCACTGAAACTGATTTCAGTGCCTCTGTGGAGGCTGAATGATCGCAAGATATCTTCTCCTTCTTTTCGTCCGACTAGAAGCACTTTTCGTTGGTGTGATGCGTAATTGTAGCTTCACAATAAGATCAGCAGCACTTGGGATGTGTTGCGACCCAGCACAGCAGAGTCATTCGTATGCTATTTCCGTTTCTGTTAGCTGCGATTACGAGGGCGTTTTCTATCTCGTTCATTCTCGCGATGGAAAGAACAGCCCGCCAGGAACTTCGATATCAGATTCTCGATCAGTTCGGAATCCATATCTCAAACACAGTGCGTCTTGTTGCCGCGTGGTCTCGGTAGGTGTCCATGTCTACTGCAGCCTAATGGAGATCATAGACCTGAGAATGCATTCAAAAGTTACTGAGAGAAATGCACCCTTGCGAGGACGATAGGACTGGCAAATTGCCGAGATGGAGGTCTAGAGGTGTGCAGACTGAACGAGAAATCCGACAGCCGCTCGACTGGCACCCAGTCGTCGAGTTGCAGGACCCTCGTAGCAATTTCATCTCGAAGCGCCAGCCATCTTCAGCTCATGCTGTTGTTAGCTCACAGGCGTTTGAATCGATAGTGACTTGACAGGCCGCTCCTAGTGGGACATTCCACCAGTAGTCAAGGTTCAGGTCCGAGATTTTCGCGCAGGTACACCAGTTTTTGCCTCTTATTCGAAGCCTGTTGTGTGATGTAGATGGATAAAGCATCCATTATCGGCGATGCCATCGACTACGTTCGTGAACTTCAGAAGGAAGTGGACGATCTGCAAACGGCTATCTCAGAGGTCGAAGCCTCGAGGAAAAGCGGCAATCTAGACACAGAGGAAATGTCTCAAAATGCCCAGATTATGGAAAATAGTATGGTAACAGAGGATTTCGAAAAAGCAAGCCGAAACAACACTCCAGGATCCAACGACGACACAACCACAGAACAGAAAATCTTGAAAGTAAAGTGCACTTCCTTTGCTCCCTTCAGTCCTATGAATAGTTGGACCGACCACCAAATATGAAACTTAGGTTCTTTGGTTATAGGCAAGGGTTGGCAAACTTCGAGTTATGCTGAAATCAGCGATCGCTTTGAATGTCGATTCTGCTTGTGCTCAAACAATCGATGTATCGCGGAATGAGTCTGACAGATGGTCATGTTTCTTCGTATATACAGTTGGACGTAGCGAAAATGGAGGAGAAGAGTTACCACCTCCGGATATTTTGCACCAAAGGCCCAGGGGTGTTCGTGCTACTCATGCGATCGCTTGAAGCGCTAGGCATGGAGGTTTTGAGTGCTAATTTGACATCCTTCGAAGAAAACATTCTCAACACGTTCATCGCCGAGGTACAGTTCTCAGCTCTTCCAGTGATCTTTTCGACAGTAATCACATTGACAAGGCAGTTTTTTATTTTGGTCTGGTTGGCAGTAGAATGGGGATGAAAATAGCAGAAGGCCGGCAGATTTGCACGGTACGCACGCCAGAGTAGTTTTGGCAACATCCTTGATGTGTAAACCTCTGAGATTGTCTTCTATGGCCTTGCATGGTTTCCAGATCAAGGACTTGGAAGCGATGAAGACCGAAGAAGTGAAGGCAGCAATTTTGGACGTCTGTGCACGGTTTGGCTTACAAACGACATGAAGTGGTGTTTCTCGATGCCAGGCGTCGGTCCATGTTGTACAGGTGATCATGATGGATCAGTTAGATAGTCAGAATCATAGAAACCCTTGTACATATCTGAATGAATCAAACGAAACTAAACGTGTACAAAAGCAGGCGAGGCTCTTAGTATATACTTCGCGAAAGTAGTTGGAAAGATCGCATCTCGAAATTCAATAAAGGTTTTGCAGGACTGCAGCTATCATCTCTGAGTGTCTCTTCTCTCTGTGCATGTGATGGACATGTTATGTTGTTCATCCGACCTCTGAACATGTGTCAAGACCGCAATGTAACAAAGCAGCTCCACGGCTCCGACACGCAACCAAATCCAAAACCGCCTCCTCACACAGCACATAATTGGGGATCGCAGTGGACCACGAAACTTACGATCTGAAGAGAGGAGTGATGATCGCAATGTCTTACAACAATTTGTACTTTGTTCACGGAAAAACGGTTTGTGAATAATGACGCCCGCCAGCCAGCGAGCCAGCCAGCGAGGGCATGCTGGAGTAGCGGAGAACATGTCCTTTCTTGGTTCTTCATTCCCCAATTCACCAATTGAAAACTAAAAGCGGATGATGATACTGACGTAGCGCTCGGAAAACTCATGGTCTAACAAACAAGGAAAAGCGCGGACGACAGTCCCGAGAGAGGAAGGTGAGGTTCAGGAGAGGCATGGGGTTCCCCTGCACTCAGGTCATGATGAAAGCCCACCTGCATGGCCAATGCCATCAGACCTGACGCCGAAAACAACACTTGCCGTCCCTTCCCTTCCTTTCCTGTATCGACGGCACCATCCTTAGGGAAAGCAATTCTGGCGGGATGACAGTCTACGACAACACTGCTCCTGCTGCGTTGAAGATCTTCTATTTCTATTAGATATTCCGCTATGAAATCCAAAATATGTATAGATGCGGTTTATTATCATTTTTCATGTATCAATAAAGTACCTAGTGTTGACAACAACCGCACACTCAGCTTGGGATGGATCCCGTACAAACGACCACCATACAGTTAACTGAAAACTCGATTATTGCACGAGAGATGCAATGTAGGAGCTATACCTGTCTGTGGATGGGGGAATAATTGGGGATGTCGAAACCTAAGAAAGTGACGATAGTTATAGGATAAAGTGCCTATAAAAGAATCTACGGTCACAGTTGACGACTCGGAAATAACATAAGTTATGGTCATATATCATTTGTTTGTATTCAATATTCGTCCTCAAAGTAAACTGGAAGCCGAAGTAAAATGCTTGTAAAAAGTGTGTTGTTGGCCCAGCCATGAAACCATGTTCTCTGGAAGTCAAATCTTTGTCGAAACCCAAGCACTGACTTTGGCAGACGAAGTATCACAGAAGAGATTGCGTCGGGAGCAAGTGTTAGTACCATGAATAGCTTCAACCGTTGTCATTCATTTCTATCAACCTGATAAAGAATTAACTTTGGCTTACTATAGATAGTATGAAACTACAAGCTAACAACAATAATTGTGCTCCCGCAGTCACCGAAGTCATGTATTTGAGTTAAAAAAACTCAAAAACATGTCATTTTAACTCCACAGACAGATCCATAAAACTTTCTAGATGCTGCGACTACAACCATAGTAAAGAGGTGCTAAATTGCTATAAAACACCCCATCCATACAAGCAAGTAGCGTATAAACGCTTTATATTGAGTAAGTTACCGATAGTACCATGAACATCAAAATATGTTACATCACAAACTATCTAGACCAGAGAATATGGGTATCTCATGTTGATATCTCATGTTTTTATGGCATGTTTTTGTTTTAATGATGCCTCGCTGATCACAACCAACACAATAGTCAGAAAAGTGATGAAGCGTATTGTGTGATATAATAAGCTCTTTTGTGATTTATTATAAACATGTTAAAACTCTCTTATATAACTCTAATGTTAAATATTAATAATCTCTATAGACAATTATATATTTGGTGATATTGCATAATAACCATTCGTGAATGTGGAGAATCAAACCCAAAACTTCTATCAAATGTAGAACAGATAACCATCACAAGTGCAATTCTAACTTACATCAAGACAAGTGAATCGTGGCTGTAAATAGTACTAGTGTATGTGTACACTACAAGTTTAATAAACATATGCGAAATTGAATCTGGTGATAAAAACAACTAGTATGAATATATGGCGAAATGAAGACCGTTGTTAGAACTAGAGTAGAAGAAACGACAAAGTTTTGGCGACCTCAACCAAGTAAAGTGAGATTCCAGTCGCTCTCCAGTGAAAGTTGTATGCCCCACCACAAAATGCTACCTGTTTATCACGAAACGCACTAAATGGGAAAGTGTAAAATACCGGCGGTAGTGACTGCACGGAGAACATTTCAGCATGGCAAGAGTCCCTGCTCTACACATTGCGCCATGTCTCAATAATGCAGCATGCACCATAACTACCATGTACAAGATTGCAACGGTACGTACGTGGTGCACTAGCCGGGGACCTGAAAAACGAGCAGACACATGAAGAACGGGTGCCTCGTTCCGGAATACTGTGCTCGGTCGTCAACCGGTCAACCGGCCGCCAGACGGTCGTGGATGCTGATGCGCTGAATATCGCTTTTGCCAGGCTAGGGAAAAACCGCAACATCTGGTACGGGCCTCGCCTTCCTTCCTTCCTTCCTTCCTTCCTTCATCCGACCCTCGTGTTGAATGTTTTTCTTCTAGTCTGAGACTGCGCTTTGCCCACGGATCGAAACTCGCTCTACGTCTATCCAGATCTTTACGGGGGAATACGTAGAGTCAACAAAGTCGCTACCGCCTCTTGCAAGACAAGGCCAGGACAAGGGAGTTATTCTTCACATGCTAATGATGATTGATTCCGTCTCGACCGAGATTTACGTTCGCGATACATGTGAAGTGCATGCACGGGGATGAGGACCTCGCTCGAGCCGGCTGTTGAGTTAGATGCTCACAATTGGCAAAAATAAAAGTTATCGCTGCACAAATTTATTTTTTTCCATACGAGCATGGGCGAGCAGAACAAGTTGTTGAATGGAAAAGTTTGACATCTGACAGGTTTCTCCTAAAACTCTTTCCCAAGTGCTTGATCGTATGAAGTCGCTTTATCCCTTCGATCTGCAGCCTTTTGGTTTTGACTCGAAAAGCGTTCTCTTTTCTTGGTGTGTATTCCTACATTGACTCGATTTAGAGGAATTCAAAGTGCGAGTTTGGTTGTGTGTACAATCTTAATCCATGCACATGAAATTCGCATTATTATTGCCTTCTCTTGAACTCAGATGATCCCAACATGTTTGACTTATTCCCCAATGAGTTCGTGCAATAAGTCAAACAAACAGAATTTACCTGAAGAACAACTATGAAGTAAACTCCAATATTAGCGTTGTAATTCATATGTAAGATCTGAAAGTAAATGTCTTGCATGTCTAAATATTTCTGCATGAAACTTTCCTTAATTTGTTAATATAATAGATGTTCATATAAAATAGTTTCTCCTTGAAGATCAACAAGCTTTACCTACTATGAAATTCGAACGAACTATTTGAACATCTGATGTATGAGAAACTGCTCACTGTGTCTAATACTGAACAATGTTTATCCATAATATAAGCTTGCAGTTTCCATGATGACTGAGACCTTTACACGAAACTCTGTGTTTTTTAAATAATGGTATAATGAATTTTATAAAATAAACTAAAAATAAAATAAATGACTTATCTCTAGAATAAAATTTATACCATCACATTTTTAAATGCTACTTCAAGTACATTTGAATCCATATCTGATGGCTTATATGATATATTATATTTCTGATTTTCAAAAAAGTATAACAATATAATTGAAGTTTTGTTGATCATTAATTATATGCTGTACAATACATTAGATAAAAGTATCACAAGTAACAATAATCCAACCTTTATTATTTTTATTCCATCTATGACATCAGTTGAATAAAATTTTATGAAATAATTTCTCAATAAAATTATTTTAACCACATTATATGGTCATATGTACATTATATGGACAAATGAATTAGACAATATTTTTTAATTAATAAATAAATATATAGTTTTATAAATTTAAAAAAATTAATGATTAGTTATTATTAATAAAAAAAATTTTAAAAAAATTTCAAATATATAAATAAATATATATATCAATGTTTACATATTTACAAAAATCAGAGCCTTTCATATTCACCACAACTATGATTTTCATATTACAATATACGTAGATGACATAAAAAAACGTTGTATTGGATATAAGTATGTATCAACGTGAATTTTTAACTATTTTGAATAAGATTAACATCAAAACACTAAAAAAAATCCTCAAATCTGAATTTTTTCAAAAGCTTTCAGCTTTATGCTTTATTTCATATTTACATCAAAATCATCATTGAATTCTTGTCAATATATCTTATTAAATATTGCGTGTGGATAAAATGACTCTTTAGCATATGATTAAATTATTGAGTGCAATTGCAAAAAGCATCACAGTTTTTTTAATAATTTTTTTTTACAAAGTCTCATTTTATGACAATTAAAAAAAAATCATGATCAAATAATAATATTATTGAATAAAAATTATAAACTCTTATATGGATAAATTGATTTTTAAACTGAGTTCAAAAAATAATAATTAAAAAAATCTGAGTTCATTTCAAGATATGAATATTTTTAGGTATCAAACATTAAAACAATTAAGATTTAAATTAATAATCAAGATTATATTTTTTTAATTAAATTAAAATTCAGAAATAAATAATTTAAAATTTTTTAATATAGTTTAAAAAACATCAACTTTTGATTAATTTCAGTAAGAAATTTTCGATCTTAAAAACTTCAATCAAAATTTTTTTAAAATTTTAAATGAATTAAATAACATATATTGATGCATGAAAAAATTTATCTTAACAAAAAATTTTTATGGACTCAAATAATTCAGTGATTTGTAATTCACATCTTCACACTATGAATTAAGATTGGGCAAAAGATTAAAAATTCTAAATAGTAAAATTTAATGTTAGAACGGATTTGATTGCTTCATGAACACTTTATACTTCGATAGTTCATATAAAAATGCTGTAATCACATCTATATAATCTATAAAGAGAGAAAATGTAATTGCAAATACATATAAAAATCAAATTATAGCATATTTTGTCACAGATGAAAAACATTTGTCTATTGTATGAAATCTTTAGCTATTAGTCTAGTTTTGAAGGTTTTTTTTCTACAAGCTAATATTTGTTTCAACTTGTATAACCATGTGCTATTGTCACAAACAACAAGCATATTATTACAGAGTATAAGATCATGGTGAAATAACAAACGATATCTTTCTCTTCATTTCAATTTCAAAACTCATCAAAAGTATATATCTCATTTATCTTTGTATGTGAAATATCACCATTTGTCGAGTTTGAGTCTCAACTGGTACATTACAACTTTAAAAATTATTAAATTTTCAGAATATTGTGTGAAAAAATAAATTCAAATTTTTTTGGAATAATCATCAATAAAACGTACATAACATAATTTATTAAAGTGAAAATTTTGGAAATTATTATCATGCATAACACTATATTCATACTCAAGAAACTACTTAAATTATGAGTTCCAACATCAAAGTCTTGTCTATGATGCTTGCCCATAAGATGATGTTCAACAAACTTTAAGTTAACTTGAACTATGTCATGTATTAAGCTACTAATGCCAAGAAAGGTCAAGCATCAAACATCATCACATTTCATGAACATCATGTCATCTCACCTTTAGAATTAGAAGAGTTGACTTCATCGTAGATGATAATGCTCTCTAGCATGTACATATTGTTGTGTTTGTGAACTTTCAATATAATCTCATCATCTACTTTTACCTCAATCACTTCCGATGTATAGCTCTATTTAAGATTTTTCAATATAATATTCCACAAGAGATTCAAATCATTATTATATTAGTTGTAAATTGACTTGAATCAATATACAATTGACTAAATTTTTTAATATTACAATTGTTAGAAAAAAATTCTCCAATGTAACAAATGTGAAAACAAGGAATATCTAGCAATCAATAATCGGCGTCAACCTTGCTCTGATTTAATTGTAGGATGAAGAAATAATAAAATTTTAAAACACAAAAAAATAAAATAGCACGCATGACAACACTAGGATATGTGGTTTGTCATTGTTAGGTTATGTCCGCAGATACCATAAGATATTTTTGAAATCTAAATTTTTTTGGAGATTAGTTATGGTTCGCCCTCCTATATGGTGAACAAAGAAAGTACTAACAAACTAGAAAACCTATAAACCTAATTTTAACTAGTATTAAACCAAGTAAAGTTTAGTTCAAACTTGATATTAATTCAAGTCTGAACTAAACTATAATTAATATTACCAATTATGAGAAGAAGTCGGATTGACTAGTGGACATCTGCATCTAAATTTGTCAACTATGCATTCAAATGAAACATGTATTAGAACATCTGCATCTAATCTTGTCATCTATGCATTCAAATGAAACATGTATTAGAACATCTGCATCTAATCTTGTCATCTATGCATTCAAATGAAACATGGATTAGAAGAGAGTTGGATAAGAAAAATTTGCGTACACATTCATGCTAAGTTATCCGTTGGAACACCTTTGAAATCAATTGTTATGCGGATTACCCGAAAGTATAATCCACAAACTGAACACTAGAACCAATACCTACACCGAGAAATATATATATTATACATCACTACGGATAAGGTTTATAAGAATAACTAAATCATATCGAGGACCATTTCTAAAAGGCATTACCGATAGATTCCATAAACATACAGATATTCTAACAAACTTGACTAACTAAGGTTAAGCTAACCTGAGTTTAAACCTAACATTGGAAAAGGTTTGAGACTTCACGGCATTTTGGTTGTCTTCAATGGGAATGCCACCCAATGAATTTCCGACGATTGAATATATGAAATGTGTACGGTACATCTCTACTTGTAACCAGTTCATTATTATCAGTTACCCGGTTGTGTTGTGGACATGGCTCTTAAAAAAATGATTTCCATTCTCCAAGAGCAAACACACAATATTTCGCACAAGACTTCAGTTATAAAAAATTGGTCAAATGTCTGCTTTGTGGTCGAAGATAGATTTAATATTGTATAAGTCCTGGACATAGGTTTGACTTAGAAAAAACCTGGATTGAGGCTAGGTTGACCCTCGTGTGGGCTGGTTTGGTCTCGACACTAGGTTCGAAATTCGTCCTCTTTTCCCACTGTCGTAATGAAACCATGAAACACTGAAATAAAGTCTGATGAACTTCGGTGACGGTCAGGCTGTATGACGGAAGCATTTGTGCGTCGTCATGAATGACTGGATCGACCGAAGATGGGACAATAGGAGGAGCTCGAGCTCGACCGGAGTCCGAGGCTCACAAATCTCCGGAGCAAAAAGGTCGCCAGCTTTCTCCAATCCTCAGATTGTCAGGAAGAAAAGAATATCCTTCGGGGACCGGGAACCTTCCATCCTTGTACACAGGGGTTCGGACGACGTCGACCTCGGAACGCCGGTTCCCGTCGATACGAGAAGTTCTTCGCCGAGTGGGCCCCACTCGCAGCCCGACGACGTCGTGACAATCGTCTCCCCGGAGTCGTGAGCTCCAAGACTCGGGCAATTTGGGATTTGTCTTCTTTAGGAATTTGCGAAAAATTCCACCTTAATAAAGAAATAGCGACATATATCTCTACCGCTTTCCATTTTGCCCGAGGTCGGAAAAACCTTGCGTTCTGCGCAAGCGACATTCGGGTTTACGAAGTTGACTTATTCTCCATATGGGCGATCGGTCGGCGAAGCCGCTGTCTTTGACGAAGCACGTCCACTAGAGTCGCGATTTACGAGCATACTCGAGTAGCTACTTAAGTACTCTGCGGAGTACTTAAGCGGAAGTCGGGGCCGGCCAGCAGAACTTGAACTTGTTCGACAGCCTGCCGTAGCAGAAGCGTTGGTCGACGCCGGTGCCAGGCTTCGTTCTTTACCTCGTTCTCCTACTCCTGAAACCAAAGACGTTCGAGTTCGGAGATTCGTCGACTCGGCATTGGCGCGGGATTCTGCAGCAGCAAGATCGAGGTCAGAGAATTGAGGGGATTGGGAAGTGCTCGCACCATCGCGGACGAGGGACGGAGCCCGGACTTGATTGATTGGCGCGGGGCCGGGCTCGCTATGGAGTTCGCGCGCGGTGGGGCTGGGACTGTCTGACTGATTGATTATTAGATCGGTTCGCGACGATTCTCCCCGTACACCTGCGGCAGCTATGGTGGGCACGAGCTAGCGACATACGGTTTGGCGGACGAGGAGTCGTCGAATTTAGGGAAGAACGAGGGAGCGAGTATCGAGGACTCTGCGAGCAGAGCAGAGCAGAGCAGCAGGGTCTGGATCTGTCGCTCGGTGCTGGATTCGAGGATTCGGTGGGGCGTCGAGGCAGGGTAGATGAATAGGTGGAGAAAGGAGAAGGTCAAGTATGTCAAGGACGTGTACGTGGCCAAAGATCGGGCTGCATCGGAAGATCACAGTGATGCCGAGGCCGTGGGATCGCCGGGCGACCGGGAGTTGGAGGCAGCGGCACGAGCTAACTTTGGCGAATTCGTATCGGGAGGAAATAGCGCTGAGACTAGGAAGAGCGCTAGGCAGAGGAGGAAGCACGCTGCTTCCAAGTGCAACGTTGTCCCGGGCAGTCCCCGAGATAGGCAGGTGCTGAGTGCCGTAGACCGGCACGTCAAGGACGATGTTGGAGCGTCCGACAGTCACTGCCATTCCGATACTTGTGATCCCCCTAGCGATCTGACGCCAAGTGCCTCAGATTCTCAGGCAGTCGCTTGTAATGGCGAGAATAAATTGGGTATGCCTCTTGTGAATACTCATTGGGAGCTTGTACGGGTGCTCGAGCCAATTGTTGCACCAGTTTTGGTATCACGTACTGATTCGTTTGGACGAGATTTGTAGTCTTGGGGTTCTCGTATGTCAGGCTTTTTCGTGCCACGAGAATTTCATGAATCTGACATATACTTGACTTACAGTGGACTGATGGAATTCTCCATTCGCTTTTTCATCTTCGGTACGCATCTTATATACATTAAAAACGTGCAGAGAATGGTGAGGGGAATAGCGTCGAAGGTCAATACAGGGAGGCAGCGGTTCCCGGACGTACACATGGCGGTGAATCCGTACCGCAGAGGCTCGAAAGGTTCATGAAGGCTTGTGTGATACCCTCTTTGAGTCCAGAACAGTTCGAATCAAATGTTCAAGAGCAGGAGGATGAGGTGGGTGATTTCAGATCTGGAACTTCTCTAACATCAGTATTGGAAAACTTTATCGGTAGTCGAGCTCGTCTCTAAGTGGAACTTAGAGAATATTTCTTCCTCCCGCATTTAGTTATCGAGATGTCCATCATATACTTAACAACTTAACATTCGGAAAATAATAGGATGTATGTGAATAGTGCACGCAACTCCGTAAGATTCATGAATGGCGTCGAGGAACCCAGAATATACATAGAGTGTAGAGATCGAGAGAAATGCTGTTCTGTCGAGTAGAGACGGTCATAGTCTTCCCGCACCCTGACTAATGACAGAAGTGGAGAAATAAGAAGCTGAACTGCACTGCCTGAACTGGTAAAATGTCTGAGTTGCGTCAGCAGTTTAATGACCTCCAAATCCAAAGCGGTGCCTCTTCATCCTAAAACCCTAAACTTTGTATTTGTCCTCGGGACTGATCAATTTAGCAGAATTGTCTAACCTCTGTACAATATATTCTAAATGTCAATTTTGACTACCTTCTGATTAGGCAGATTATGCTAGTATTAATTTATATGTAATTATCATTAATTTCTCTGGACAAAACCTTATGGAGAAGCTTCTAGCATCCCTCTGAGTAGTTTTGTCGAACCGTATGCACAGTGTTTCTCAGTATCCGGTGTTTACCTTCTTGGTTTATGAATTGTGAAGTGTAATTTACAATTGTCAGTTGTTCGCAGTTTACAAGTGTGAAATTTCTCCTACTACAGGGACAACTTGCTTCGTTACCCGCTGAACGCATACTTCCATTGTCACAAGAATTTTCCTCCTATAATGAAGCCCTCATGGGTGGAGATATAACACATAGCTCAGCTCCATGGCTGGCATAGAGTTTGTGTATCCACTGTTACTTCTGCGCATTATATGGGTTTTTCACATCCTCTCTCCATTGATGTAATGTCTTCTATATATTTTCTATGTAATTTAAATATAGGCCTTCTTGCTGACAGCTGGATTTTTCGTTTGCGGGATTCTCAGGTTTTCAGCAGAGTTACTCCTTTCTATTTTTTACGGAAATTGACGTTTGTAGTGATCTAGTCTTGATGTGAATCGTGTAACTACATTGACCTAGATAAGTGCCAGAGAGTGTTTTCGACTCAGATCTCGCAGAACTCATCATGTCATCGTTGCGAAATTTGGAGATCCTGGTCAGATGATTGAGTCTAGAAAAGTCTCATGCACTTTAGTGAAAAATCTCCATACTGCCTTGGAGCTCTAAGACCAGCGTTGATTTTGTGCCATATTTCTTTCTCTAACACTGACCTTTATCTAAGATAGCTTGCTGCCTGGATTCTATTCTCTGTTGCCTTATAGCTAGTGCTTGTGAGTCCCTTTTGTTGCAAACCATCAATATTTCGTTTCAGTTTCTGAAAAGAGCAACAACACTAACTTGACTCCTTCCGTTTGTCCTGAATGGCGATCGATAGAAAGTCTGTATCAAGTGATATACATGATGATATTGTCTTTCATGTAGTACTGTAGTACTGTTCTCTGTTTCTCGTATAGTGCTCTTCATATTAACTGTACGACGTCACCAGGTCGTTAATTCTATGCTTAAAATAGGAATTAGATAGTTATTGTCAATATGTTTTAGTCTTTGTTCTTTTCCAATACAGTTGCAATGAGTTTTGTGTCGTCATCCTTTCGTGGCTCTATTTCTCACCGTGCAACATTCGCTCGCAGATTATGGCCTTGGAAGCAATCTATGGAGAAGATTTCAAGCGCTTCAACAATGAAAATATCAAGACTCCATCTTTTGCTGTACGTGTCTCTTGGTTTGTCTTATTTCTCACAGGATTGCCTCTTCCTGCTCGTTTATGATGTGTACAATCTGTTTCTTTATGCACTGAATGAGGACTTCTTTACTATTGAAGATGTTTCACACTCTCTTAAAGGCTTAAAAAATTTCGTGGATGAAAACTTTTCTTTTGTATGCGTGTCAGACTTCGAACCGATTCTGGTATAGATGTTGTCAGGGAGGGAATCTTCGATAGACTGTTCTCAACTCAAAGGTTGAAGTTTGATCTGGAATGTGCCAGTAACATTGCAAGCATGGGGAGGAGCCGGAAATTGATTAAGTGGAAAACTCTATACAACGAACTAATTTCACGCTACAATTTGCAGATCTCTGTCAACGTTGATATATCTGAAAACATAATTTTATGGGCAGAGCACCCATCAACGGCTGACTCTAGCAGTAGTGTTGGGAGCGAACCTTCAAGTACCATTGATGGGAGTTCTGTGGCTTCTACGAGCGGGGCTTCAGAAAAGGATTCCATGCATAGTTTTACCGTTCAATCTCTACCTCCATTTAGGCTAGTGTACACATTACCCGTTTCCTACCCTTCACATTCTCCACCCTTGTTCACCTTGTCGTCCATGTGGTTGAACTCAGCGAAGCTCTCGAGATTATGTTCTGCTCTGGATAAAATTTGGGCTGAGCAAAAGGGTCAGGTTGTTCTGTACTCGTGGATTGAGTGGCTACAAACGCAGAGCCTCACATTCCTCGGAATGTTTGAAAAGCTCGAATTAGGACCATACACCGTTGATGGAGAAATATGTAGACAGGATTCAGATGAGAGGGCTTCGTCCGGTTGTATCTCGTTCGAGTCAGACATAGCTCGTCTTCTTCGACATAATGAGGAAAGGAGAAACGAAGAATTTTGCAAAGCTATCCACACGTGCTACATCTGCTTCTCGGAGCATCTAGGTACCATCATAGAAATGATACTTTTCTCTGATCTCATAAACTTTATACGTTTGAGGCTTGTACGTAAACTATGGCAGCAACTCTTAAAACAACAACGGATCTGAGATTTGAAAATTTTCAAGGATGTTTCCAACTTTTGATAGTTGTGATCCTTCGATGGAATGATGCAGGGAAAGATTTTGCCAGATTGCCCTGTCAGCATATATTTTGCATGGACTGCATGCAAACTCTTGCGACTGTGCATGTGAAGGAGGGTTCAGTCAATAAGCTCAATTGTCCTGATACTTCCTGCCGGGGATCTATTCCACCTTACTTACTGAAAGAACTTCTTGAAGAAGAAGTATTTCAAAGGTGGGAAGATTTGGTGCTACAAAGATCGCTTGATGCGATGATGGACATTGTTTACTGTCCACGCTGTAAGACAGTATGCATAGAGGAGGAGGACAATTTCGTGCAGTGCACTAAGTGTTTCTACAGTTTCTGTAGTCTGTGTCGGCAGTCGTGGCATGTGGGGCAGGAATGCATGTCTGCCGAAGCTCGTTTGAAAATTCTCCAGGTATCATCACGATCCTTTAAGCTGTCGTTTTCAAGTTGTTGACGAAAACGTTGGTTGCTAAGTTGCTGAGGAACTGCAGGGGCGCCGAAATATGGGTCAATCTGATGAGGACCAGAGGAGGAAGGAGGAGGAGCTAAGAAATGAGATGATGAATATGAACTACGTTCGGCGAGAAGCAAAGCAGTGCCCTAAGTGTAAGATGGCAATCTCGAAGAGTGAGGGATGTAACAAAATGGTGTGCTCGAATTGTGATCAGTTCTTCTGCTTCAAATGCGGCGAGGCAATTAAGGGTTACGATCACTTTGCGTAAGTACGATTCTTTAAGTTGAGAAACGAGGATAAACAGGATTTTGAGAATGTTTTGCTTTCTTACATCATTTTTCTGGAGGCAAGAGCACGGGGGAATGCCCAATAGTCCTATATGAGCCGCGAGAACCAACTAGTATTGCAAGCTTCGGCTGAGCATAGCATATGGCGGACTGCTTACGTTTTACTGACTTAGTCTCGATAGTTACTGAGGAAATAGGAGTCGTCACACAATAGTCTTCAATGGTTCTAATACCCGATTGATGCACCTTCTGAACTTGAAATGTACGTGTGGTGAGATTAGCTTCGAGTAAAGCCCTTAATTTGTATTGTTGGAGCAGGGATGGACAATGTGAGCTCTTTGTTGAGGTTCAAGAGATAGCGCGTTGGCAGCCTGAAGCTTTGTTGCTGCAACAGCAAGCACAAGCTGAGCTGGAGCTTTGGCCAGAGCGTGGTCGGCAATGCCCTAATTGTCGACAACTCAATGTGAAGGTCAGATACGAAATTCTTTGGGATGACCTTAGCGGTTTTATTCATTCGTAGATCCTTGTGCCTGTTGGACCCAATTTTGTCTTCTTGAGTTAACTCAGCTGTTTCTTACTTTGGCATAATAGATGTGCATTTAGTGACAGTAATTTTTTGTGTTCATTCTGAGACGTTTTTCTTTTCCGGCATGCGTTGCACGTTCTGTCTACAAGTGAATCAGACTACTAGTGTCGAGGCTCCTGCAGGTTGCTAATCTATCTTGTGTTCTTACTGCATTCAGACTCGCAACAACAATCACATATATTGCTGGGCTTGTAGAAGTTCCTATTGTTGTCTTTGTTACAAAGTTGTACGAAGGACGTCCGAGCACTATGGTTCTGGCCCCTCTAAATGTCGCCAACACACGGCCGATTGAGTTTCTTAGCCAAAATTCTCCCATCTCTGCACGGAGCAAGCTTCTCAAATATTGTCAAAGTTGAAGGTTTTTAAAGGTGGTGACCAGGTCCTTGACTTATCGGCACGTGTGAAACTTGCTTCATCAAATTCTTCTGACAGGGTAACTTTTATGTTTGAAAGGCTTTGACTCGTCCCGGAGACTTGCACTCGAGGATTATGTGTAGTTGAAGTGGAATTATTTAGCGCCTTAAGGCCGAACTGTGACAAATTTTGTTGTTCTTTTCTATCCAGGGTGGTCTTACTTTCTCTCTTCAACAGGAGTTTGCTAATGTCTAAGAATTTCATCAACATAGCTGATGGTGGCGAGTGAATGATTGACGAATGTTTTTTTTTGGGTAATAGGTGCGATTTTGTGGTCTCAATGGAGATTGATCTTTGGGACTGCCATCTTGAGATTGTGTACAGTGGAGGCATGGACGTGGGAAAGCCCAAACGATTATCAGTCCTAATCTGACATCAGTCTTAATGATGTCAGATTCATAAGAAGGGGTATATATTTTTGGCACTTATAGGAAGAGTATGTGGTTGCTTGTGACTGAGGAGTGCACGACTTTTTTTCAGTCGCAGTGCAAGTTGTAGTCCCGAATGAGCTTGCATTGCCAATGGAGAAGGAGAGGTTTAACTTTGACAGTTTCAACTTACGAGGACATTGTGAGATCGAAGATTGGGTGTCAAAGATGTCGTCCACATTGCTTGGTTTTCGATTATTCTTTTCACTGGAAATTTGAACTAGTTGTTATTTGCTTTTCGAATATAGAGTCTTAAACTGCGAGCAAGTCGGAAAATTTAAACTTGAGACCCGTCTCAATTGCACCCAATTCTTCTATACCGAAGGCATGCACTCATCCGATTTGTAGATATGATGTACGGCACAATGCAGCAAACATCCATCAACTTCTGTTGTCGGGCTCAATCTTTCCAACGTTTGCAATGAGATGCATTATGGAATAAAGGAAATGTTGCTCATTCCATCTACACTTCTTGTGAGGAAATTTTGAGATTGTTCAACTTCAAGAGACTGTTGATTGTATGGCTGTTTTGTTTTTTAAGTGGTTGCGTTTTTCAGTCCTGTACTGTATTTGAGTAGATGCCATATTGATGTCTCGCTCTTGCTTAGACCAATTGCCAAGTCGAAATTACTTCCAAGGACCACGAACCTGGTAGATATAAGGGAATCGCAGCAGTATGATCGTGTAGAGCTAACCATGCTGTTCACAATTCATGCAGCGCAAGCTTGTAGCGAAAAGGTGAAACCTTATCTCACATGAGGGTACACACCGATACTCAATAGTAAGAAGTATAGTTGACTCTAGGGTGACGACTCTAACGTAAAACGATAGATTTTTTAATTTAGACCGGAACAACTTTTCCAGTGAACTGAATGCAGGAATAAGTCTCTGCTTTGGAAATATGTACGTTTCAACCTAGAACAACGTTTCAACGTGGTGTCCGCATCAATGTAATATAGTAATATAAGCGGCAGACTTACAAAGCGAAGACATGTTACAAACGCAAAGAGAGAAAAGAAAGATCTCTAACTATCTCCATTCAGTCGAAATAAAGATATAATGTATATATAAGTTTGAAAAAATAAATGTAAATCTTTACTTAGTTGGATATGAAACATTAAAATTTTTTTATTAAGATTTATGATGCATACATACATGATATATAGGCTTGTTATACTACTAATTTGAATGATGATGAAGATGTATGAGGGCGAATAGTCAATCATAAAACAGTCAATTATCATTATCTATTCTTAAATCCACCCCGTTTTCGAATTGAAGACATTTCTCTCCATTAATTCGTCAATTTTCTTGTATTAAACATTGAAAATACAGACTTAACACATACTTGACGTAAACCATATGTGGTTCAATGTTGGTTACTTTCATGGGATTGTAGAAGTTTACTTATAAAAATTGATGCAATGTTTTGCACTCTTAATTTTTCAATTGAACAAATGTTTTTTGAAAAGTAAACTCTATAATATACATAATTATTTAACAAAAATTTTAAAAAATAAATCTAATACTAATAATTTTTTAAACTAGAGTTAATTAAAACTAAACCACAATCAAAACATGATAGAGTAGAAATATTTCAAGATAACAAAATGTTAATAAATTTTACTTGTGATCTTCATGCAAAACTTGCATTGTACCACAATGTTTCAAAAATTTATCTAAACAAACAATTTTGGTTAACACATAAACTAATTAAATAATTGTCAATATTGATTAAGTCAATCAAAGATTACATGTCATTCAAATGATATGTGATATCGATACATCTCACTTTGTTATCTATACGCTTGATTTGCAACAAGAAGTAACACACTTTGAATATCACAATGAAGATTGACAAACTCATATTTTAATCCTATCTAAATGATAAACCTATGACACCAAATGACTTGCTTTTGTTACCGTTACATATTCAGCTTTTGTTGTGTATTGAACTAAGCATTTTTGCAAAATAGAATTTCAACTTATGCATCCACCATTAAGTGTAAACATATACCAGTTATAAATTTATTATAGTCCAGATTTATTCCATAGTGAGCATTAACGTAGTCAAACAAAGATTTGACATTGTCTAATAAACCAATGGACAATAAACCTTATCTTTATTACTCTTTAGGTACTTGAAAATCCATTTCATTGTTTTTCAAGAGATTTTTTTTTGGGTTTGATACGTAATTCCTCATCGTATCCATTATTGAAAGAATAGCAAATCTTGTGCATATCGTCAAATACATGATGTTCGAAGCTCTGTAAAAAAATATGATTTACTTTCTCAATGGCATTGGTTGTACACTTAGTTGAATAAAGTTTGATATGTGTTGCAAAAGAAGTCTATACACCATTAGAGACTATCATGTTAAACATGTCAAGCAAAAGTTGAATGTAATTGACATTATTCAACCATAACTTGATCTCTCAAATTCCCATGAAAATCTACTTCTGATATTTATCCTGTTGAACTTTTCCAAATACTTTAACTTAAATACATGCTTTATATGATTCTTGCATTTGTTGTACTCAGATTTATTTTTCACCAGAATAAATATATAATGTACGTGGAGTATAAGAATAATATAATCAAATATCTCATTATTCATTTTTATCATGTAAATACATGGATCAAAGACATTCCGTGAAAATTTTTATGCTTTCATGAACTTATCAAACCTCACATTACATTTCATAGAAGTTTATATCAATGCATAGAATGATTTGAGCAATCTTAAAACCAACTTTCATGAGAAAATTACTTGATGGAATGCCTTAGAAACTCAATCGTTTTGAAGAGACCCATCAGGTTTCATTTTATCTGATGGGACCCCATTCGACGGTCACCATAAGCCACGTTCTTATAACCTATTGATTTGCTCTATAGAGTGAGGAATGTCAGCCACTTTCCGGCAAGAATATTTTGGCGACTACAGTAGTTTGCATCCATGTCTAAGAAAACGACGGGCACCATGAGTCTAAATTACTCCGGATATGGTCTTGCCATGACTTCATGTTCCATTCTACATAACTCCATATAGTATTGAAACATCATTGACGATGGGGTTGCAGGTTCGTTGATGGAGTACCATAGGGTAAAATAAAACCTTTTGGGTTCCATCAAGAGTTTCCAATTTCCCTGGAATCCCATCAAATAATTTACTCCAACTTTCATTGAACTCTATTTCAAAGCCGAGTGATTGTTGCATTTAGTTTTTTTTTTTTTCTCTAAAGATACATAGGAAAATGTTTTAACTACATACATTTGATCCATAATCACATTAATATTGCAGCAAGTGCACATATCAATTAAATTGGAGCATACTTTAATACAAGTGAAAAAATCTTGATATAATCTACACAATTTTCTATGTGAGAACTCTAGCAATGATTACAAAATACTCACTTTTTCATACATTCAATTATACTTTAAGACGTACATCTATTTGAAATCAATCAAAATTTGATTCTTTGAAAGCTTCACTAGCTTTCAAATCTTGTTATACATTATCGATGATATTTTATTGGCCGTAACACAGTACCATTCAAACTTATTGACAAAATCTTGAAATTCTTTATAAAAATGATATTCTACTTCTTTCATGATCAAGATACTCAATATCACTATCATCAAAAATTTATGAATCAATTTAAATTTCATACCTTATTAGAGCCATACTAATATAATTTGATTAATTCCTAGTAAATTACAATTCTTTCAATGATCAAGATTTATTGAAAGAAACATCTTGATTTTACAATAACTTTACAAGCTATAGTGTCTCATAATCTAAAGCCCCTTACATCATTAGCAATTTTCCCAAAAACAACACTTTTTGATAGTTTGTATCTATTTTACTTATATATGAGATGATAAATCATATAGCAAACAGTTTTTGAACAACTAAAATCAACCATTTGTTTATGACTTAATTCAAACAGTGTCGAAAAACTAATAACATTAAAACAAAAAGGATTTTTACAAAAATATACTGCAATATACACAACTTCAATCTGAAATTAATGTGATAAATCAAATTCTCTTAACATACTCTGTTTCAACATACATACATTCTAACCTGATTTGATTGAGTATTTCAACAATAGCGTTCTATTGTAGAATATAGACCGTACTGAAATGACAAGCAATCTCATTGAGGAGGAAATGATTAATAAATTCCTACTCTTTCATAGCTACCTTGAAAGTACTCAAAAGTATATTTTTTTGCCATTATCTGTTTGTAAATATTTCATCATTTGTCTTGTAAGACCTATAGTTGTATGTGTGAATTACTAGTAGATTTAGCCAAAGTGTTGACAAGGAATAAGCTAGTCAAGATTGATTTTAGCTAGTCATGATTAAATGTAACAATCAAATCTATACTTGGAAAAATTAATAACATATTTATAAAATCATATTAGTGAACATAACTATTTTGTCTCATATCAACATCTAGATTCTAAAAGAAAAAATATTTGACTACATGTTACTTTTGATAAAGTAATAACTTTTTTATTGATTAGATTAAATATAATGTTGATTTAATGACAAATGAAAGTTTTAAAAGTTTCAAAATTTCCATTTGCATGTTATCATTTCAATCTATGGAAAGAAAATCTTCTATAATGTTTAGTTAGACCAATGATATATTGTTATGTAATGAAAATTAATCAAACCTCTTAATGTGTATCTTTGTAAAAGAAAATTGGATGACTATTATCATACATTGTTATAATAATTTTTCAAACAGAAAGATAGATAATAGACTCTCAACAAAAATTGAAAATTTCATTCTCTGATAAATTGTTTTATCAAGGAATGGTTAGGTCATATTATCATATTGGAGTAACGATGAATGATTCTCTTTGAATGATGAATGAAGAGATTGTGTGAGAGATGTTTGAAACAATGCATGTACATGAACACTTGTCTTTTATAATCATGATGAACTCTCAAAAAGATATTTGAGATAAACTTGAATTATAATCAGAAAGTGTTATTTTTGTTTCTTTATTGTACTCAATCTAAGATTCAAAAAATCTTGAATTCAATGCTCTGCTTAGAAAAAAACTTACCAATGAAAGTATACAAGATGGGGACATTAGAAAGAAGAGAGAGTAGATCATGTTTCAAAATAATATACACTTTGTGTACGTAGTGGTTTTGTATGATATCTTAGAAGTTATTTTGTATATTGGATTCACTTGAACAAGTCATTTTGAAAGAATTATGGTTTTAAAGACAACAAATTATTTTTTGCAAACATTTTTTAAACATTTTTTAATTTTTTATTGATAATAGAATGAAAAATGAAATATATACTAGTTTTTATTTGAAGTTATAATTAATTTTTAGTTAAGGTTATGAGTATCAAAATTAAAGAGATTCTAATTGATATTAAAATTTAAAATTAGGGAAAATTTATGTTAAACTACAAAATAATCAAAATTCTATTGAGATATCATGTTTGAAAATAAATTTAAGATTCAAAGTTTAGAATACAAAAATAAAAATTAAACGCAAAAGTCGATCAAAGAAAAATGAATGAACAATTAAATTCAAAAATTCAGATTATATAGATCAAATCAAATACTTGATGTAATAATTTTCATAGATTTAAAAAAAAAAAATTAAGAGAAAAAGAATAGATGTTTTATTCTTGTGATGAGTAAAAACTAATATTTTTTATTATTCATAACAAAACGAGGATCTTAACATGAATAATTTTGAAAGTTCTGAAACTTTATTTAGTATTTATTGCACATGATTATCAAAATTCAATATATTAGTACAAGAATGAAAAAATTTCGTCCACTTGTAATTAATTAATTAATTATTTTCGGATATGGATTCAAATTTCACATGGTTGAGTCAAATTAAATCAATATCTGTGAGTGTTGTAAAATATATTACTTTGTTTATTTTATATTGATAGTTTTTTAAATAATAATAGAAAGAATTATATATAATAATTTACTTCTAAACTATTGGATTGAATCCTTGTGGAAATTGCATCAAGTGATCTTCATGGTACCGGACCAAGTTTCTAGTAAAGATTGATTCCTCGGAGTTTATTAAGTATTCCCATCCTCTTTCTTTATAAGCTGGTCCAAGTCTGTCAAATGTCGTTATCACTTGAACATCCCGTACCAAGAGCACTTTCACGTGCAATAACTTTGGCCACTGCCGTGAAGGCTTCGGACGTGAGCGGCCCAAGACTATTTCGCTTATTGTCGTCGCCGGATTTCTGACTGGCGCTGACGATGCGCTCACCGAGAGTCAAAAGCTGCACGCTTCCATGGCGCGCGGAAGACCGTTGTCAGCGATCAGAAGTCGTCTCAGTGCCCACGCCATGTGAGCTGAACGAACACAGTGCAGCGAGCTGAACCAAATTGGTTGTGCCTCGTGACGATGGCCGCATTCGCCAATCCCTCGCGCGTGAATTTGCGGGCGGGCGGGCGGGTGGTGTTCAGACATCGACATAGGCTCGAACGAGGAGGAGGAGGAGGAGGAGCTCGAGCGGCAACATGTCTCCGGCTGCCATTTCGGACCCGAAGTGGACGACTGTGTCAAGGCGCTTGGTGAAGCCCGACGTGGGGAGGGATCCGGAATGCATGGAGCTCACGCCGCTCGACTTCTTGTTCACAGATCTCTTCTCGTCGTATCTGTTCCTGTACAAACGCGGATCCGAGGGCGCGGAAATCGGCGCGCTGGACGTTGACGGGCTGATTCGATCTTTGAGTAAAACGCTGGTTCATTTCTACCCGCTGGCAGGACGCCTGATCAAGAACCCCGAAGACGGCTCCGTGCGCCTGCACTGCAACGATGCCGGCGCCGTGTGGATTCACAAACGCTACGATGGACTTTTATCGGACGTCCTCGACGAATCCAACTTTCAGCCCGATGAGCGTTTCTCTGGCCTCGCAGACACGATTCCTCGCGACCAGGAGGTCTACGATCCATCGGGACGGCCTGCGCTCATCGTCCAGGTGATCCTCTCGCATCGATGACCTTCCAAATCGCGTGACACGGACATGCTCGCTAGTTTCCTTCTGTAGTCCGTGTTCTTGAATTCTGCACCGAAGCGCAGAATTCAAGAAGCTCACGATGATACTCGTCGCCCGTCTCGTTGACAGATTGATACAGTACTCTGGACACCGCGGTGTAGTCGGAAAAGTCCTCTCGCGTGTGCAGGGCACTCTGTCACTCGGTCGCACGATACTCTGGCATCAAAGTTTCATCCCATCGATGCCCTCGAACGTGATTCTCCCGTCCCGGGAATTAATTAGCAACTCGTCGTCGGTCCCTGGCTGCGCCCATTATGAAAATGTTGCTTTGGTTGTCGCACGGATGCGCATGGCTCGGACTTCGCGCTCTGCCCTCATCATCTGACTCGAAACGAGCGAACATTGCGCAATTTCAAGCTGGGGCCGCCGAGGCTGAAGAGCAAAATCGCTGTGATGCGGATGGATGCAGGTGGCGGAGTTTCAGTGCGGGACGACAGTTCTGAGCCCGAGCTGGAGTCACATGGTGGCAGATGGCTTCTCGGCGCTCCACTTTCTCAAGTCGTGGGCGGAAATCAGCAGAGGCGAGTCGATTTCACTGGTTCCCAATCACAATCGCTCGCTCCTGGCGGTCAAAAAAGCTTGCAAGCCCGCAGAGGACTGCAGCAGCCTCCGATCGCTCAACCTCACGCCGCAGACGGCCTGCAGAAAATTGGCGTACAGCAAGCGCAGAATCGAGGAGCTCAAGGCCGAAGCGCGAGGCGATGGCGATGGCGGCGCGCGCCTCTCGACCGCGAGCTGCTTCCTGGGCCACCTTTGGCGCGAGACGCTGCGGGCCCACGACGACCTCGAGCCGAGCCGTAGGTCGCAGGTCATAATCCTCGTCGACTGCCGGTCGCGGATCCAAGACTTTCCGGCGGGCTTCTTCGGCAACTGCCTGGCCATGGCGTCGGTCGGCGCCAACGTCGGCGACCTCCTCTCGAAGCCGCTGCAGTTCGCGGCCTCGGCCGTCCACGAGGCGATGCGCACCGTCGATGAGGACACCATCGGACAATTGATCGCTTCGCTGTTCCGCGACCCTCTCTGTCTGCTCGCAGAGCCGTTCGATACGACCCACACGTTGTCCTGCTCGTGGATGATGCGCTTCCCGTTCTACGAGCTGGACTTCGGGTCCGGCATCCCGACCAACATCCTGCGCAACATCCCCAGCCGGACCATTGTCGAGATGTTCTACGTGTTCCCCCGGTCGCCCGCTTCTTCCGGTCCGGGCGACCTGGTCCTTGTCGCCGAAGGTGACGGAAGAATCTTGTCGAAATTCGGCGACGACCAATGAGCGGCTGGCGGAGACGGTTACTCCCGGTCAGAACTTGGCCCATAAACTCTCCCCGTATTTTTCTGGCTGCGTAGACCACTTTGTTGAGTACACGTGGCTGTTCGACACCACTTGATGACCTCTTGCGTAACTCTGTACTGTGAAGCGAGCCTTCGGTTGAAGGGTCTGGTCTTCGGTACTTTCTTTTGGCGCCCTTGGGCCATTCTTTTCATTGAATATCATGACCACAGTCGGATTCAATGACTGTGGAAATCTTTGATCGGATCTGATTTCTCAACGTTCATTATAATGACATTGATGGAACTCTCTATGAACGGTCAAGAATGAGAAATGTTTTAATAAACTAAAACCTTCATTCAGTCACAATTCCTGTTAATAAAATAATATGTTGTAAATTCTATTCTTCCAAATTTGGTAATAGATTTTTTTTACTTTAATTTTAAATCAAAACCTAATATATGTTGCAAATAAATAAATAAACATCATCATATCATAGTATCATAAATATTATATCTTTCTGATGAATATTTCTTTTATGAATAAAATTATTATATATATTTAATAATAATTTAATTAATTAATTCAACACATCATTTAGATAAAAACTATCTGAAATTTTCAATATTACTTATTTGATATTTTTATTCAAAGAAAATATAAATTACTATAAATTTGATTTTTTTAATACAATATATTTTTATTTTACACTTTTTGGAATAATTTAAATTTATGATATAATTCCAGTTATATTACTTATAAATTCATATTTAACCTCATTTCAAAAATACGTTGTATACACATTATATTAGTTTTATCTAGTAGTTTTGTTACTATATCATTAAACTTTGATTTATATCTTTCAATCTTTTATACATTCAAACCCAATTCTGCTTTTCTTTATTGCATTGAATCCTAAAGCTAGTTTTTTGTGTAATATAATCAAATGCATATTTAAATAATGTAATTAACATATTGCTAAATCATTAATATATGTTGAGGTCAACTCTGGTTAAGAAATAACTTAAAATCCTAGTTATATTTAGCTATGAGGTCGTCAGTGTTGGGTGTTTATACCACATGATTTATGTATTACCGACACACTTTCAGTATACTCTCATGAGTGAGTTCACCGGTGAATATAGCACTCTTGAGCATGAACCACGTCATACTTGTCTGTCTTGTGTTGGTTGTTAGTTTGAATGTTTTGTCACCTATGATTCTCAACTTTTACGTTTACAATATAATTAACCTGAAAATCCATATATCAAAGTCGTTTTTTTAAATACTCCAGTAAATCTTAAGATTCAAATTACAACTAGAGACTTTAGAATCTTCTCATGGTATTTGATTCAAACATTCTTATTACTTGTTGGTCTTGTACTCAAATCTCCAAATAATAAATGCAACCAACACACTTACCTTGTACATAACAAGCATACGAAAAATAGATTTTGGATTTACATCTAGCTACATCCACTGCAACACAACAAACTTTAAAAAAATACTAATTGTGTTATTAAGACCTTTGATTAATTTACTTATACAATGACACACTAACTAGCTAAATAAATTAGCATTAAACTTATCAAAGTTAAACGATACTTGGATTAACTCCTCATGATTTTTCTCTTGGAGCCTATAATCTCCATAACTATGTAATTATTGAGTATGTTTTTAGAAGCAACCCTAACATAAATTTCTCTTTAAAATAGAGTTAACTATAACCAAAACACAAGAAAATGAATGTTAAGATCATGTGTAGAGAGATTACATAATTGCTAGTCTTCTCTACTTCTAACTATATGAAAAACCTGAAATTTGGCACGATGATTTGACAACTCTTTGACCAAATTACTTCAGTAAAGACATTCATGCAACTAAGTTAACCATCAATCTAGACAAGTTCAAATTTATTTCAGATATAGCTTGTTTTGTCAAAGTGTTTTTATTACTTCACTCACAACTCGGTGTAATTCACTTTGACTATCACAATTCACAAAGTCATGAACTTATTGACACACCTATCCAATCAAGTTGCGTCTTTTTTTCTTCTGCTTTTGTTACATACCTAGTATCCATAGTGAATTAAGATACAGAGTTTTGCTATGTAGACTTTTTAATTATGGATTCATCTCCAAGTGTGAACATATAATCTATCTGTAGATTTTTCTTCATCCAAATTGTATTCATAACCACCATCTACATAATTAATATGTGATTTGAGTTTTACTATTTTGCAATAAAAAAGACAAAAATCCAACAACTATTATATTAAAATCCATTTCACAATTGTGTGTTATATTTTTCCTGAATTGAATATGAAACTGCTTGTCTTGACCTTAGAAATAAAATTCTATTGCAAATATTCAATAACATGAAACTTTTCACTCTCTTGTCGTAAAGTATCTTGAACATCAAAAAAAAACATTCACTCATCTATCCAAAAAAGAAGAAGAATGAAAGCTTGAAATCAAAGCTAAATGAAGATTCAAAGCTTTGCAACTTTCAATGTTGAATCTTGCAACTATTTTTTTAAGCATACTTGTCTTGAATTAATCAAAGCTTTCTATTTAAAAAAAAAAATTAAAAATTTTTATTATCAAGATCCTTCTTGCTACATCTTTATTTTTAAATTTAAACTCGAATTTCAAGAAATGTTTGAACATATCATAATCAAATATATTCTAGCTGCAATAAGCATCACAATCACATAAATAACTATAAAAATGAATCAAAAAAATTTTTTACTCACTAATTTTTTATATACATATGAATCATATTTACTCCAATTAAATCCTTGCAATTTCATGAAGCCTTCAATTTTTGTATTACATTTTCGATGAACTTGTTTTAATCTGCACAAGAATTGTAGTAAACTCAATAAAAATACACCAAATTCTATGGATTGTCTTATGAGTATAACTTTATTAAAATAACCGTAAAACAAAACAAAGACTACATCCATTTGGCCTAAAACATCAAACAAAGTCACAAGATGCTAGTTTGTCAATGTCACGAGCTTCACTCAAGATACTCTCTCTTCCCACAAAGTCCACAGGTCGTATTGCCGATAAACAAAATTTGACACAAATTTCTATTTCTATGCAAAAAGAAGTTTGCCAACACCAGATCCCCCAAGTTAGAAATAAGCTTCTATCGCAAGCAGCCCAACAGGAAAAGGCTTTTTTCTCACGGAGTAGATTTTCATCCATAAAGGAGCACTTTGCCGGGAGTTATTACAAATATAAAGTATCTCTTAGTACCAGAATTGGTATTCCATCAGGAGAGTTTGTAGTCAGCTGCTTGAATTAATCCTCAAGATACTTGGCTCTTGCAGAAACTAAAGATTTATGGACTAATCTCAAAATCTGTCGCTGAACAAGATAATATGTATTATCTAATCACACCAGTATTGTAGTCTTCTTCATCTGGAAAACTCTCAATGGTGATCCTCTCATCGTGAGAGGATCACCATTGCCCTTCACGTTGTGATTAGGGTTGACTGTATAATGGTTATCGCCGTACTATGTGGGATGCCAAACCATGTGAATAATTCTAAGTTTACTGAGTTTATGGTAGAGATTACTTTGGTAAAAGCTTCAAAACACAAAGTGAATTTAGTTCAACCATAGTATGCCTTTTATGCTCTGATCATTAGAATTGTTTTGAGAGTAGAAAGATATATTGCGGTATAGTTGTGTTAGCTTAACTGCAATACATATTTGTGCTGTGGTTGAAAATGTATTTGAATTAATGATATTTTGGAAGTAAAAATAAATCACTTGTATTGTGTATTTATAGCTATGTTGATAAAAGTAGTTTTATTGTGTATGTATTGAGAGTTGAAAAAAATATGATTGTGGTATACCTGCTTCAATGTATGAATATAAATGAATTGTGATGGTTAATGTGACAATATATGTATGTTGTCATGCCACATGCATATTGCGGACGCATGGGCTTTTCTGACCAACAGCTTAAGTGTTAGGATAACTCTTAGGTCTCAGCTAACTCTAGTTAGCTTAACTTTAGTTAAGGACTAGCTTAGGTTAGGGTTGCTTGCTATATAGGTGAGCCTGAGTGACCTCACTGGTTGAGAGATAGAACACTCATTGTGTAGGAGTGCTTCATGGAGAACGTGAGAGCTTGGAAAGCAGAGACTCGATACGGCTATGACTTAGATTCTTAGTAAAGTTCCCATTGTTCCCGTGGACGTAGTCTCAGTGTAGGTGAACCACGTTATCTCTTGGTATCAATTTCTCTCGTGCATGTATGTCTCACTGTGTATGCCGTCTATGTTTAACAAATGGTATCAGAACCCACCTGGGAGGTGACGGGTTTGTGAGTGCTCGTGCGAGGAGTTAGTTAGGGATTTGAGATTTTCTCGGAGTTTCGTCGCGTGGATGTGGGAAAATCTTGGATAATATGAGAGCTTAAGTCTAGGAAGTTCTAACGGTATTTGAACAAGATCGATCGGAGTTTGGAGCGCGGAGTAATTGAGATTAGAGTTTTCTTGACGGTTTCATGGTCGAATGTTTCAAGATTTTACCTACGGTTTTTTTGTGAAATTTCAGAAATTGATTTCTTGATTTTGGGGTAGAGACAGTACGTGTGAACATGCAAGGTTTTGTGAAAAACATAGATATGGGCAAGCTGGTCGCATTGGCGCAAGATTAGTCGAGTTTCGACTTGCAGGTGGAAAGTTATGAGCCGACAACGATTTTTGGAGTTTCCGCCGGCTATGGACATTTAGGGCCAACCTCAAACTCATTTTTCATTTTGGCGTTTGGTTGGTGAGAAAAAGCGGGACAAAAAGTAGAGCAACGAAGACATCGAGCCAGCGCGGTCGATTTGCAACCAAAATTGCGGTCTACGGTGAACGGGGGAGCGAGATGCGAGTCGAGGTACTTTTTCTAACGAGCCTGAAATCCCTAACAAGCCTGTCGTAGTGACGAAAGAGCAAATTCGGAAACATTCTCGAAGTTCACGTTCCGTCTTTGTGGTTGAAAATGATGGTTTAAAGATTAAGTTAAAGTGTAAACTTAAAGTTAAAACTCTTAACTTTTTCTTTAGAGAAAATTCGATTCCTCCCCCTCCACCTTTCCACTTCGTTTAACTTTCCCTTGTAATTTTTGGAAACAAAAAATTACAAGGAAAAATCCCTTAATTTTGCCCCTGGCCCTTTCGGGCCCTCTGCGACAAGGCCTTATGCCCCTTGTCACAGAATCTTCCAAATAGATTCCAAAAACAGAACTTCATATTCTTGCCATTGACGGTGGATTCGGAGTGGCAAACGGTGCCCGTTTTTGGCCAAAAATTTTGTGCGCATTTGTGACAAAGTTAGCTACGCGTACGTCCTAGCCATCTTTGAAGGTCCTTGGAGAAAATTATTTCCACTTTCAAGATTCTCCGAGGAAGTCAAAACGGGGAAGAAAAGTAATTTTTGGTAGTTTTGAGACCCCGACTTTGACGATAAATAAGTTTTCACTCGGAGTTAGGTTTTGAAAATTGTTTGAAGTTTTGGAAAGATCATCTTCTGGTGAGTTCCTGAATTTTCTCTTGGGTTTCATTCTTGAAGGTAATTTTTCCTATTTATTTGTATATACCAATGGGGAGAGAGTTTGGAGAACCATATTGACATTGAAATAGCACCGTAGGAAGGCCAAGAGACCAAGCGAGGCATCATTGAGACAATGAAGGGCGGTGGCACCAAGTTTGAAATTGTCAAGTATGATGGACATACGGACTACTTGTTGTGAGAACGATAAGTGAAGGGCATGTTGAAAGCTACTGGTTCTGGTAAGCTTTTGAAGACGAAGCCGGAAGATGTGACTCGAGAAGACTGGAACGACATGCAAGAGATCGCGGTGAATACAGTCATGCTCTATCTACAACCCCATGTGATACGGCAGCTTGAAGAGTATGGGGATTGTTTGTCGTTGTTTGAGGCTCTCTAGCGGAAGTACCATCAAAAGGAGTTTTCCAATCGACTTTACACATCTTTGAAGCTGATGAGTTTCAAGATGAATGATGGTAATACCAAGGTACAAGATCACATTGATGCTTTCAATGATCTTGTGTTGGATTTACAAAACCTTTGTGAGGAGTTAAGTGACGAGAGGAAGGCATTTAACCTCTTGAGTTCACTACCTCCTTCATACAAGAGTCTATCTCAAGTACTTCTACATCGAGATAGAAGTACCATCACATACAATGAAGTGGTGAGTGCGTTGAAGACAGATGAGTTTCAACAAAAGATGATGCAGCAGTCTCTATCCTCTACATCGTTCGGAGTGGCGTTGAATGTGAACCGAGGTAGGTCACAAAAGCGGATGACGGGTGGAGACAAGCAAAAATTCAGATCTAAGTCTCGAGGGAAGTCTCAAGACAAGAAGACCTTGCTATGTTGGAAGTGTGGCAAGGCTGGCCACATGAAGAAGTATTGTCGTGAAAAGGCAAGTGATTCATCCTCTGCAAATGCAAATGTTGCAAGTGCTGACCTTGAGGATGATTTGATTAATGATGATTATGCTTTATGATGCCACAATTATACCCTCTGCACATTATCTGAAAGAAGAGATGATGAATGGATTCTTCATAGTGCTTGTTCATACCATAGTGTGTGTAAGTGTTAGTATAAGTTCATAAGTGTTAGTATAACTCTTAGGTCTCGGCTAACTTCAGTTAGCTTAACATTAGTTAGAGACTAGCTTAGGTTAGGGTTGCTTGCTATATAGATGAGCATGTGTGACCTCATTGGCTGAAAGATAGAATACTTGTTGTGTAGGAGTGCTTTAGGGAGAACGAGAGAGCTTGGAGAGCAGAGACTCGATACGGCTATGGCTTAGATTCTTAGTAAATATCTCATTGTTCCCGTAGACGTAGCCTCAGTGTAGGTGAACCACGTTATCTCTTGGTTTCGACTTCTCTCCTGCGTGTATGTCTCATTGTGTATGCCGTCTATGTTTAACATTAAGTTCATGATGTATATTGTGCAAACAACCTAGAGGAGATACAAAACATAAGCAAGACTATTCGGCACCATGTGTTGACTTGTAGGTTTGTACTCATCCTTATTATTGATTATTTGTCCAAATTTGACCATCAATTTGTATAAATATTGAAAGTCAAGAAGTAATTAACCTCTTAAAAAAATAAAAAAATCTCAATAATACATCATTTTTAAGTCCATCTCGTGACATCCAACATTAAATCTTTTGATGATACTAACTCATCAATACTTTTAGATTTATATTAACTTTGGATAGTTGGCATATACTATGCATAGAAGCCATTTTTTTTATTACTTCATTTATAAGATTAAATTGAGATATGGATATGACTTTTGATATGTGCAAGAGATTATAATGCAATAGTACATAATGTACATATCGCTTTCTCTCTGGGATACTATGTAAATGTGTTATTTTACTCGCCAGCATCAATGAAAAATCAATTATTCAATGTTGTTGATTTTGATGTTGTAAATGTTTTAGAGTATGCTATTTTTCATTCACTAGACACTCTTCTCGCATTCTCAATTGATATATTCTCAATTCTCATATATTCTTTGTTTCCAGGTGCTTTTAGAGCTTCTAGTGGCAAGCTGCATGCGAAAGGTTTTGGACCTTCAAGCTTGCATGTTCGCTAATGATCGCTATGCAACGACAAAGCATAAAAATTTGCAACCAGCTTGAAGTCAAGCTGTCCTGTAGTTAAATTGTATGTGCTATAGGAGTAATTCTCGTGTGCCTTAATCCCAGGAAAGGTGTATTATTTCCTCAGCCTATTGTGTCGCTACCTCTACAAATGCACGAATGTAACATTAATAATGGGCATAAATTAAAAACAATTTCTCATTACAGAATCATGAAGAATCGACTGCCACTTCATAAGCGTGGAGTTGGAGATAGCACCGACATGAAGGGCCGTTGCAAATTATTACCGTGAGCATCGGTTCTTTCAGAGGCAGCCAATATCCATCACTGACAAGCAGGGTTTCGGCTTTCAATCTTAAAAACAACCAACGTAGATCGAACCATAACTGACGGAATGGCCTGGCAAGCACCGGCCGACCTTTCACTGTAACATCTCGCGGTTGTTTAGCCGTGGTGATACACACCCTCATTCCTTGCTTGCCACGTTTCGAAGCTATATTACAGGCATTCATATCATGAAAATTCGTGCAAGATAGATGGCCTCACTCACCAATTTTAGTTTCTGCCACAAGCGGGTTTCAGTAAGAAAACTTGTACCGCAACAATCGATCGAATACTAAGCGATCCACAACATGTTATCTTACAAGTTAAATGACCAATACACAAAGTGCCAACGACAGACATTGTCGTAAGCAAATACCGAAAGGAAAGCAACATGAAGACCTCAAACCTCCATCCCACTACATGTTTCGCTTTCATATACATAGTTATTTACATTACCAAGGTATGAGGAACAATATGCAGTCACTTGCAAATAGGTCGAATACCGAGTAAGGACCCAAATCCACCAACTATTACGAAGTAAAGCAAACTTTGGAAAATATATGCTCCAATGACTTCTTCTCAGAACAGAAAGGAGGATTCTCAATGCATGGGCTTAATTTCTCAAATAGTTTCCTTCGAATAAACATCTACATAGTCTTTCTTCCAAAGAGAAAAAACGAAGAAAGACAACGAAGGAACTTGTAAACTAAATATTTACAAAATTTGTATTGAAACTCTCCACAGATAACAGTTCCAGTCATTTGTCCATCTAACCGCAACTCATAGTACACAAACATGAGGCAAAGCTTCCTTAGGAAACTGAATGACCCCATAGACATTTGATAGAAGTTCTATTTTGGAAACTTGCGTATCATTCCTCCAAATTTTGCAGATTTACCTGTCAATACAGCAGTATACAAATTAAAATGTGGACCACAAGTACTAAAAGGGTAGGCTCCCTGGTTAAACGTTTCAGTTGAAACATACACCACTTGCTAAGTGTTGGTATACATTTCTGGATAAAACATGAATGACACCCGAAGATAGAGTATCACAAATCCCAGGTACTTTGAACTAAATTGAAGTACTCTTCGAACCTACTAGGCCAGCAGATCAGTTGTTTCCTGACTATAAGGTGCTGTAAGACCTTCAGATTCACTTGAAAAAAGGTTCACAACGAGGTTGATTCCCGAGGAGCAGATCATAAACATGACAATAGTGATACGCAACAATTTGCAAGCATTCTTTGCAAGTCTCTCAAACCATGCTAGGATACTAAGAAGAGAGACTCTCTACATTTGCAAACAATAATATTTTAACCTACTATACTGTAAAGAAATATATCCACAACGACTCCCTCAGTTTCCTATTTCCCATCTCCCATCATTTCTTCAGCTTAAGAACCCGTATTCTGATTATTACAATGAGTAAAAAATTTGAAGGAAACTATCTCAATTATCAATAACAGGAGCACACATGCTTAGCGATAGACATTATGTTACTGAAAAATTCATGTAAAACTTGAAAATTCAGAGCGTGAAGCCTTTACATATAATTCTCTCTTTGCATTACTTGGGCGGAAACTTACCTTTGGCCTCCTTGACCACGACCCCCTCCACTCATGGGAGGTCCGCCTTGGGGCCGACCACCCATGTTGCCATAAAACTCTCCTTGTGGATAGCCATTGTGTTGCCCAGGAACTCCATACGGTGCGGGCCTACCCGCTGGAGGAGGTTGACCAGCCATGTTAGGCCCAGGAGGATACGGACCACCTCCCTGCATTTGCATTGGACCTCCATATTCTCCATTAGGACCCCTGTTATTTGCATTATTGTAGCCACCTCCTTGTCCACCATGCGGTTGACGACCTTGTCTATGTTGGCCACCTCCTTGCGGCCCACCACGTCCGCCCCAACCATATTGTTGATATGGAGCGGATGGAACGGCAGGAGGAGGATTGTTGTGGGCAGGTCTGCCATTCGGGGGCCTAGGTGGAAATGCAGGTGGAACAGGTGGCAGATGTGGTTGTTGATGATGCATCTTCATCCTCTTTGCCATCTCCTCTTGTTGTTGTCGCTGTTGCTGTCGTTTTTTCTTGGTTTGATATTCGTGAGATGTCTCATACTTCGGGAGACTGAAAAACCCAAAGTAAACATGAATTTAAAAAACAAGTTTTAGCCACCAAGCTGAAAAAGGAAGTCTCATCTATTTGTCGTTCGTCCCTAAGATCGACTTTGTATGCGCTTCTTTGTCGGCCATCCATTCTAATCACTCAGTATGATGAAACAATATATGAGAAATGAGCTACAATAACAAGGTGACTATTTGATATTCAAGAGAAATCTCGACCATATCAAGCTGGCTAGCAGAGTACAAAAGTAATCTCGAACCTGCTAGGAGAACAAGGAAGCGGATCAGTCCAGAAATACTCAGCATCCAAAGCATCTTTTGCAGTTATTCTCTGCAGATTCGAAGTACACGAACAATAGCGTCAGGCACGTTTCATGATGTCCAGAAGGAGCTCATGTAACTATTAGGGCTATCTGAGCTGAAAATGAAAACTTCAGAAACCAATGGATTATGAAACGCCTTGTTAACTCTCGCCACAAATCTAGAGAACACAAGAAACATTTATTCGAGCCGGGAGGTCATACTTATACTTATCTGTCAAGTCAAAAGAAAGAGCTAATTCCACAATCAAGAGGGGAACTGTTTAAAATATACTGGAGTGTTAAACAAATACAATGATATTTGCCCTACGGCTCTACGGGCCGAAGTTTAACCGATAAAGAAGAGAAAACACCGTTCAAAAGAAGAATCTTATATATGGCCCCTACTAGCTCAAGTTGATCAAGCTCCAAATTAGAAATTGAAGAGTACCAGGATTCTATCTCCTGTGTTAGACTTGTTCTGGCTCATGGGAGTGGAAAAAGTTCGAGGTTGGAAAAGGAAGTTGATCAGATTTGAGGGCAGAAAGACAGTTTTAGAAAAAGGAAGGAGAAGTTTTGGAGATTGAAAATGCAGAGGATATGCGAACGCCTTGCAGCTGCAGTCACGATACTTCTGGGATTGATCATACTCAGAGTATGCTGGATCCAAGAACATACCTTCGCAGGATCAAGAGTAAGCATGCGCTCAACCAGATCCAGTGCATGGCGATCAAACCTGCCACAAAAAATCCGAAGGTCGAATCAAAAGCTGAGATCAGACTAAGCCAGATATATAAATTGATCAAAAAGTGTTGACGGAAAAATGGAGAATTGTAGACTTATCCGGCTGAATATATGGGAGAAAAAGGTGACCTACGTCTTAAAAACTTCCTTCACGCGTCGCTTCATGGGCTTGGGATGTTTAAATTGATGATAACCGGGCAACTTTGAAACCCCCGGCCACATTGTCTCATCGTAAGACCCACAAAGCTCGAGTATCTTGTGAAGCTGGTCTGCCTGATTGAGCACAAAGATATTAGTCTTCTACTCCAAAGTAGAGATCCATAAGAGGCCATGGCCAACAAGACTGAAGCCATAAGAAAATGAGGGTAGATTCAGAAGGAATCAAAACGAAGGGAGAAACTTCTTCACTTACTTCCGTCTTCCCTTGAAAAATGGGCTTTCCGTAAAGAAGTTCGGCGAATATGCAGCCTACAGACCACATGTCGACTGCTTGAGTGTACTTCATGGATCCAAGAAGAAGCTCCGGAGGTCTGTATACATATTCACCCACTTTATTATCCGTTCGGACCTGATACAAAAAATAACTGAAAAGCTTAATGAGGTATTTGCAATTTCACTTATCCTCGTGACGTAGGAAAAATTAAAGCTTCTGAATACTTTTGTACGACGGCATATAAAGGGACACAAATCATGATTAACAATTAGGTAAGGTAGAGGTCTTTGAAAATTCATTGGTATTCAGAATACTGTTAATAAAACGAGAATTAAGTGATGATCACACAATCCTTACAGCTGGAACGACGAAGAATTTTATCTTGCCCTTATACATGAAACTTCATGCCAAGAATATACCTGGTTATGTCTAAACAAGCAAGAATGTTTAGCAAAGGAGGTTAACTTCATTTAGAACCACGATCAAAGTCTTTCCTTCTGCTACTCGACTTGCATGAAGTCATAATCCTCATAACTTCTGATATCTACTACCCATTTACATCCGATGGTTGGATCCAACTTCCTGAAGGTTCATGTAAGTAGAAATAGGGAAATTAAAACATTGGTCTACGCCGAGGTTGAGAAGATCATGAGATAAAATACGATATTGCGAAGTGATCGAGTAATGAAGCAAAAAAGCCTAAAAAGATGTCATAACAAATATTAGGTTACGTTTTTATCGCAATCCACTTGGTTAAGTCCGCTGACATCTACGGTCAGAAAATAATACTTCAGGTCACGAGCATAATTGTCTACTATCCCAGAATAATACCCTATCCTTACATATTTCTGTCTTTAGTAGAAAGATTCCGAATTTCGATTGTTGTAAATCTTGGAACTAACTCCGGTGCTGATCTTATTCAAAAAGATCTGACAACATATGCCACTAATATGTATCATATCGTTCATACTTTACTGTGAATAGAACTTGCGTAAGATGGAAAGTAATTACCTGTACCACAAAGTGATGACCCGATTGGTCAATTGATGACAGTCCGATGAATATGATCTGGCCAAACCAAAGTCGGCAAGTTTGAGAATTCCATGGTTATCGATCAGAAGATTAGATCCTGTTCGCCAAACCAAAAGCACGCAAACTTTTCAGGTTAAACAATTGGCAATGAGATGCAATCAGAGTTGAAGTTTTTAAACTCGTTGGCTGCCGTGTGTAGAGATGGGTAACTTAGTGACGTGTGAGAAAGATACATAAAGCTCACCATGTTATCTGCGACTTAATGTCCGTTAAACAGTTTACTGTACAAGAAAATTTGATGTCTTCAGATTATAACGATAAAACCTCTAGATAAACTCTAATATGCGATAGATCAATATGCTCACCTTATCAAAACAAGTAACAAAGTATAAGGTAATCTACGTTGTCATTCTTTGGAAAAGAGAGTACACTATTCGACGAGACTACATCCGCATTGTCATTATCATATATTTTAGGTTAACAGTCATATTTACCTAAGTATAAATTGACTGTTGTATCATCTAAAATATCATAAGACTTTCTCGACATACTTCTCATGTGGCCAGTGATCACCTTTTATGTCTCGATGAAGTACTTGATTGATATGACAATAATGAAGACCTGTCAAGAGCTGTTTCATATAGCACTGCACCAAAAAACACGAAGGGCTTTAATACATATTCATAACTTCATTTTTCAAGGTCTTCTTGTGATCAACAGAGCCATTCAAATCTAAAAGAAATCATGAAACCTTCTAAAAAGTACAAAATTGATCGAGCTCCTCAGCTTGACTCATTCGAACTAACATTTTAAGCAGTCTTTGGTTCTTTCTGGAAGAGGTTCCGTAATGGATATTGCTGTCATTCCAGCATCTTCAATCGTGTTAATCTTGAATTAATCACTTTATTACAAATGAATCATGCCCTTAATCTACGCCGAGATATATCATCCTTCAAGTTCTCACAAAAGATCACGATTTTGAAACTATACCTTAATCTGAGGTACAGTAAACCGTATGCCAGGTTGATCAATCAATCCCGTGAGATCATGATCCATATATTCAAAAACCATGTAGATACTACCCTTCAACAAATTTGTCTCGCAGCTTTTATCCAGACCTGCAAATTCCAAATTTATATATGGGTGGAAGGATCTTCACAGGACCCAAAAAGTTACAAGTCCATGAATAGTTGGTATGAAAAAGTAGTACAACGCGGATTTGATGTATACAACTTGAGGTAATGTTCTAGCAAGTAGGTCATCAAAGCATTTCAAGGACCATGATTAACCTTTTCTGCGATCTTATTTTGCATGTAGATTCCAATTACGACGTAAATCCCAATACACCCAATGCCAAATAAGGTTTTCAGTAATAAGGTTTGAGAATGGACATGGCATTCGATGTTAAGCCATAAGAATACGCACTTAGCTCATGAGCCTTGTCTGCATCGTCCTTCTCAATTCCTGCGTATGAATTTAAACTTGGAAGTATCAGAGAGCAACCTTCATAAAGCGATCTTTGTAAGTAAGGTTAATACAGATCTGACTAAAAGATAAAACACACTCCCTACATTCTATCCAGCAGAGAAAGATGTGACAATAAATAGATGAAACGAGAAGTAACCTTTGGAGGTAACAATCTCCTTCAACTTGATGACATTAGCATGTTGTAGCTTCTTAAGAAGTTTAATCTCCCGTATGGCTGTAATAGGGAACTGCATCATGAGAAATAGATTATTATCCACTTCATCTCCGATCTCTCACCACATATTCCAGTGATAGATTTTTCATAGTCATATCTCGTTAGATGATTCAGATGAGAGAAACGAGAAATGTATGACTTACTCCTTCTTTTTCGTTGTCCATTCGAACTTTTTTCAAAGCAACGATTTCTTGTGTGCCTTTATCCCTTGCCATATATACCTGACTGTACAATCAAAGACACTCGTGAGATATCTTCTTTGATGCAAAGACCAATGCCATTTAGACGAAAATGAAGTACATATCTCCAGAACCAGCCACACTTCCAAACAACAATCCATGGGCTCAGATGAAGGAAGATTAGGAGAGAAGGGAGTTGATTAATAAGAATGAACGCAAACAATAATATTGAAACCCCTCGAGGAAAACCTGTAAGGATAACGGCAAGGAGTTCAAATAGGTTGATCGGAAAACGCTTAAGAAGAATGCGACCTAAACAGTGGGATAGAGATAACGACTTTTGCACGTTGTACGTCAACTGCTGAAGCAAATCGTTTGTAAGAAAACCTTATTCAGAGGTACATAAATATTTGCATGTCATGTGATAAATATCGAACACTCAAATAAACAAAAAAGCACAACAGTGTGTAATTTACTCATCAAACTTGAACAGTAAGGGTTCAATATTGATGTGACATTCTCTTTAAAAAGACGTCATCGCTCTCAAACACCATACATTCACTCAGCGGATTACACCGTGACACTACATTTTACATAGATTACATCACAGGTTCACTTCATCAATGTGGTAACTTTGGGCTTCAATGTAAAATGTAGAGAACCACATACTCAGTGCATAGAGCAGCTCAATCAAAAAATCAAGGGCGTTTGCCGCTCATCGAAGGAAACGTGATTGCCCAAACTTTGGAATACCTAAAACTCTTCAAAGAAAGCTACGACGACATGAAAAAGGACCTTCTTTGGTAAAGCCAAAGAAGTCTCCTTTGGAACCTAAGACAATCGGTGGAAAAAAATCGCATGATGCTGAATCGTTGCGCGAAGAAAAGCGAAGAGGTTCATAATAAAACAAACGAGTTTTTACAACAAAAAAAAAGTATAACTCCTCGAACTCGCAGTTACTACTTGGGTACCACTGGCAGCGAATTGGTTCCTCACATCGGTCACAAATTTACTTCTTATTGGCAAAAGAAAATATATATATATATGTCCATGTAATCGAGTTGATTTACCAGGTTAGAATGGATATTCAAACGATAGTTTGAAATGAAAGAACAACGAAAATATGCACAAATAACTTGGAGGAAGTAGAAAATCTTGTAAAATGTGAATGATACGGAGCACTGTACGTCCATTGCAAAGTAAGAAAAACCCTATTGCAATATCATATACTTCGCAGAACAGTGCTCGCCCAGTCCAATCGCATTTAGTATGATCTGGAGAAAATAGATTGATTTACACTCATTGTCCGTAGTGAAGAAAGAGTTTCCAACCTTTTCGATTCCTACCTTTTATGTTGATAATATGTGTAAAATACTCACAGAACCACCAGCCACAACCCTCCACTACCGCATGTCTTTATCCTTGTATTCACACAAAGCACTAAGATGGAAGTAGCAGAAATATTACAAGAAAATGATATGAGAACAATAAAAAAGTGGTGCTCTTTCGCAGTTCGCAAATATGAGTTGAAAACAATGCATCAAAATCCCATGAATACAACATCCAGAATCGATGAAGGTGTGAGGCACATCGACCTAATCCCCACAGACTATATATTGTCTACTGGAAAGCCTTGATATATCAAAGCGTTCATAAAGAAACACAATCTAAAAGCTGTACGTGTTAAAACCCAACACAGTCCTGGACCCTACTTCCCCGGAAAACAACAAGAAACATATTCCGAAACTTCAATACCGTCACACACTAGAGACAAGTCTCTATTCGAACCAAGGTGATTCTCCTTCAAGTTGTAAAAAAAGATTATTGAGGAGTGGAGCTTATACCGAGTGGGAGAAAAAGGTGTACACTGTAGTCAAGAGTGCTTCCATGTAATGAACTTGAGCCTAACAATAATGAGGGAGTCGTGTAACAAACCGCGAAAGAGTAATTATGATGTAATTATGAAGAGACAGCAGGAGAGTAAATTTACTCCCAATTAATCATATTACTCAACTCACGTCCAAGGTGAGTGGTCCACTGAGAAAAGTCCAAGAGTGTGATGTTTTGAAGAAACAACAAACACATCAAAAAAATATCGCAAGCATCTATATTATTAAGATAAAGAGTTCTTTGAATCGGAATTCGGATTCCACGAATGGAATAGAGTACAACATCCAATTTTGAGATTATTGACGAAAATTATTGATTGGTGCCTGTTACAAAAATTACTTGTATGTTGTGAGCCATCACACAGCTGCAACCATTCTACATGACACCTTTCTAGGCTCCCTACAACTCGCCCGGTTTTCATCTCTCCTACAACTTTGCAGATTTTAGTGACAAAAAAAATCCAGTAATAAAACTCCCTGCAAAATACTCCACTGGAAAAAGATGATGACACAAAGAAAAAACCGAAATGTAAAATTTGTCGACACTACTTGTAAGTTGAATATACCCGTAAGTGCCTTCTCCAATGTGCTCCAGCTTCACGAAATTGTCAATGCTCCGAGATCCCCACGCAGGGGTCTCATCCAAATTGAGCTGCCCAGGGCGTGCTGCAAGCTCCGTCATTGTCACTTGGCGTCTTCAACACCAGTGAATGCAGTGAACCTTTCAGAGTCAACAGTCGACAGTTGCTAGATGAGATTTGTCAATGATGGCAGTCCGCGATTCGCCAACGGTAGGACCGTCACATTCACGATCCCGGAAAAACTAACCCTCGGAGAGCCACGACTCGAAGCGGGCCGTCAGGGCCCTTTGTAGGCGAAAGGCACTAGAACATCCAAAATTTGACAGGCGCGGTCACCGTCCACGGATAGCACATATACGGGACATTTGCAGGAGCTGTACACCAGTCCGGCAACAATTGTGGAAAGAGATAATCGACAAAATTCCAACTCCTTTCACAATCGACTTCTGACAACACCCACACCTAAAAATCCACCCTAAACATCTGTCGGAGACCAACTAATCCACTGTGAGAGGGATAAACTAGGCAAGTCCCCGTCAAGCGAGTATCAAAAGAACTTCTACAAACCCTATTTCCATGAAAATCCTGAAATTCTGCGCGCTTCTCAAGTGCGACGAGCCCGATGTACAACACCAGAAACTGTTAAACTCACTGAAATTAACCCAACCAGTGGAAAACTAGGATAAATTACACTTGACGTCCGTAATAAGAAAAAGCTCCTCTATCCACAGTCCCTAATCCACGGATCGCTCGCGCAGTCCCTCCTCCGCGGCCACCTGACAATCGACGAGCCCAGACTCGCATACGAACTTGCGCCTGACAATCTTCCGATTGAAACTTGCGAGACGCCCGTACTTGGCGTTGTTGTCAATGTCCCCGTACAATGACCGACAACGACCGTCAATAAACCCTGAAAGTGACCATCGCGCTCTCCTTGCGTTTTCCCGGACAAACACATGGACGCATTCTGACAGTCACATTTCGTGCAATCTATCTGGCCCTCCAATCCTCGCCCTAATGCTCGCTTTTTCTCATTCCGCCTTCGAGTCAAGAGTCCATACGCGAATAAGACAGATTTCCTTCCCTCTTACTCCTATTCGTATTCAAAGCTGTGCTTCGTTTATACTCTCATTTTGTACGTGTATGCTACGACTGCGAGGCCATCCGATCATCCGTGCACTCCTTCACCACGTAGCATGATCTGGTAGGTGACTTTAGTCACTGTGTCAATTTTCAACGATTCCGGAACCCAACACTATCCACGTTAACCTGATCTATGCATGTTGAGGTGATACCACCATTTATATTTTCAGATCCTCAAATTTGGTGAGTATTGTCAAATTCTTGTTATACTTGTACAGAAACAAAGTACTTTAAGATTTTCGCGTTTGACTCATGCATTTATCATCATATGAGAACATGTTAAGTTCAGGCTTTAGATCTTTGTTCATTTGATTATGGGTTATTCTACTAGGATTGCATTTGTATATAAAATTGCTCCTGGTGAGTGTCTATCTGGCTGGCTGAAGAGAAGCTGCTTGTACTTTTAGCTGAACAGGATTTCAAGTAGTTTAACCATGTATATTTTTCATCAAGAATCTAGTGCATGTATTTCTTCATACATTCGGTATTACAAACGATATCAGAGTTAATGTAGTCTATTCGTGAAAATGTGCAATTGAAGAAAGTAGAATATGGTTCAATAACAGCTTTCAAGAATCCAACTTTCCCTCTTGTTCTCGATTCATTCCTTCAAATCTCTCATCCGCATTTACATGTAGACTTCGAGTATGAAGAGCATATCATGTTCTTCTTATTTACACGATTTTGGGTCTTTGTTCATATAAGGAAGGTGAGGTGAAATGCAATTTTGTAGCACTATAACAAAAGCTGGGATTAATAAGCGGTAGATTGGTTGGTCATATTGTGATTACCAATTATGTACGAGAAGATGTAGTCAACTGTTTGATTGATAGCTTGCTTGTGTGTGATAAATGCAAGTTGATTCCCTCGCAGTCTCTACTTCTTCTTCCCGCCTTGAATCAGATTTAGTTTGCATTTGTCTTGGATGTGTATGATACAATAAGTAATGGCTAATTTGCATTCATATATTCTTCTTCGTTATATAATCTAACTTAGTATTATGCTTCTTGGATGTGAGAGTATATTCAGTACAAACAAAAAATATTCAAACGACTTTAACCCGCCATACGATTGTGATCCAATTCAAACTGTGTTGAAAAATTGATTGCTAGGGAAGAAAGTGTTACCAAATAAATTACGGTGTTTACAACTTTGATCCTGATTGGCTCATCATACTCCACACATTCTCTAACACTGTTTGGTTTGAAATATCGTTTTGTTTTTTATTATAAACCATCGTGAAATGACGAGTAATTCATTCTTCTATATAGTATCTCTGAACTCCTTATAAGTATACTCTATGCCATTATCTCATCGTAGATATCACATCTTATATTCGGTCTCAGTCTCAACATGAACTCGTCTACTTTTAAAAGTTGAAAACACTTCAGACTTGTGAGTATTGAAATGTACCCACACATATCTAGAATATATTCATTTATATATAGTACAACTCTAGAGTCGAAAGGATAGGGTTCTAGTGAGGCAACAGTAGAGGATTCTAACACGTCATTGCTTACGTACTCCAATGTCTCCTTGGAACTATGAGTCTCAACACCAAAAACATGCATATGTTGTTTTTCCATGATACAATGTTCATAAAATAGCAAGTCAATTTTATCCAAACCCAATAACATCTTATTATCATAAGAAGAAACATGTATCGATCATTCATATGTCCTAGTCTAGAATGCCATACATGATAGATCTCGACGCAATATATGATAAAGTTAACATTGTCACAAGTAGTGATGTAGTGTAAGAGCTATAGATTATTGTGCTTATATACTCGAGGAATAATCTCATCACAAAATCTAACATCCAACACGTATTGCCTAAGGCTCCACTCTAAACTATATGAGTCTAATACTCTAAGAAAGATCGGTTTCTTTCTCATGTTATGTATAAATCTAACGTGGATCGACGTACTTTTGACTCCATCAAACATGCGCATCTTTATAGATCTAACATCCTCAATTCTACAAGGTTGTTCAGTCTCCATTAAAACTTAAGAGTCTGATCTCTACAAAGTACAAAAAAACTCTTCAATGTAACAAATGTAATAAAAATAGGCACTCTCCATAATTCATACATCATCAACAACTTTGTGATGAACTACAGAGGTCATATTACTCGCATCATAAACCGTCTTCTAACATGTCGTACTCCTCAGGATCAAAATGCTATGCAATGTTTGCCATTAAAGGTAATCTACATTTTTTACAATCATTCGGCAGTCTTTCTTGATATGGTTTATTATTGCCACATTCCCAAGAAATCATTATCTTCATGTAAGGAGACATACCCATAGACTATATTCTCTTTCTCCCAGGGGCTGTATTTTTGGATATGTATCTTGTACTCTTTGATCCAACACGCCAGCAATTGTCTGCATCCTCAAATGTGTCTGTAACACTAGGATTGAGAGAGAATCTCACTCGAAGATAGAATCGTAAACCCTGAAGATGAAAGATACCAACAATGGTTCTCCTCTCCCTTATATAGCTCTCACCAACAAGTACAAGGTGATAAGATCTAATCCCCACCATCCATCCCACTCATAGTGGATGGATGACGTGGCGGATAACCCTAACAAGCACACGGATCGCTGACGTGGCGCACCCAACTAACACACTCAATCATTACCTACAAGCACACGGATTGCTGACGTGGCACTGTCAACTAACACATCCACTCTGTACCTACCAAGTGCGCGGATCGCTGACGTGGCAGCTATGACTAGTGCACACTAAAGTATCTACATCAATATTTAGAGTAACCCCTACTTCAGTTCTAACAAACTAAAGATGGTTACAGTGTCCAACCTTGAATCACAATCAGTGCGGTCTCGAAGATAGACGTGCGAGATGATAACAACATTTCTTATCCACCTTGTCCTCCAAGAGAGCATTTACAATCTTGTTGTCAATGATGGTATTATTATCACGATGAAAGAGTGTCTTCAAGAGTGTATGTTAGCAAGAATTCAGCGAGTTGAGAAGATGCAAAGTATTCTTTGTAAATAAGCTACTCCTCTACACTCTAGATATCTATCATGAGATAATCGAAGAGTTGAATGTGATCTTGGATCCTAGATTTAGGCTTAATCGCAAACTTCAGTAGGTTCTGTAAGACTGAATGTTGTATGTGTAAAATAGAACCAGTAATAGCTAAGTAGTTAATATGATTAACTTAGTTATGACTAAGTTTAGCTAGTTATAACTATGTTTAGCTCTAATGTCTATACTTGGTGGAATAACTAGAGAAGTACTCTAAGATTTGAGTGAGCATTTCTCTTTGTCTTGTCCAAAAGTGTAGATTACAAGAGAAAATATTTTTGATTTCATGTTTAGTTTTGATTGGTTTGATTAAATAATGGTAACTTCATTGGCTAAAATAAGTCTAATGTTGACTTAGTAGTAAGTGGAGTTTCTAAAAGTTAGAAAGTCACAAATGGCATGTCGCCACCTCAATCATAGGATTAATAAACATCAAGAAGATTTAGGAGGTCAATCTAGTCAAATTTACTGTTGTTTATCTTTGTAAAAGTAAGTCAAATTAAAAATTATCATTTGTTACTATGGTAGTATTCTCAAGTAGTATATATGGAGAGATAGAAAAAGACTCTCGGACAAGTTTTGGAGAATTCAGGTGTAGAAGCTTGTTTCATACATGAAAGAATGAAAATTTTCAACATCTTGGAATGTTGATGTGTGTGAATAAAATGATAAATTAATCCATTGTGTGAGATTTTGTATGTGATATGACTATGAGAAGTAATACTAGCCTTCTAGAACCATGATGAACTACCACAGAGCCATTTGAGGTAAACCTGAGTGACAGTTAACTAGTTGCAATTTTGGGTTTCGTTGTTGGGACCTCAATCTAGACCGCGAATGTATAGACTTCAGTTTTAAGCTCGAGAGAAAATATCTATGAGAGATCACTTTGAGTTAACACTGGAGACTAAAAGAGAGTAGAGCATGGTTGAAACTGAACTAACTTTGGTTTAGCCACTAGTCTCAATGAAACCCTAGAAGTAATTTTGTATAATTGTTCAACTAAATTTGTTCGTCATTTTGAAAGAAAAGTTATTTTAGTGTGTCTATGAAATCCCTCATTGAAAATGGATGGTGCATGAAGTTTCTTGGTAAGCTTTTCACATTCTTTTGATTGTAACTAAAATAAAGATTCTTCATGTGCTTGGATTGTGACGTCAATTCACACCAAATTCAAAATAGCACTCAAAGCTTCAAATTGGAAGTAATAATACTCCAAATAGAAAACTAGAAGTAATATTATAATGAAAGTACAAGTATAACCGGAATTGACAAGAGTGAGCAACAATGCCAACGAGACTCTATTTAAACTGTTAGCATGTTTATGGAAAACTCTAAAGTTGGAACGTTGGCATCGTCTCCAAGTGGAGAAAAGTTCTCACCATCACTAATTTCACGTCCGTGACAAAAACGTTGCAGCAATGACTGGAGTGAAATCATACATTAGGAAGAATGCACAAAGCCATTTTTCTTGTACTTGCTTTCCGCTCATTCTTGCGGGAGGGGTTGGAGGGTTCATCTTGGCCCTTCAATGCTTTAAGTCAGGGTTTTTGTGAAGGCCGCATTCCTCAAAGATCATAGTTAATTGCCCATAGTTCAGACTTGCAAGATCTCAATTCATTGCTCACTTTTAGTGTATAACCATAATCATTTTGGGCTTACGGTGATCCACGGTGAGGTCTGAATGAAACGCGTATGAAGGGTTCGGGGTTGCTTTAGCTTCTAATTTATGTAGCTTGTGTTATAATGAAATATCAAACATGTGTTTGATGTTTCATCATAAGGTGGAGTTTGCTTTAGCTTCTAGTCTATTTAGCATGTATCATAATGAAATATCAAACATGTGTGTGATGATTCATCATACGTTGGAGGTTGCTTTAGCTTCTGGTCTACATAGCATGTGTTCGATGATTCATCGTCAGTGTTGAAACGAAGAATGAAACAGTTCAAGTCGTGAGAATATTGCAGCGCTACTCCAAGCAAGTCAAATTTTCCTGTCCTGCCAAGTGGTACAACAGACTTACCTTCGTGTCAAAGACACAGCTCGAATCTTAACAAACTCTTCGCACGTAGTTCCAAAAGAAGTACGTAAGTCTAATTGGAATGTCCCGGATTGTATTTCACAACAAACAGAAACGTAGAGTTTAGAAACCCACATGAGATGTACATCCATCCATCTGACTTCCGGCTGAACAACCCGGAACGTACAGTACTGGTCCGAATCGATATGAACCGTCCGATGCGTCTTCGATCGTCGCTTGACGGATCGTTCCCATGCTGTGGGCGCGGGAACACGGGGGAGGTCCGCGGTCTCCGTCAGTCCCCGGAAACCGAGTCCCTCCGAAGGACAGGACAGGACGGGTCGGGCCGGGCCGGGCGCGGTGCTGATCCACCGTACAGCACAGCGGAGTCAGTAGAGAGGGGGGACGGGGAGTGGTGTGCGGAAAAGACAAAGGAAGAAAACCGCCTTGTCCCTGTCCGCCGTCCGTCGTCCGTCCGTGGGTTCTAGAGGTTCTGTTGTGAGGAAGGCGGAGACGAGCGCGCCAATGAGAAGGCGCCCGTGACGCAGGCAGGACTCCGAGCCTCGTCGGACCCCTCTCCTCCATCGCACGCGCCCTCGATCGAGCCTTTGAGCCTTCGATTGCATTCAACTCCGGCTTTCATTCTCAGACACGCGCTGCAATTCTGCTTCCTCGAGTCTTGGATCCCGAAGTGCTCGTCTCCTCGTCAGTCCTTTTCGTGTTCCAAGAGCCTTCGAGCGAGGGGAGCAGCCGAGTGCGCGGAGATTGATTTCTATCGAAGGTGGGGGGCTTCTTGTTCCACTTTTTGTGTACGCAGTCTGTGGCTGGAGTCGAGTGGAGTGAGTTTGGTCTTTATGTCGTTTCTAAACTTGAGAGAATTTGAGTTCGTGTTTTTAGTGCTTGTGCAGCGGGATTGAGGAAATTGTGTGGAAAGTCTCGAGAAATGGGGGAATATTTTTGAGAGTTTTCTACACAGATGAAAGGCCTTTGAAGTCAATTTCGAGGTGGGTTTTTTTTCGCTGCAGTGGAGACGGCGATTTAAGTTCTTCGGGCTGGTGGTGGATTTTCGATAAGGCGAGATTTCGAAAATGAGAAATCGCCTGGGGATGGTGGAGAAATTGGAGGCTCGGGCAAAGTTGGTTTCGATTTTGCTAGTTTATGTCCTTTGTGCCTCCAATGGGGTCAGTGGTTTTTCGAAGCTGTCGGATTTGGGTTCGTCAATCAACATGACTAGTGCTGGATACGCATGGGTTACTGCCATGGATGGAGATGATTTGCACAGTGAAGGGAATGTGGAGAACGACGTGTACTCTGTGATCGGGGAGGAGAAGGTTGAGCGAGATACAGAAGTGGAGCCGGCGTTTACATCAATCGATTCAATGTTGCAGTGGGCAATTGGTACGTAGTTGAAATATAGACCGCATCCCGGGTCAGAATGCTGGGCGAAAAATCGCATTGCCTGAACTTTCGGTGCTAGAATGTTCAGTTTTCTCTAGTGGCTACTCAAAGTCACAGTCTTCGTTCTTGTGTGAATTTGGCGAATCTCGGAAAACTTTCTGGTCTTCTCGCAAGCTTTCAATTACAGTACCTTGGAATAAAGTCCGATAAAATGTGAATAATACAAGTTGTTTACAGATTGTTTTTCAAAGCCCTCCCATCACTCAACCAGATTGGTCGTAGAAAACTTGACTCAAGAACGTGCCGGACAGGACACAAGTGATTGATTTGATTAGAATAAATTTGTAGTTTCCAAGTCTCAGCTAGGCACTGCCTTCTCTTAATCTTGACTGTGGATTTTATATCCTTAAGTAAAACGAGGTGCATGGAGAAGGGTGCCTATTTACAATGCTGGAAACCATATGTTGCTGTTAAAGTAACAAGGGGTAGGCTTCAAGCATGTGAAAGAAATCCTTTTAAAGGGATATTCCGATATTTGTTGAGGCTGTATCTCTGGTTCTGAGATAATGTTTGTGAAAATTCTTTTCCTTTATGGTCTCATTTAAGGGACGATGAGGGGTGTGATCGAATTTCTTACGCTTTTGTAGGGATTTGTTGTCTGAAGTTTCTGAGTGGTACTTCCCTCGGAAATGTGTCGAGCATGTGCGGTCGGAGGAATGTTTTGAGTCACGCCTGAAATACGAATTTAAATATGAATATGTATGAGAGTTTCAGAAGTTCTTAGATATTTATCTATATTTTTGCAAGTTGACTATGTCGGTAGCGCACGCTGGCCTCACTCTTGGAGGTCTTTTAAAATTTTTGCCTCCGAAATGACCGATTCCCACGTATAAGAAAGAATGTTACTTTGATCACATCAAAACCGATGACGTTATCAACAGTTGCGGGTTTATGATTTTGTACATTGTTGTTACCCAGGTCATGCGGATCCAGAGAAACTAAAAGGATCAGCGCAGGAAGTACAACGCATGACCCCTCAAGAACTTGAAAAGCGTCGAGCTGAAATCAAGGTACCGTTCTTACAAGTTTTTGCGAGAATTCTATGTCCTGTCGAAGTCCACGTATAATATAATGGTCAGTATTTTCAGTTATAGGTGTGCGACTGCTATTTATATCTTTTATTTTATTAGTAGATTAGATGCCACCCCAAGTTATATTTTGTCCAATATTCTATTCACCTGAGCAATATGAGCAGCTGAGCTGAGAGGGTATATTGGCCGAAATTTTGACTGGCCAGCAATTCTACTGGTGGTTATTGAATCCTTGAAAGTTAAATGCAACTGTAAAAACCAAAGTGATTTAGTTTTGGGTGTCCAGCTTATTCTCACTTAGACTATATTGTCGCCTATGTCTGCAGGAATTAATGGAGAAGTTGCGGGTACCATCCGATGCAGACCTAATGAAAATAGCTATCGCTGATCTTCACAACGTAACTTTGCCTACGGAAGACCGCAAGCGAGCGTTGGAAGAACTTCTCATTCTAGTCGAGCCCATTGATAATGCCAACGGTATTCCTCTATACGATTTTTCCTGGTGGACTTGTTGTTTTCAAGATTTTGCTGCTAGACTCTGCAATTCCGACTATAAATGGCTGACTTTTGAAAAAACGAGTCGTTGCATCTTCTTTTGCTGTTCTATATTTCTTGTTGTAGTTCCATAGCTTCGAAATATGCTCTACGAGGGTTATATATATATGAAACGAAACATGTATTACATGAAAGTCGTGCCTTATCCTGGATCTTGATTCATCGTACAAAGATATGGCAGATCTGAATAAACTAGGAGGCTTGGTCGCTGTCATTGGAGAGCTTGACAGAGAAGAGGCAGAACTTCGAACAGCAGCGGCTTCAGTTCTCGGAAAGGCTAGCCAAAACAATCCCATCGTTCAAGCTCAAGTACGTGCTATATATCAGTCTACGTATGACCTTTCTGGTGTGCTTCTCTTTACTATGTTGAAAGACCTCAAACATTTATTGGGTCTCTGGTAGCTTTCATTCCGGATGTGAGCTCGTAGGAACTCATGCAGCTGAAACGGAACTTCCGAGGTATAATTTTGCTATGTTGCATATCCCATCTTCGGACAATTCTCGTCATTTGTTGTACCTTATTCAACTATTTGTGGACAAAGGGATGTGAAGCTGTAAAATAATGCGCAAAGGTGTTCCTCCATGCAGCTATTGCGCCAGGGTGTGCTTCCTAAGTTGATGAAGATGGTGCAGTCGGTGTATGCGGAAGAAGCCGTAAAAGCTCTTTACGCAGTGTCTGCCATCATTCGGAACTTCCCAATGGGTCATGAAGCGTTTTACCTCAACGGAGGAGTTTCGTTACTGAAGGTATTCGTCTGCTTTGAAGTTGAAATTTTCTTTGCCAAAGAGATACATACGAGCACAATTTGAAGATGAAAAGTTATACACAGTAGCGTATTACATGCACTTGCCCAAAAATCCCCCATCAGCATCCGTCTTTCTCACAGACAATGACTGAGCAGAGAAGGTAATAGAGGAAGTTACTTCTTAGTGAATAACTCGTCAAATGTTGCTTTTTACTTGGCAATGTGCAGGAAGTGTTGAGCAGTGACGACGGTGTGGACATGAGGTTGCAGAAAAAAGCGCTCTTCCTGGTTGGCGACTTAGCAGAACAACGGATAGAAACTCTAGGTCAGCTTGATGCATTCAAGCTAGATGAAGGACTCTTGAAATCTGTTGCGATGCAAACAGAGTCAGATGATATGGATACTCAAGAGAAGGTATGTATCCTTACGGTAACCACATGTACTGCATACTTAAGCATCACTGAAATCTCAAAATGATATCGATCAAACTAATTTTTCAAACTGCAAGTGTAGTCTAACTTAATATGAAATGATAAAATACTCCTGTAAACTATCTGAGTCTTTTACTGGACTGTGGTTTTATCTTGTAGGCACTGTACGCCTTGAAGAGCCTGCACGGTGTTCACAGCTCAGTACGGCATACATTGCGGAAAGTATGCAAGGTTGAACTTCTTCTGGAGAGATTAAAATCGTATTATGAAAAGTTGATGTCTGAACCGGACCAGGAACAGGCGGAATTTATCAAAGATCTGGAAGAGTTGAGACGCGAAGTTGCAGAGCTCTTTGGTCGCAAGGACGATTCTGAAACTCGAAAGGACGAATCCGGAACAGGAGGCAGGTCAAAAGTTGAAGAAATCTTGTACTTGTAGAAAAACCTTTTAAATAGATCACCGGACTTGTCCTAGGTTAGATTGGTCTGTACATTAGTAGGTTACCATCGAATTACCTGTATAGAGCTGGTTAAATGTCATGGGATTGTTGTGTGGTGTTGTGCTTACATCGTCAAAGCCGAGGTTCAATTTTTTTCCATGTTGCACCTGTGCTTACAGACTTGGATGGAATTCTAGAGTATAGAATAACGCCCCTTAGATGAGTTCCTCATGCGAATCACTTTCCTGGAATGGAGTAGACCAAGTGAAAACTAGAATCTCCTGTCCTGTTTCTAGTTAATGTCGTCATGTGGATGAGTTCCCCAGCCAATGCGAATCATTAGAACTTTTAAGTTAGGATACCATTATGGTGCGGATGTATGTACCTGCGTAACACATGCACGCTCTTCTTATTCAAATGTCAGAACCTGTTCGTATCGAAAGTTTTTACAACGTCATGGGCTTCCACAATGACACTACGTGGGTTTTGTATGTGTGTGTGTGGAAGAAGTCGATGTTGCAGAGTTTCTCGTGCCTGTGGTTAGTCTTGTATTTTTTCGAGCAATTATTACCACGCTCGTGAGTTTGTATCTTTTCAGGCAGCACTGGTTCTGCATGAAGTGTGACCTTTAACGCTTTGCTGTTTTCGTCCCAGTCAGTGATTCGGCGAGCTTCAACTTGAAACTGTATAGATCACATCCACTTCTGAGCGTGGGCAGCTGTAGGGGTAAACTGCCGATGCATAAACTTGCTTTACGAGCATCTGAAGTCTCGCACAAAATTGGCCCATGGAGAACTGCGAAAGAGTAACTCTTCCGTACAGATATGCCGAAGGTTAACTCTTCGAATAGGGTCTGCGCGACTACGGCTCGGGTCATATTCCAGAAATCGGAGGAACCTTAGTTTATGGTACGTGACAGTATTCGAGGAGCACTTACAAGCAACTCGATACCACCTTCTTACACACCTTCACACCTTACCATCTGGTGTGATTCAACTTCACAAGCTTCGAGATGCAGATTCGAGGAGCTCGGAGCTCTCGCAGTTCTACACCTGCTTGCTGACAAGCATGGCAGATGCATAACTTGAGTACGGAAAGTCTGTACACCAAACAAGTCGTCTGAACACGTACATGCTGAATTACACACTGGCCGGAAAGTCTGACCAGATCACGCATGGTGAGTGCGATCACACCGAAAAGATCTCGTCGTTGGTTCGAAGGATCTCTACATCGGCAAGCGACACCACAGTCCCATCCGTTTCAGCTGCTGGCATCCGAAAGGCCATCCATTCGGTTCCAACAACACGTTCGAATAGCAAGCCTCCAGTGTCATTGAGAGCATTCCAAACCGACACCTGTCATCCCCTTCAGGTGAAGATGAATATGCTCGAACATTCTTTCTCAGAGAGTACATAGTAAGCTCTCCCAAGGTACATCGAGTAATACATACCTCAACAGCATCACAGCGAGAAATATGGCACACAATAGTTGCAGGATTTGCATATGAAGAATCATCATCATCCATTAATTTATGTAATTATTTTCAAAGCTAGCCATGTATGAAATTGAAGTTGAAGGAATAGGGATCAGATCATCCAGTCAGCATCGGTAACCACCACTTTATGTCATAGTAGCCTCGAAATCTCAGATACATCAGAAATCCTCTAGTGGATTGCAAGATATACCAATGCCAATTCGAGCTATACACGTCTTGTGCCGCAACAATCATCACGAATATGTTGAATGAAGTAGGAGTTATATGAAGAGAATGGTATATAAGAACTGAGATGTATACAACAAGCCAATACATAGCTAATCATGGTAGACAGAGTAGCTGGTTCCAACTAGAAAGGATGTGATATAACAAATTCATGTGACGAGGGTACAATCCTAAACTCGTCCCAAATTGCAGTTTCCCAGTCGGCCATTGTCACCCAGTAGCTCTGCAGCTGCTCTCGAGTCGCAACGAGGCAGCAAGCAGTGGGCTGAGGAGTTGTGTGTCGAAGAAAAAGGTGACACGCTAATCGACATCTCTCTGTCGTTCGAGTTTTGAAGACATCGAGAAGGTTGCGGAAGAAGAGAGTCAGATTGATTGCCTTGCAGAGTAGCAGATCGACTTGTTTCGGACGACTCGGAGGATTTGGAGACTGCCGGCTGATATGCGGCGGTTTGGTAGCGTCATTCGCCGGGGAGGTTGCGGTGCAAAGAACCTCGTCGACTCGGAAGCTCGCGTCGCGAGGTCTGCAATCGGTGGCCCCTCGGGAAGGAGTCTCTCGGTGGGCGTTGATCGCAGCAATCAAAACGAGGGAACATCATCCGAGCACTCCGCATCATCTTCGTCTGATAGGCGATGGGAGGAAGAAGCAAGCAGATTCTGGCAGGGAGCTAGGGTTCCGCTGAATCCATGGCAGCAGGCCGCTGTTGCTGTAGGATCGGCTGTGGGAGCTGCGTTGAATCCTGCCAGAGCAGATCTTGTAGCGGCACTCGGTGAAACAACAGGCGGGCCAGCGTTTCAAAGGGTTTTGAAGAAAATGAGATCCAGTCCAGAAGGCCAGGTATGACTTGTCCGCAATGTCAACTTCCTGAGTCTTCTCCACAACAAAGGTTGAATTTACGCTGAATTTGTCGAATTACTTAAACTCTCTCGATGTACCATCTAGTTCCTCGTTCCAGACGGCTTGAAAGTTGTCTGATCGAATGGCGCTGGTGTGGACAAGTCTTTCATGTTGTGCAGTGGCATCTTCCTTCTCTCTTTGCAATTTTCTGTGCACCTCCCTTCAATGCTTGCCGAATTTCGAATTAAAAGGTTGAATATCTCCTCTCCTTTTTCATCCTGCTAGCAAGGCGGACATCTCAGGCAACAACGCAGAATTGACTTCCTCTCGAAATTCGTCGATTCTTTTACTTTTCCTCTAGATCTTCGTTCTCCTTCGTGACAAAAAATGAGAAAATTGCTGTCGTTGCTGAAGTTGTAATCAATTTCGAGTATACTTTAATGGAATGTATGGGACACATGTAGGAGTATGACTTGGACTGGGCTTGAAGTCTCATTCCGTTGGATGCATCCTGAAATGTGGATATGCTGTGTTGTGCATTTGCTTTGTCTCAGCGGGTGTTGGCCGACCGTCCAAGAGTGACTTCAGCAGCCATGGGGCCTGCATGGGACATGCCTCCCAACACATTTGGTGCAGCTTATGCGAAATTCATGGGCGATCGAAACTTCTCGCCGGATGACAGGCCTCCAGTTCGCTTCATAGACACAGAAGAGCTGGCGTATGTTGCAACAAGAGCACGAGAGGTGCATGACTTCTGGCACGTACTCTTCGACCTTCCGACGAGTGTGATGGGCGAGCTGGCTCTCAAAATGGTGGAGTTCTATCAGACAGGGCTGCCCATGTGTTTCCTGTCAGTGGCAGGCGCTTCCTGGAGACTCAATCCCAAACAGCGAAACCATCTTTTCACTCATTACGCACCTTGGGCACTCAAAGCTGGAACGTCTTGTTCCGATCTTATGTGTATTTATTACGAGGAACACCTGAATGAAGACTTGGAAGCAGTTCGAAAGCGCTGGGGTATTGTGCCGGCCCCTCTCTTACCCAAAAAGATAAACCGAGGAACTGCTTATACATTTGACAAAGTATGAATGTAAGGAAACATGGAACCCATCGCCTGTTGAGACAGTTCAATGAATGTGCACTCTTACTTTTCAGATGGATGTATATTTTTCTTTACCGTTGCAATTCTAGTGCTAGGGGATTGGGGCGCGGCGCGAAGAGAGATGCTGGTATGGTCAAATGTATAGATTTAGTTTCTGGGTGATACATGATACAATTGCCTCGACCCTTGAATGGACAATTAATTTGGTTAACTAATTGATCTTGTTAATATCTTTTAGCATTCAGAAACCGCTTCAGTTCTCTGTACAGGGTTGCATGATCAATTCGCAACGAAGTCATGTTTGCTGCCTATTTGTGCGTAGACCTTTTGTGCTCCTCTCTGGAAGATTTTAATCTTTGTGGACTCGCAATCAATGTACTGTATACATTGTCCAACATGCATTGTAAAATGTAATATCCTTCAAAGAAGCTCAAGATCTGTGCCTCCATTCGTGTACTGAAGAGTCAAGCTTTGAGAATCTTGGTTATGTTTGGCAGGCTAGGTTTGTCTAATACATGAAATCAGTTGGGCTCTGCGGGGTAGCATAGAAATGCATCAAATGATGCAATCTTTATCCTTACCTCGCACGATTACCTCGACCTCGACACCGAGTGAGCCTCCGGGTTTAGGTCAGACAGTTGCAACTCAGCTCTTGGTAATGTTGCCTACCCTTCATTGCGTCTACGCGAGGAATGAGTATTATTGCGTGTCATTTCACCTGTTAGTTATTGCCCTATTGGCAATTCCCTACTGCCTTACGCATTTCTGTCTTGTAGAGATGCAGCGAGCATATATAAATCGTACTTTTTTCTGGTGGCATGCATTCCGCATTTGACATCGGCTCTCGAGGTTCACAATGAAAATCTTCAAATGATTTCGTCCCTCACAGGTTGCAGCCCGTGCGGTAGTTATTACACCATTTATTATTGTCTTCAACGTATAACGAATAGGCGGTGAAAGTTACAAACGGAAAGAGAACACAAGATTAAAAAAGCCACATCTTCCGGTGTCTGATCCTTCCAATCATATTTTGCCCTTCAATTATAGGGCCTTTTTGATTATCATTCGACTTAAAGGTACAAGAATGTGTCTACCATGACGATGGGCGACCCAGATTTAAGATACATGATGGTACACGGGACAGATTTTTACAACGATTCCTAAATCCTCGTCTTTCAGGATACAGGACTCAAGCGAGGTATAGAGGACAAAGCATAGGGTTCTCACTGAGAATTCACAATCTTCTGTAAATACTCCTGTGTCGGAGATATTTGTGCGGTAATCTCCTGAAGAAGAGTGTTGGCGATCTCCTGTGTTGGTGTCATCGGGGAAGTGAACTGCGTCAAGAAGCCAGCTAAACCGTCGAGATAACCCGCAATCTGAGATCAACAACCACATCAACTTAGAGGGCTTGCCATTACGTGTACTTGTTATAACCTCGCGCAGCAGCGAAGAGAAATTCGGAAACTAAGGCATTTCACAGAATGGTAGCAGAACATTGAAAAATACGTAGTACCGAAGCGTGCAAAGGAGAGATGAATTCAGGACATAAGAGGTTGACATCACAAACCTGAACGAGAATACCCTTGCCGGTATAGCCTTCCAAAACTAAGCCTGCTGTCAGGCCTAGAACAGCGAATCCACCATTGATGGCCTCAATTTCTCGTTGTTTCTGCATCATCCAGAGATTCTTATGGGGTTAGTAAACTTTCAAGCAGCGTCCGATCGAGCCACTCGAGATTAGAAACAACTGAGTAAGAGAGTAAACGTGGACCAACTCCTGAACGCATTCTTTGGAGAGGTGCAGAAAGAAGACATACCTTTCTCTTTTGCCGTGCTTTCACCGCCTCCATTTCCACAGCGGCCAGCCGCTTAGCCTCAACTGGGTCTACCATAACGACCACCTTCGTCTCCTTCACCTTTCGTACTCTTTTCGGTATCGGAACTGGGCCCTGAATACAGCAGAATCTCGTCAGAGCACCATAAGGTTCATAAGGTCACCGGACCAGAGTTAAAATCCTCCACGTCAAATCGTCGTAAGCATTGCATCGGCATCTGCAGATATATGATGACTTCTTCGATCTCTACTAGCAAGCAGACAGGCAAGAGACTTAGGAAGGAGAAAGAGCGCCAAAGACGACACCTCGGAATCCTGGAACCTTAGAATTTCCCCCGTGCGCCAAGCACCTTGGCTTCATATTCACAAATAAGACTTCCAACAGAAACCCTGGATGTGCAGATTAGTTCTGAGTGTTGGGATTCAGGCATCTTTCAGGATTCCTCTCTGACTGCGAGCGCATTCATGGTGAAAGTAACCAATATGGAAGCTTTCCATCAAGCATACCAGTGCAGTGCAGTGCAGCCAGTGATACACACTCGAATGCATTTGGTGCAGTTTGGGCTTTGATCTTCAACGTAATTAAAGCACGTAAAGTGCATCAGGCCCCTAACTCAACACATGAATTGGGAATGACGAGGCTACAACCAGTAAAATAGCTGGTGAAGCAAATTGCTGCCAGTAATTAATCCAATTGTCTAAAGTCCGAATGGCAGGGCCAGAAAATTGGATAGTTCTTATACATCGAGCACGGCGCAGCAGTGACTTGTTTGCGTCCTTCCCAGAGGAAATGGTGCACACTGCGAAAGTGGAGAAATGTGGGTACGAGCGTGTGCATGAACGTGAAAAGCCATGGGCATTGACAATTAAGTTCAATCACTTCACATGCTCCTTCGATTTCAGCACTCAGTTTTGTCAGAAGGGAAAAGCAGGGACTTACAGTTACGTCGGAAACAGCCCTCACTGTTTGCGTTCGGTGTCTCGTCGTGCGTTTTGGCAGCTGTACTCCGAGCACCGCCTCCTCTCCGAAGCTCCCATGGCCACCATCTGACGCAGTGTCAGCCCATTCATTCGTGTCAACTAGCTGCCTGAAAATTCGAGTGCGACGTGCTCCGTGGAGCAATGGGCGTCTTCGATGTGTTCAGCCACACCATTGTGGCATGGCAACTCGAACAAAAGTGTGAAGGTTAAAGACTGTCCAGAGGGATATTGAAATGGCGAGAAGGTGTTCACGACGGCATCGAGGCAGGAAAAAGTCACAACAGTGTGGAAAGCCCATACACAGGACGGTACACGATGCAATTACGGCCGAACCGACGACTGCGTGATGCTGTTACAATGGCGTTCGTGGAGCAATTTGGCGAATCAGAAACTAGTTCCAGATTCTCCAGCGGCCCACGAGATCGACGATTGCTCGGTCACAACGAATCCTTGCACAATTGAGTGAGCAATGGAATGGAACGGAACGCCAAAAATAAAATTGTCAAATGTCTCGGGACCGGGACCGACTCACAAGAAGAAGAGGACGATACGCTTGCCATGCTACTCGAGCACCCCTGCGGGCTGGTTCCACGGACGGGCCCGGCCCGAGGAGCAGCAGCCCAAGGTGCAGCATTCGGAGGAGAGGCAGCAGAGACGAACCACACGCCCACCATTTTGGCACCCGCCATTCCCTCGCGCTTCCTCCTCTCTCTCCCGTGTCCCTATTTTTCTTGAAGCTCTTCGGGCACACTCTCCCACGATGATGCGTCTTGAGATTTCGTCCGGGCTCGTGATCATTCCTTGTGGCCCATGATCGAGTCGAGGCGAGTCGGGCCAAGGCGAGCAGGGCAGCTCACGAGCCCGCCATCGATCGTCTTCCATTCGGACCGAGGGCGACGACGAGGTGAGTGTCACCGAGCGAGCGGGCGTGACGTGGACGGGCCCGGGGCTGCGAGGCGGGCACGTCCCCCTCGACCCTGCCACCAAAGCAGCCCCGACCGCCCCGCTCCGTCCTACGTGGACGGTGGACGTGGCCGGACCGGAGCGCCTCGCTCCGGTGTTGCGGAGGTGCGTTGAATGGCCTGGCGCTCTCGCGTGTGACCTAAACGGTCCCAAAAATGTCCCTAAAAAAAAAAACGGTCCCAGAGCCCCCCGACAGATGCGGTCGGTGTTCACGGGGGGATTCGGCTCCGTAGGGCGAAACCCGTGTTTGTTCCCCCAACATCCTATGGACCCCACACATTCCATGGACCTCTGGATGGATACAGTTTCGCCGAGCTTTTTGTGAGCTTGTCTGAATCTGCCTCTGTTATTGCGGCATCGGCACCCACTCCTCCGGCCGGAGTTCGGTGGGATGCCGGTTCTTCCTTCCAGGGAGGGAGGGGCCCAACGGTGGTTCTACCGTCGTCGTCGCTTGGGTGGACTGCAGTTGGCCTCACCATGGGCCTTTGCTGTTCACACTCGCCAGAATGGTGACTTGAATGCGTGTGGGCAGGAAGACGGGATTGCGACAGCCCGGCAGGGGAAAGCGAGGAAAGAGAGGGAGGATTGTTGAGATCTGCCGTTAAGCTTGGAATTATGGGTGCCACTGCTGAATTGAACACCATGGAGAGCAGCGAGGATATGTTCGCGACCAAGAAGGATCACCGCAATCCTCTTGTGCCTCTTGGTGAGCATCCGGATCCTTTTTTTCCTGTCCGGATTTTTTTTTCACTGCTTGCTCTGCTTTGGAAATGATACGCTTGTGTTTGTTGCACTTGAATTTGGGGCTTTTACTAGTTAGCTCAGTTACTGGATTTGAATTGAGAATTGGACTATCGCCTATGGAACGCAGAGGCTGAATTCTAGTTGATAAGTGCCAATGCACTCTATATTCAGTGCCGAGCTTTCTACGTGGATTTTACTTACCTTTTTGTTCGCACGGCGTAGTTTTATGTCAGCAGTAAGCCAATCTAGCGATGTCAGAAGTAAATGTAGAAATTTACGGTTTGCTTCGGAGCCCTCAATTGGGGTTCCTAATAAGCTTAAGAAAAAAAGTTCTGCCTGGCTCATAATCTGCCATCAAGTTTGTCTCGACACCATGCTAGTGGACACGATAAAACTGAGCTCGGAACTTCTTTCTTGATCGAATGGGCAGTAGCTCGAAGTCGAGTTTTTGCTAGATTGTAATAAGACTAAACCGGTGAATGTGCATTATGAGCAACGACATACGTCACGCATCGATCTCTCTACATTTCAATCATACCGCTTCTAGTTAGGGTTACTTGCACAAGGGATTTAAGGTGGGAAGAGCACTTCGAAGAATGTGCATCGAGATCCATCCCGATTTGAGAATATTCTGAACATCAGCTGAGGATTTTTTATCGGGGAACGTGTTCTCAACTTGAGTCAGCATATTTTTGTAGTCAGTAGTATTCTTGCATTCATTCTTCTCAGATGATCACATCCTTGAGTCCATCATCTGCAAATGCCTTGGCTTGTACAAGTGACACCGCACGTCAGATTGAGTATATTTGCAGTTCTTACTACTCGTGCATACACAATCCAGCTACCCTAATCCTTGTTTGTTGTAATTCAGGGGCGCTTGCAACAGCTGCAGTTTTGTGTGGAGGGCTCTACTCTTTTAAGCAGGGAAAGTCCCATCGGAGTCAGTTGTTCATGCGCGCCCGTGTGGTGATGCAAGGAGCCACCGTTGCGCTAATGGTTGGCACTGTTTACGCAAGTGGCAAACAGTAGGATGCTCCTGATATTTTGAGCCTCATTCTCATGTCCGGCTAGCTGCATTGCAACCCTGCATATATATATACTCGGAAGGCAGCACCATTTGACATATGGGTCGGGCAATCTCCTTCCTCCAGGGGTTTCGTGGTGTGATGAGCGCTGGTCCTGTGCCTGCTGGCTGAATTGAGGAAGAACAGAAAGCGATGCTGCCAGTGACCTGCATTTGTAGTCATGACACATTCTGTTCTATCCTGCCTGTACACATATAAAGGCCAGAAACACATAGCAAAGGAGACATGAAGCTTGTGAAAGTCTTTTCTCGAGCAGGTGACGAAGACTTACATCCGCAACAAGTTGGGTCACAAACTATTCATTTATTCTTTCAATTTGTCAATGTTTTTGCCACGACAATTGAGTCCTTCATTTGGAGTTTTATGACCAAAAGCGATGTATAGGACTCGGATATGGACAGTCAATAAAACTGGAAGCTTCGAAACCTTTACCGCCGATTATATTCTGTACCATTCTGTAAGAATCAGTTTCATGCTCAATACCCAAATCTTTACACCAGGTATTGAGTGTTTCGTGATACAGAGAAAACGGTACATTGAGTTGATGATTGACCTATGATGACCGAGCAACGGTGTTTGCCTAATGCGCATTCGATGTCGATTTATCGTTGTTATAGATGTCTATCTGTCCAGGCTACGATGTTTTCTCGAAATGGCTGCTGCTTCGAGATCCTTTTTATTGTTTGAATCAGACAGCAGCGAAGGAGTGGTTTCCAGGTGTGTTTCAAATCAAGCTTATGGAACCTGGAGATGCGGATAAAGAGACAAGGAGCAAGGTTATGAAACCAATTGGGCCAAAGCCAGACAGCTCCTGCGAGGACTCCGACGGCTGTCAGGATTTAAATATGACGGAGAGCCCCATCTCCTTCGTCATATATTCTGAACACATGTAAGTCCTTTTTTCCCCGTTCAGAATAACTGAGGTTCCAGGTGACAGTACTGCTGTACACACGGTGGAAAGGAAATGGGAGAAGATTACAAAATGAAGATTACATGTACAGCTCGTTCTCATGAATACCCAACGTTATAGGCGTAACCTGAGAACACGATACTAATTGGTTAACCGTCAGCAAGTCTTCGACCAGAGTCAATCTAATTCAGTTAAGGTCTACTGTTTTTCACCTGAAGAGGATTTACAGTTTCTTCAAAGTGTTTCGGCAGCTGAACTTCAGGGATTGATTCCTCCCACATTACTCCGAAATCACGATTCGGCACCATGTTTTCTGACACTGTTAATTTCTCTGCTAATGACACCTGTTCAATCAGACGTGGACTTCTTCTACTTATTACCTTTTCTTCATGTCTCTTTAGAATGTTAATATGATTCTCTGTTTTATCTTTGTCTACAAAAGCTGGCTATGCTGACCGTGAGGTGCATTCAACCTCTATACAACATATCTGAATCCTTGGGATATCTAAATAACACAAGAATTATGGGATCCCACAGCTGTGCATACCATACATTTGCTATGTATATATGCAGGACAATACACATGGATGACAATGAGGACGAAAAAATTTTCAGAAGTGGCTTTTCGACTTGTTGATACTGGAATTAATAGTCACCATCGATCTTCAAAATTTTTGATGGTGTGATTGAACACTCCTCTTCCATGATTGCACTCTCTTGTGGGTCTCATCAGTTTCTAATGTGTTTCTTCCCATCATAGAGCTGCTCATCTTCGTCCCACTTCTTGATTCATGCTTCAAATCGTATGTTCAGTGGATCTATAGTTCACCGGCCAATATTCTAATGACCTAAATGTAATACACGTGCTACCTTTAGATCATAAGAACTAAGAACTAATTAAAAGCTAAACATCCTTATTAAGCTTAAACCGGAACCCTGATATCCCCATTAATGACCATCGATATGAGTGATAGCAATCCAATTAAGGACAACTACATTTCATGAAAACAGTAAAGAATAAGAAAATATCAAAACCCTCCGACGAAACACTCGCTGAAGCCGGGCCTCGCAATCGTCATTACAGCACTATCCTATTCAAAATCTCTGGATTTTCACTCCTCCTGAGTCTCGATTCTTTCAAAATCCGAGCAAATAAAAAACCTCAATCGTAACTAGCTGTAGACAACTCCAGCCCATCAAAATTTGAAAACCAGGTCTAAGATGAAATGTTGGATGTATCGTCTGAGTCGAGGATAAGCGGGAACGCTAAAATTGAAGAGGCATTAAACTAATACTGAAGTGATTCATTTTTGTCAAATAATTATAACTACCATAAATCTCAAAGAAGAGGAAAAGCATAAACCAACAACAAGAACTGTTCATGTTTCGCCTCACGGCCGTGACTCCTCTACTGACCACGAAAGAAAGCAATCAAACGCATGTAATTGACGTATTACCAGTTGAGTTCAAAAGAGTTCGTGTTAACAGTTGAGGCCCATGAGCCTAAGGGCTCATGGCCTTTAGCACGTCGTGAAGACAAAATTCTTGATCACAATCCGTCAAATCGCACAAATCGAGCACGAGCGATGTGGAGATAAAAATTGTGGCTAGAGCCAAGGAGTTGTGGTGTATGCGAGAAAGAGCTTGTCACAACGAACGGTTCTTATACCGGTTGTAGGGAATTCTTCTGAGCAGATGCACACATAGCTAATTATAAAAAATTATATTCATGACGGAGACTTTTTTAATTTATAACAAAATAGTTGTAATTATAAAAAAATAGCTGTAATTGTCGTATAAATAATCTGTATGTTTGTTAAACAAAAATTGAATGTGTTAATTGAAAAATATATTGAATAAATTTTAAAATTATATTCATGTCGTCAATTATTTACTTATGGAATGAATTATAGTATAATATTTTGGTTCTTTCCTAAGTTAGAGTTGGATTGTTTGTATTGTTTTTTTTTAACTTTTAACCATTCTACGTACCATTTATCATTATTATATATTATTGTAAATATTATGTAAAAATTTATATAAAATCAAAAAACAATTGAAAGATCTGTAAATTTTATGCATGATTTTTGAATTGAATTTTATTGTGTTTATTAGTGATAGCTTGAACTTAAAAAAATTGGTTGAAAACATGCAACACATTTATTATATTATATTATATTTTATAATAAATTTATCATTGATAGTCTCATCGATGATAATTTTTCAATAAAAATTATAGATTAACTACAATGAACCAAAAGCTAAATTTTATCGTAATAAGAAATCTGTATTTATATTATGTCTTTAAGTACAAATCTATGAATATAAAGTGAAGTCATTATATTTTCATAAATGTGAATCTAGAAATGAGTTGGGTCTGAGTTTGAATGTTAACCTTTCGAATGTGCAGAGATGGCCTAGACTAGAAATGTAAAAAGCTGAAAACTAAAACAATCACGCCTTTGAATATCTTACTCACATGACAGTCTTCGACCTAAGTTCATCTTATGTTTGCGAAAAAGTTTATACAGGGTTTAAAATGCAGATTGTGGCCTTGTTTCGGACTGATCTATCAAAGCTACTACAGGCTGAACTAAATGCAAGAAAAATGTGGCCATATTTGGCTTCTTAACGGCTAAGGACCTTCTGAGGTAGCAATCTGTAAATAACTAAACAGTACTGCGCAGTGAAAGCTAAGCTGGATGAGAGAATGTAACTTAGTTCTGATCACGTTCTCTTGGGGCTATGTTAGAGGATTTTGGATATGTTCATGCAAGAACTCGGCATGTATTCAGAAATAGATTACACATTGTGCGTTGTCAAATGTAGCTGAAGATTTTGTACAAAGAGCATTGCAAGTGGACATGCTAAAGATTCATCAGATGCAAGTTTTGTGTACAGTATTCTTTCTGTATCAATCTTTGAAATAGAATGTCGTTATTATTTAAACTGTTAGCAGATGACTAGGGCCATCTTTGTACCAGGGGATGAAAAATCTCCCCTCTTCATGACTGGATTTCTTTTATCACATAGAATGTTTGAGCTTCAAAAGAATTATTCGCCACTGGCAAGTTTCGAGCTGGTGTCTCACAAAATATTTCTGATCGACTCTCAGTGTTATGAAAGCTGTCCCAAACTTGCTCTTGGTCTTCAACCGGTGTCTATGGAATTGGCCTATGGAATTCCAAATATGAAACGAGAGTACCCAACCCTGTCAGGGCCACTTGGCACGAGTTCGACATTCTGGGTTGCTCGTGCTTGAAGAAGAGATAGGGGCACGTGGCGGTCCTCAGCCCAGCACTGAACACACTGTACAGCTCTGAAGGTCGAGGACTGTCGAGCGGGTTTGGGTGCAGATTCGAGCAAATAGCGAATGATTGTGCGCGCTTCAGAGTTCGGGCAGCAAATGCTGGCACGCATCATGTCATCAGGTGGAGCGTCCAAGCTCGTGAAGAGCGCTGCGTTCGATCCCAAGGTCTTGCAATTCCTCGTGTGCCCGTTATCGAAGCAAGCCCTCAGGTGCTCATCATAGCTCACCGATGTGTGTGTGTGTATGTATGAATGTCATTGCGTTAGGGCAGTGCAGAGGCCGATGGAATGTCAATGCGGGTCATGAGTTTCTTTCTGTATCGCAGAGGAGTGACACTGGTCACTATTTCCAGAAATGGCTCTCTTCCTCGTCGTAAGCGTGTGAATCTTCTGCTGGAGGATTGATTGAAAACCAATCGAAGGCCCGGAGGGCCGCCGAATTGAACCCTCTAGCGAAATTCGTGAATGAAATCCCTGTAAAACGTAATACCTATAGGAGAGGAACACTAGCAACGCTGCCTAGAAATTTGTTATAATTTGGTGTAGACACAGATATTGATACATCTCGCGCATTCTGCTGTAAAATGAAAATGCCGTCTCCTACTGTCTTTGGCTTTCAGGTATTGTCAAGAATCGCAGGAGCTCTTCAGTGACTCGATCGGCGTGGCTTTCCCTGTGAGTATTTCTTTGGACAGCCGTGCAGATTGATCGGTGCTTCTGAGTTGAATTGAGATCATGAGCTTGAGCATTACAGTCGGTGACGTCGAGTCTACACCCTTACCCACTCACGTGAAGCACAGAAGTTCTGCGAATCAATCGCGAGATCTAGTTTCCGAGAGAGTTGTCACATCTGTTCTGGGGATGTGTATAATACAAAAAATTGAAGAGTCTGCGAGGTCATTAGAAACTTGGGAAACCTGTGGAGTGTACAGATGTTGTAGCTCATTTACTCGTACAGGGCCCAAGACTCAGAGTGGTACATGTTACAGGAGGCCTTCAACTAACTTCAGTTTGGAATTCGCATCTGCAGATCAAGGAAGGAATTCCATGTCTTTCACCGATGGCTGGTCGACTGGTCGAGGCAGTCGAACCTGAAGCCCAGGCCCCTCCAAAGTCATAACGTAGTTCAACATGGGAAGAAATTGTTCTGAATGGGTCAGCATGGCGTAGCTTCAGTGACTGGCACTCTTTGTACATTCCGTTATCAAGTTCTTTTGTGGGTTGACGCAGTCCACCACAACTCTTTCAGTATTCTTCTGAAACTGGAACAATCTCCTACATTTACCTACTGAGATCACCGCGATTTGATGCTCTATCAGATATATATATGTATAAAATTCTCTGTCACTTCACAGCCTCGTTCGTTTGGAGTTGTATGCCATAAACTCTCGCACATCCAGATCCGAGTGCACTGAAGAAAAGTCAGGAGCTTCAATTGACGCTTATTTTGGCGCACGTCTCACCTAGAAACGCTCACGGTAGAACGACTTTGAGCCCACGCACTTTCTCTCCGAGTGGTACGAGCTTTGACTGGAACGATGGAAGGCAGAAGCCCTCGAAGGCGAAGAAAGTGCTCTCGCTCGGCGGGCGAGATACTACAGGAACGGGAATTCGCCGGAAGTTGGCTTCAACATGACGTCCGTCTTCTGCGTCCGGCAGCCGTTCTCGTGAGTGAACAGCCATCTACCACGTTCCCAGTGAGTGAGTGAGTGAGTCACTTGCAAACTGTGACCGCAGTGCGCATCAAGAAACCCTGCGCTACGACGTTATGATGCCTAGTCGTTCCGGTGCGTCCCGGGAGGTGTGAACGCAAATTCCTCGATCGGTCCCGGACCTGCTTCGGCAGTTCGGCTCTGAAAACCGTAGATTCTCATTTCCGACTCTCGAAGAATGAAAATGCAACAACAATTCGAGCGAGAGTGCAGATCGATGGCGGTCACGACGAGCTCGGGGTCTCAAATCGATCGAGAAGAAGGGACGAGCGAAGTCGGTGGGCATCGACGACCCGAGACATTTCGAGCTCCTTCGCCGCGTGGGCACGCGGTCTCGAGTCAGGACGGACGGGGTTCGGCGATGGTGGCGATGGTGGTGATGGTAGTCCGCCATTAGAGTGACGGCGGTGGGCCCGCAGCAACGACCGATTCTTGCGAGAATCGCGTTTCTATTCCAGGGCTGCGTCGAGGAAGGAGGAGGTGGAGGAGGAGGAAGGAGGCCGGCGGCCTTTCGGTCAATACTCGGAAAAGGGCTTCTTGCTCTGCTTCTTGCTGCGCTGCGGTGTCGCGGTCTGCCAAGGTCGGACAGAGCCTCGACTCGCTGGGCCGCAGGCAGACCTTCCGTGGATCGTTGACTCGCGCCGTCGGGAGAAATGCCTGGAAGTGCCTTGATTGTCCGCCATTCCATCGCACATGCCGCGGCCGCTGCGACCAGCTGCCAGATATGGAGCCCAGAATTCCATATCCCGTTCAGGTGTTCCGCCCTGCCAAGATTTTCATCGGAGCCGCTTCGGGCTTGAAGTCCGAACCACAAGTTTTCTCTAGGGTGTCGGCGGTGGACCGCTCGGAAATCCTTACGTGGTGGCGCGAGAATTCCTGAGGTTCTAATTTGACAGACGTAACGATTGTGATCGTATTCGAATGAGTTTGTCCCAAAATTTGCAGATCGAGTTTCGATCCCTTGGAGAAAACTCTCGACGCTTGCTTGACCGTCACCATTGTCATACGAGGGCCGTTGTGGCGAGGGTCCTGCAGAGATTGTCGTGACTGCATCGATTTCCAGGCACTTTCATGTAGAGAATTGGCCTGTTTCGATTGCAGGGAATTGGAGAATTCGCGAGTTCGGCTGCGATGGCGAAGTCGGAGGCCGGGATTGAACTGGCGGTGGTAGTGCTGGTGGTGGCCAGGGTAGTTCTTCCCATTCTGCACTCTCAAGCGGGGACGCTATGGCGCGAAGCAGCGGGCGTGGTCATCTTGACCGGCGTCGCCCTCTTTGCGGATTTTCAAGGTCGGAAACAATTGCTGGATCATCTGAAGCCGAGGTCGAGCATGTCATCGGGGATCCTGCTGGGGGCGGTGACGGTTCCGACCGTGCTTGCCGCTCGTTTATTGCAGCATCAGAGAAGCAGCAGCTCGACCGAAATTTCACAATTTGCAACCGACCGCATGAAATTCGAATTTTGGCTAGCCGTCGCTTGCAGCACGAGCATGCTGCTGTACCTGGTAAGCTTCTTGTGGAAGCAGAAACCGAGCAGGTGGTGGCTGTCGTCCATTTTGGAGTCATCTTGCACCACGGTGCTCGTACTCACGACCTTCTGGCGCATGTCTTCCGTGGGTGCGACAGACGGGGCCGTCTGGGCGGCCGTCTACATCGTGGGAGGCAAAATTCTGTTCACCCGTGTCCTCGAGACATTCCCTCACACAGGCACAGTCGGCGAGGTCATGCTCGCAGTCCAGGGGATCGTCTTGTACGCAGCCAATGCCGTGGGAACCCTCGCGGCTGACTCCGATAAAGAAGCCGATCAAGCTGTTGTCGATGCGCTGCTGCAGGGGCTCATTCTGGGACTGCTCGCCATGCCCGTCGTCCTGAAACGTCTGCACTTCAGGCTGCCGTCGGTGTTCGGGCGGCTCGACGACCACCGCATCCCGGAGAAGCAGAGCAGGATCGACATGTACATGAATCACCGAGCCCGATCCTTCTACCTGCTGCTGCTCGTGGTGGTTCTGGCGGCCGTCCCGTTGTGGGTGGGCGTCGTGACCGGCCATGTCCTCAACCCCGTCACCTGGACGCTTCGATTCGTGTGGCGGCGACCCGTGCCCCGCCTCATTCTGTGCTGTTACTGGATCGTCATCATCTGCTCGCCGCTGCCGCACTTGCATCGCATTTCGCATCAGAAGCTGGTCCCCAAGATCCTCATCCGCAAGTACTACCACGTCATGATCGTCTTCATGTTCATCCCCGCGCTTCTGTCGGACGCTCGATTCTTACAGCTCGCATTCGGCATCGCCTTCGCCATTTTCCTCGTGGTGGAGATGATCCGCATCGGCAAGCTGCCGCCTTGCGGCCACTTGATCGAGCGTTTCATGGTGGCTTTCACGGACCATCGTGACTCCGGGTCTCTGATCATCAGCCACTTTTCTCTGTTACTCGGATGCGCCCTGCCCGTCTGGCTCCATGCAGGAGCCGGAGATCGACCTCTGGCAGCGTATGCGGGAATTCTGAGCCTCGGAGTGATGGACACCTTCGCGTCGGTGGTGGGATTCAACTTTGGCTCGACGCGGGTCAGTCCCAACAGCAAGAAGACCGTGGAAGGAACTCTTGCGGGGATCGGTTCGATGCTGGTGTCTGTTTTTGCGCTCATCGTCGTGCTCCCGTCGAGTGCGAGACCCGCAGGAGTGGACGGTTACCTGTCTCTGGTGGCTGCGGTGACCGGGGCTGGAATCTTAGAGGCTTACACGCTGCAGCTGGACAATGCATTCATCCCGTTATTATTCTACGCAATGTTGTGCCTGTGAGGATGATCCCGATGGAGAATTCTCATTCTCCACAGGGGATGGGAATTTTCCTCCTGTTCAGGAAATGTTCAAATTCTCGTCTGGCCAGGGGATGAAGTCTGGTAGAAGGTGCCAAGGACGCCGGGATCGAAGAATTCGACTGCTGGCCCGGTTCTTCGAGCTCTTCTTCACATTTCCAGACTTCAACACATGAACGACTGTTTCAAATCTCCAGGAAAGGAGCTTCGAGGACTGAAATGAAAGTGGTGTATTTCGCCGGTGCACTCGCAAGCTGATGTTGTAGTACGTGGAGCTCCGATCCGCTTCAGGAGGAGGAATGTGGCAACCTGAGCCTCCGGCTGGCACCCGCGGACGTAAATAGCGGTGGGAAAGATGGAAACGAGAAGGACTGATTGGAACGAGCAAGTGCACCAAATTGTTCTAGTTAAGCTTTCCAGCGAGTGCAAAATTTGTTCTTCTACTCTTAGTCAAATACCTCGCCAGTTCACTCGTACCGAGGTTTTAGGAAACACGCTCAAACCAAACCCCGGGGCTGATCAGAGGCTAAATTGAGATAAATTTCAATGTCGCCACTCCGCCGAAAGCATCTATTTCCATAAATGCGATTGTAGTGAAAACCAATGAACACGAGCTGTGGTTTGGAAGCCGGGATGCAGAAGAAAATAGAAAGAATTGGAACTCGCTGTCTGCAAGAAGATGTCCTCTTTCAGTTCGGCAGGAAGACGATGTGCAGAAGCAAATGTCAATGCAGACAACCGTGAACGTACGGGAAGGTCACGGCAGCATGCTGTTCTGGAACCGACCGTGTCAAGAGAAACGTCCGAGACGCAGCGCAGGAACATGGTGTCTCGTGCGGAACTGCATCAAGAGCAGCGGGGAAATGGTGGTGAACTCAAGAACAACAACTTGACTCTCGCACATCAGATCAGCCGACAGCCCCGAACCGAATCCCTAACACAACCACAATGATGCGCACTCCACGACCACTTCGAAAACCCCAGCAGAATGGCCGCCAATTCGATCGACCAGATTGCATCGAACCCGGAGCCCTTCACGGAACAGGGCGAAGAAGGCTAGACGACCTCGTTCGGCGACACACTCACATCGACAGCAACGAGATGCGGCTCGCTGAGGGAGGGAGGCGTGAGTGCACGAATATTCTCGATGCTCTGCCTGCCAGCGCTGGGCAACAGTAGGTCGGCCATTCTTTAAAATACTCTGGAATAGAATAAGTAGAAGAGCATGGCCACTGCGAAATCTCCCGCCTGGCCGGACTCCGGCGTCAGCGTTCGCTGCCCACGCTGGCTGGCTCGCTGGCTGGCTGGTGCCATACATACCCTTCCGACACACAGGGTTGCCAGAATGGTTGCAATCCGAGACTTGTCCTAAAGCTCGATGCTCCTTTCCTCTCCCTGTCAGTAGCTTCGAGAGGAGGAGGCGGAGGGAGGGAGAGAGCGAGCGAGCGAGCGACGGAGGGAGGTCTCGGTTCGGCGAGCAGCGCTTGCAGGGAGCTTTTATTGCGCAACTGATTCGATCGCGGTTGGGTTTTGGTTTTGTGATTGTTTGTCGAGGGAGGGGGAGATCGTTTGCTGTCGGAGTATAGAGAGAGGGGGGAGAGAGAGAGAGAGAGAGCGCTCATGGCTTCGTTCGCGCACTCGCACTTTTTGAACCCGTCGACATCGACGAGTCAGAGTGCGTGTACGTGCGGCTCGTTCGTGGCAGGCCCTTTCAACAACTTCCAGTGCAGATGTGCGGAGCGGCGCGGTGTTGCCAACATGAATACCGAGTTGAAAGCGAAGCTGAAATTTCTGCAATCCTTTGAGCCTGGTCCTATGAGCGATTCTTTTCGAGGAGACTTGAAGCTGATGGGCAGCGATAACATTCCCGTTTATGCGCACCGATTTATTATGGTAATCGAACTCGGAAAGAGCTGTGTTTTTAGAATCCTTTTTTTTTATGATTCGGTCCTCTGTCTCAAATCCACTCTCTTCCGGCCCGAGAAGGACCCAGGGAAAATTGATTCGCAATCGGTGTGAAAATCATGTGCATGACATCGTGCGTGCATTAAAAGTATGAATCTATTTGTGGGCGCGATATTAGTTGCAAGAGTTCATTGCATATGTGACGCTCTCGGTTCTGCCCATTCCTAATCACATTTTACAGAGCGACCTGCCTTACATGTTTCACATTTATTAAAGGGCGTTTTTTCCGGGCAGTCTGTGAAATAGAGACATGAGGTGCTCACCTTCGTACGCTGTCCCGATGGAATCATCGCGGCCTCTAATTTTGCAGTGGGAGATCTTAAGGAACTCATCGTCAGGCCTTCCGTACGGGCGTGCATTCTTATTCTGGGGACAGTATTCTCCGTTGTACCGAAACCATTAGGGCTGGAGCTAGAGCGGGCATATGGCTCCATGCTGTAGATGCATGAGAAACAGTTTAGATTGGCCCAACTAATGTCCGTATTATGATTCAGCCAGTGCGGCACACTATCCACTTAGAGGGTGTGGGTCTGCGTGCTGCAGGAAGGCACCTATTGCTGCCGATGGTATCAGTAGAATGTAGTTTTTTACTGGTCTGAAGTCGTGCTGTAGTCGGTTGTAAATTTGTTTCGCTTTCCTGGCGACTGTCTTCTACGATGTGAAAAATGTGCAGGATTATCTGCTAATGCACGTGATTGTGCTGCTTGTGCTTTTTGTCATCAGTCGGGCAAGTCGCCCGTATTCAAGAAGATGTTCGAGACTGAGATGGAGGAAAAGGAGACAGGTGTCGTTAAAATTGTGGATTTCACTGCTCCTGTCTTACGAGCCATGGTCAACTTCTGCTACACCGCAGAAATTGCCTTCTCCATCACAGCACCTGCTGAGGAAGTGCTGAAGGTTGCTCACAAGTATGATATTCCTGAACTCAAGATAGTCTCTGAAGACGAACTCTCAAGAGGTTTTACAACAAACAACATATGTCTTAGACTGTGGCTTGCTTCTATGTACGGGTCGAAAAAGTTGGAGACCGAAGCTAGCAAATATGTAAAAGATAACTTCGAGACAATTTTCCCGATTATCAGAAAGCAAATAGTCCCAGGTTCGTTTGGCTTCTCATTTCAAAAAGGTCAGTCTCTCTGGGAACTGTCCAAGTCATCCATTGGATCTTGATATCCATATTCAGGCGATGATTTTCGTGTCTAATATGTTTTGAAGTGTATATAAGTCAATGCGGTACTGGATGAACTGATAGGAAGCGCTGTTTGCAAACACTTTTGGTTGTGTATAAGTGTCATTGATCAGCAATATGAATTTACCAATGGCGTAATAATAATCAATGTCTTCATGTTTCACTTACATTACTGTTGTGTAGAGTCTGTCCTGCATGATAACGGGAAATAGGTTCTCTCGCCTTGAAATGTGAAGTTTTGGGTCTGAAGTTATAAGCTGACCAGATTTCAGTGCAGTCAGCACCTGTGATGTCGGACAGTTTAATGGTTTTGTGGTGTCCGACAAAACAAAGTCCGGGGGGCCGGCTCCAACCCTGCAGTGAAACACAAAAGCTGCTGTACGTACCGTATATGGCCTCATGAGTTCTAAACCCTTTTCCTCTAGAATGTTTCCGTGTGGAACTGAAGATTGAATTGCAACATACTGCATACATCAACAATTATATCTGAAGGCCCTGAATGACATATTATCGATCTCGAAGGTGGATGTTAACGCGTGCAGTTCGAACCCATCTTCTAGTAGAATTGCATTGTGTACATAGTTGACCGTCATGGTTTGCCTCTTGCAGTTTTAACCCTGCCATTCTCGGATCTCAATACGTTTGAATGAGACTTCCGGAAGTTCGGATCCTCCAGATTCGAACCTCTACATCTCGTGTATATATAATTTGATCCTGCTCTTCATCACTCCGGTCAAGTAAATGGGTGGTTTCATATTAGCACTGTAATCACTTTGGACATACTACTGAACCGCATTGCAAGAGCGTACACAAGGTTGCATGATTTAAGTTTGGAGGTGCTGGATGCGCATCGAGCGATCTTTCGTTTCTGCATGAGAGTTTAATCACAGCGTCAGCTTATCGTAGTGTACGTACATCTGAACGCGCGGACTGGCTCAGCGGCGTTATCCATTCATCCATGCGCTGATCCTGTGTAGCGCATACTGTACTATATCTGTGCGTTTCCTGACTTGCTTACGTTTTCATCTGCCATTCCGTTTTCTCGTGCACTGAGTGTCCACTAAGTGTTACATTTCGTGAATTTTTCTGTAGATTCGAAAGACTCACTTACGCATTCTCATTCGAAGCAGGGACAAAATGACTTGGAGCACTTACTTTTGGTGTTCTTGCTATATATCTTATGTGATGACAGGATTTTGTGTAATTTCAAGTAATGCGAAAATAAATTCGCAGACAAAAACTTTGCCCTCCACCCTATTTGCACTTGCAATTTTGAATGACCACACAAGCCATGTTGAAGATATTGAATGAACACAATATATCTACAAGGGTAGATGAGCAATTTAAAGGATTTAGAGCATTTAAAGGTTTTTAAAAGTTTGAAATTACATATTCAACGATGTAATCAAAATATATATCACACAAGTCGAGGAAAACATCGTATGACACTTATGTATACGAATATACAATAATTTGTTTATAATGTCCATAGCAGGAAAACATACTAGGTTTGAAAAATCTATTTAAATTATATTTACATTTTGACGAGCATTATTCTATAATTGCGTGTAGGAATTTCTTGGAAATCATTAGTAACATCTAACATGCCTTTTTCTTAATGAATGAGTAGTGCATTAAGTAAGAATATTTTATTGTCATACATTTGGACTATGACATTCAAGTATTGCTTTGGCAGAAGGAGAAATCTCATTTCCAAATGGGCTTAAACCCTCTTTTTTCTTCTGTATCAAGTTGAGTTTTCGTAGGCATCTTAATTTGAAGGCAGCTTATTGAGATTTTAAGTAAGTTATCCAAAAGGAAGTTTCAAATTTGGTCCAATTTGGTCTTTCATGAATGAAATTCTTGAAAGTTTAAAACAAGTACTTACAATATATATTAGTTTCACGTACATCACGTACATACCCTGTATAAAATTTATTGTATGTACAAATGCACTTCAGTTAGATGATCAACTTAGTTCATAAGCTCTTAGAAACAGTAAAAAGCAGATCGAAGCTCACAGATGAAACTATGTGTGTAATCCATGGCTAGCTCCATTACTATCACTAAATAAAATATTGACTAAAATACCTATATTTTGCTAATTATATAAATGAAAGCTTCTACAAACAACATGAATATCTTACATCCAAGAATCTAAGTATGTTCTTTTATGTTTAGCACTAGCTAGTGATTTTTATAAAGTAATAGAAAATGTTTGGACTAAATGTAAGTGAAAGTGAATTCATGCCCACTGTTTAGGTAAACTTTCTTGCACTCTCAGGAATATTTGAAACCATCATGAATATATTCATTTTATTTTAATGATAGAGAAACACATAGATGTATACCTCTTACAGAGGTCAGAATTATTTCTCTCTACTTTAGTTTGTGTTTGTGTAAAGAATCAACTTCAAAACTTGCCATTGATTGTTTGTGGCAGTGGATGTTCTTCGATAATTATATTGGAATGTTGAAACCACAACACACATGGTTAAAACTAGCACACTGAGGCCAGAGACGCGTGTGGCAGTCACATGGCCTGTCAAAACAAAAACTTTTCGCACACAAGCCCAAGTATCAACTGCCGATGCGCAAGTGATTTCAGAGGAGCATGACGGGAAGGTGGAAATAATGGGCAGGACTTGGAAACGTTGTTTTGAAGAATGGAGATCGTCGAGCTTCACCCCGACCATTGCTGAATCCGATGAGAGCATCAGACGGATCCAACAACGTCAGGGTGGGGGTGCCCGTGGGGCCTGGCACACTACAGAGTCTCGAGCTTCTACAGCAGAAGATGTGTCAGAGGGAATCTGGAGACAGTGGAGCGCTCGACGAGCCTGGAGTGAAAAGCGATTCATCGTCCGAAATGAAAAATGCACTTGCCGTGAGCGAAGAGAGATGCGGATCTCAAGTGATTTGTGACCCTTCCGAAACTATCAGGGTTCATCATGCGAAGGTTATGTTTACTCAGAACACATGAATTGTGATCGAAGTGAAACGCTTCTCACCTACAATCGAACGAGCAAGTCAGGACCAGTCAACTCGCTCTTCACAAGCCTGAAGTACAATTCAGTTCTGGATCTCACGTTGTAATTCTGTCCGGACAAGAGAATCCGAAGCCGAACGAAGCAATGGAGATGGAACAAACAACCTGTCATCCCTCTCGACCTCAAATTATGATCCATCGTCAGCAGGAATTCTTGATAAACCTGCACCCGCGCATGCACTTCCCACCCAGTGAAGTTCCGACCTCTAGCGACGATGAATGAACGTGTCTACGGGCAACGAAGAATCGAGCGATGTCGACTCATCTTCGCACATCGGTCACCCGGCCCCTTCGGAAGGGTCACAAATCATCGGATCCAATTCGATTCAGATTTTTCGAGCAGTTCAGCTTCTGGATCCTACTTAAATTAAATTGGTCTCCCGTTGGGGAGGGTGGGCTGCGCCGGCCTAGGAGGTAGTGCAATACCAAGGCGACACTGGCAGATCCTCGACAGCAAGCTGTCGAATTGGACCTGCACCCTGAAAGAAATTAGATTAATATCGTGAGGGTCGATGACCCTCGTATCAGATATTAAACTGATAAGAACAGATACTACACTTGATCTTAGCCAAAAGGCCGAGAAAGGTATATCTTCTCATGAATGAAGGCAGAATATATATGCGATCTGTTCGATCCCTTGGCCACTAAACTCATGGGTTTTACAGAATCGAGTATTGCATGTTGGCTTCGTTAATTGGCCACATGGACGCCATGATGCGTCGAGAGGTAGAGACATGAAGCAAAGTGAGAATCAAATGTCCTTGTCCGGCAAGAGCTGTGAAGGAAAGGCCCTCAGAGCTTCTCTGTGTGCCTACCAGAGCCCAACATTGGGTGCCCATGCCCATGGCCTATGGGTGGGTTTTGTGTGTCAAGATCCAACCAAGAATTTGCCTATGGGTGACGTTATTTTTCCATGGGTGGGCACAAGTAATGCTAAGAGCAGTGATTGTCAAGATCCAACCAAGAATTTGCGTAATTTGAGTGGCATGGATGGGCACAGGTAATGCTATGGGTGGGCATAGGTAGCTGCTGATGATGGTCATGGTCTGGTCTAGGTGCAGATTTGAAGTAAAATGTCGGCCTCTGGTGCCTACCCTTTCGGAGCAATTACAAGGACAACCCTGAACCCAACAAACGGCGGATGAGGCCTATTGTTCATTTGGAGATTAATTTTTCTCTTAGGGGGCGGGAGGTAGTGAGAGAGTGAATTTGGAAGAGCATGACGGGGGAGGTGGAATTAATGGATTCTCCAAAAATTGGAAACGTTTTCGTTATGAACTGTGGAGAGTCTTGAACTTTGATCCGACCATTTCTGAAACTAATAAGAGCATTTCTGTGCCTAGAGTGTGGCCAGGACGATTATCGGTAGATACTTTGACCTTGAGATGAAGTAGTTGCGGTGGCCAATCGAGGGATCGTTCCTATTGAGTAAATAAAGCGGCGACATTAGAGATTCTGAATTTGAGATTCATTCTATTTTATTTGGCTGCGTCCGTTGTATACACTGTAATAGAATTCTGAGAGTAGAGAGATACATGAATGTTAATGTAGTCGAGAGATACACAAACTGTCTGCATATCTCCTTCTTGTGTAAGTATAGCACATGAGGTAACAAAGGATGCATATTGCTTTGAAATACAATCAAATGGTGTTTGTGTTCTAACATAAAATTAAACAATAAACACATTCTCTATTTCAGTGAGCTGGCTGGATGAAACACTAAACAATAGAATATCCAACACCGTACATGTGTCAAAATGAACATATTTGAAAAGAACCATAGAGATATATGCTCTTCTATAACAAACATAGTCTTTAACTTTATACTAAACACAAGATGTTGCGAGCTTGATACTAGTAAAAAAACTATTAGGTTGACAATAACTTCCTCCATCATGTGGCTGAGGCTAATATGCCACAATGAGAAAGTTGATCATGAGATGACATAAAGAGATGTTTCACGAAATATTGTTAAAATGTAGAGAATTTGATAACTTATTTTCATTCTTAAGATTATAAATCACATCCAGTACAATAAAATCATTAACTACAGATTTTCATCTTTTTTTAATCTACATATCAAGCAATATTATGTATTAAGACATTAAACAAATGTGGCAAACATTTTTCATTGTGAAACTTTTATTATCAAACATTTGAATCCCCACAAATTTATGTTGCTTTGTCAACGCCGCTGAGCTGATATTTTATTTTATCAAGATTCAATTATTTCGTGAAACCGTACAACAAAATAAATCGTACAGCTTAGTGTGGTCTATATACTTATTATATGTCAAACTCTCACACTTTTATTAAACTCAAATTTATACAATTAAACAAAAAAAATACACTAGATATAAATCTAGATTTCAATTATATCACATTTATAAAAAATCATCAAAGGACTTGTTTCTTGAAGTAATGGAATGAAAGACACTCTTATCAATTAAAACTGCAATTTCAAGATTTGTAAAATAAATATAAAATCAGTATAAAACCAACAGAATATTTAATTGTGCTGTGATGCTAGATATTTTTCATATCACTTCTTTACAGCAATGTTGTAAAAATTAAAACAAAAAGAAGGCATAGGATTTAATATTAATCACAACATATGATTTGATTGAATAATCTAGCCCAATATATAATATATTTTACACAAAAATTCAATATAAAAATAAACCTTCTTATGTTACTTCATAAATTTAAAACTTACATAAAAAGTCAAAATAAATTTCAGAATTTCCCAATAATAGAGACAGTTGTGACGAAAAGATGATATTTGGAAGAAAACTTTTAATTTTCCGCCGCCCGGGGGGCTCGAACCCCCGACCACAAGGTTAAGAGCCTTGCGCTCTACCAACTGAGCTAGGGCGGCTTATGCAAGTAAGGTTTCAATAATATTTATATTCCTAAAATATATAATAAGATATAAAACATTCAAGAATCTTGTACATTTATTTTTTTATTTGGAAAATGAATTCTTTTCTTCTTTTTCTGAAAATTAAAGATAAAAACATGAAAGCACATATCACTTGATTACACCGAATATAAATTAAATTAATTACTTCTATTTACATTTTATAAATTAGGTTTGATATTTTGGAACGATTTATTATATTATTGGAAACGCCTTTCTCTTATTTGGTTCATTCAAATAAAATTATTTTCAATTTTTAGAGTTTTGTAGATATCGATTAAAATGATTAAACTGGTATATTGCTAGATATATAACAATAATTTTTTTAGTTCTTGAATTTTTTTTAACATAGAAACGTACATCTATCGGTTATAATCGTTAAGAACACTTTTAGCTTCAAGATAATCATTATTATTCAATGCTTCAAACCCTTATCCTCCACATCGTTCATGCCAACAGTTGAAGTTAAGTCCTTCGATGTAAACGAAAAAAAAAAACGAAACTGTTTGCCCAAAACTTTCACAAAATATTGTTTGAAAGTCTACGTCTAATAAAGTCCAGCATCTTCTCATGTTGGATGGAGCCACAATTAGTTCATGGCTGTGACGATGCTCGTTAGTTAGAAGGATAGACTGGACCCTGAGCTTGCACTGAATGTGGTTAGAGTGGTGAAGGCACTAGACCATCAAATGCACAAGACAATGATCGATACAAAAAGGGCCAAGAAAAGTGGTCAGCCCGGGCACTAAATGGGTAAAAATGAATAAATTGAGCCGATGGAGGGTGTCAGAAATATCCTCACAGAAATCAGGTCCACGTAGGTGGCGCTCTTGGTGAGGATCGTGAAGAGTGAACATGGACGCAGAAGAAGGTGCAATGATAGCAGTACACTAGAAAATCAAGCAATCCGAAGAAGATGGCGACGTTTGGAGGGCCGTGATAGGCACATTCAGTACAAATGATTGAGCAGCAGCGAATCACGATGCGAGCTTTTCTCGAAAATACTAAATGTTGACAAACCTCGCTGATATCTACAACCAAAACCACATACTGTGGGCCACCGCAAGGCCTCCTTAGCCAGAGAGAGAAAAGCAAGAATATGTTGGACCTTTATCGTAGCGAGCAAGCATCAGGAGCAGCTTGTGGACCAGAAATTCAGAAGCAAGTGCAGCGACATAAGGGCAACATTTTTTGTGGGCCAGGGATATCGACTCACTCCCATTCAAAGCATCTTCTCAAAAGGGGGGCCATGAACTTGATGTGCGTTGTGTATCTGCTGTGGATCTGTCCACAAACCCATGCTGGTCTACCATGAGCTAGCACAGCCCGTTGCTCGCTTCCAACCTTTCATGGCCTTGAATTCTCAGGACGAAAAGTTTCGGTGGGTTGCAATTGACGTCCCTCGCCATCACCAACTACCGACCTTCTCCACCAGTCCAATAATGTGCCACATTTGGCGCAGCTTAGCTTCTGTTCTGGCTTTGGTTGTGGTCAGCTCTGCTTTGTTTGTTTGTCCTGGTCGCTTTTCCTGAGACCCCGAGATTACTGCTCCTCTGCTTGTCGAGCTGCTTTTGCCTCTGCCGGGGATTCACCTTCTCAGCTCTGGGTGAAGTAGTTTTCTCTGGACCAGGCGTCAGCGAGGGAGCGCAAAGTCCATGGTCACTTTTTGGTCCTCGGTCCAGAGACAGAGCCAGGGAGTGTCCCCGTGCACGAGAGAGGAGCACATAGTCCATTCCAACCGTGCATGATCCTTTCCTCATTGCTTGCTCTGTTTCTGTGAATTGACTTTGGAAGCGGGGCGAGGATCGTGGTTGAATTTCCTCTCCTCCGAGCCTCTGTTCTGTTCAGTTCTGTTCTGCATTTCGAGGAGCTGATCCGTCGTTTGCGTTCTTGGGGCACCTGAGGTGCCCTCCAGATGCGGAATGTGAATGACCGACGGGCGAATTTTTCCACAATTTGAAGATAGGCCGCGAGCGAGCTCGTCCCCTTCGCTCGTTCGAAGAGTGGCTCTGAAGTCCGATTGCTGCATAGGAGGCTTGACATTGGGTTGATTTTTCTTCGTCGGTTCTTCGTCTTCTGATTTGTGCGGGTGGACTCCTCGCGAGTGGAGTGGAGCTGAGTAGCTCCGTGGCACCGAGTGTTTGAAGGGAGCAGCTGCTCGTAAACAGTCATGGTTCTGCTGCGGTCGCTTCTGGCCGCCGGGGCAGCCACGGCCTCGCCTGCTATATCCACACGGCAAATCTTCGTTGCTCAATGGCGCTCCTCTGCAAGGCGGGAATACTTTGCCAATTCGTGGATCTTGGCTGCCAGAGAGCGGAATATTGTTGCGCAGCGTTTCACTGAGGCGTATAAAAAGCGTGGGCAGCAGGTTGCAGAGACGCTAAAATGTTCTCTTCGCAGGAATTTCGACATCTGCAGAAAGGGCCGTCGGGGGGAGAAGGTTTCTCATCGTGTGCAATGTCAGAGCACCTTCGCTTCCAGCAAGGAATTATCCATCAGCTTTCCTGTTTCAGTGGATGAGGCTACTACTGTTGATTCCAATCTCGAGGTGCAGAATTTTTTTCCTTTTTTCCTTTTCGATTTTGTTTTCTCGTTCGATTCTGAGCGTCAGCGTCGTCAATTATAGTTTGGATTGTCCTTCACCTTTCGCCTCGTACGGGAATACTCACGAGTCTCTGTGGATCTGATTGACGAAGTGGGAGGAAAAACTCTGTCCAAAGACTAACTATCTTCCTTCATCTCAGGCTTTACTGAAGCAGCTGGAGATAGATGGTCCTTCGGCAGTTAAATTGGCGGTTGAAGAGTTGGAGCTAGAAAAGGAAACTGAGACAGTCGAGCTTTCACTACTTCTGTGCGACGATGGATACATGCAAAAGCTCAACAAGGAGTGGTTGGGCAAAGATAGTCCCACAGATGTTTTATCCTTCCCTCAAGACCAGGCCCCGGGGATGACACCAATTGTACGTCCACAGATTGTTATTCCTCGATCGAAACTGACTTTCAGTGCAAAATAGGATGAAACCTGTTGTAGTAAGTGTGACATGTTTTGCTTCCTGCGCTTTGTCGGTCCTTCACAACACTCACTTGCTTCATGCCAGAGAAACCTTCAGTTTTGCAACAAAGAGTTGGATCCCATGGCATCTACCTGTGTTAGTCATGGAAGGGAAGTTGTTTCGCTGTCGAGTAGCATCAAACCTCTTCAGTCATCGCCGAGGTTCCCTTGGTCATTATCAGGCTGGGAGATGTGTAGTGGAGTAAGCTGAGTGTTCGACTATGCGTGATGCAAGGGCAAGCTATCAGTTCGGAACTTTCAAAATGTCAATCATCAAGCTAACACCCCTGTTCCAACTCGAGTTTGCCTTATTTCGGGGTTCTGGGAGGATTGTCAGAGGTTAAACTGACGTCGTCGGTGATGATCTTTACTTTGTGTTGCAGCTATTGCTCGGGGATGTGATTATATCATTGGAAACTGCAGCAAAACAAGCTGAAGAAAGAGGTCATTCTCTGCTTGATGAGTTGCGCATCCTCTTGGTACATTTCGCCGCTTTGACCTCACATCTGTGGATATGTATATCCGCAGAGGTTTTTTGAGTGTATGGGGATATTTTTGTAAACTTCTTCTTCTTTTTGTATTTTATGTTCTCAGAGCTAATTTGTAGTTTGATCTTACAGGTTCATGGCCTGCTACATGTTATTGGATTTGACCATGAACTTGGCCCAGATGACTCTCAAGAGATGGAGGACAAGGAAACTCAAATTTTGAGCAAGCTTGGCTGGAAGGGGAAAGGGCTTATCAGTGCCGTGTCAAATAGCGTCATGGAAGAATCAAACGGGTCAACAACGTCTGGGGGTGCGGTAGTCGACGGCCTTGAACTTCTCATGATATTCACATCTTACCACTATATCTGTCATTCACTAGAAGTACATATTCTTCCGTTGGACGAGTTCTTATTTGTTGTCGCTTTACATCGTCATGCTTCTTCACTGAAAAAGAACGATGTACAAGCTTTTAATGTTGAGAGAAAAAAATCTGCAATTTTTTCGGTTTGAGTAAGTTTCTGATCTTCAACTCAAACCTGTGAGAATATTGGAGTCCGCTGTCAACATATAACGTTCTGGCCTTTCATCCGGAACTCAAATGGTTGAGTGCATTGTCACCAAATCTGGTTGTTATAATTAGCATCGGGGCCATTCTGAATCGACTCAGTTGTGGACTCGAAGAAACCTCATGTACATGATATCCTTATTCTAGATTGAGAAGAATATCTGAGTAGTAAGAGGAAACTATTGCGAAGTCTCTGAGCTGTTCATGAAAAGAAGGGTCAGGAGAGACAATGACGAAGGAGCATTGGTTCTGATGGTTTTCAATATCAAACGACTTGGTTGCAGGAAGAAGCCTTGATGGGAAGATAAGAAGACCTCCTAAAGCCGGGTTCAAGATATTATTTTGCGATATGGATGGTAAGAGTGACTTGGGTTATTTAATGTCCGGATAAATTTTTGACATTTGTGGGTGTAAAAATTGTACTGCGAAGCTCTCAGTCAGCTGATTTTCGTGAGTGTTTGTCATTCTATTCTAAATTTGTTGCCGGTTACTTCACATTGTTTCTTTGTTTTACCGGTAACAGGAAATAGAATCACTAGCGCCGACTAAGCTTCTACACTTAATGGAATGAGGGATTACCGGTTTATACAGCGGTTCTTCTTGGAAGTTTAATGAGAAAAGTATTATTTTGCTCCCAGGTACTCTCTTGAACAGCAAAAGCAGAATAAGTGATGCGACCAGAGACGCACTGAATGCAGTTTTGGCGAAGGGCGTGCAGGTCATCATAGCTACAGGCAAGGTGCTAGTGGTCAAGCCTTTCTGCTTTGGCGCTTATTTCTGTTCTCCGTTGCGCAGTGGTTGCAATAGTAATTTTAAGTGCATCTTGTGTTGCCTCATTGAGCCGCTTGTTCGTTTCATCCTTGCCTTTCACCAGTATACAAATCCGCTTCGATCTCCTAGTGCTACAGGACCATAAATCGGATTTTCTAACTCAGTCAGTGTAATATAAACACTTCAAGTTGCGAATAGCCGTTTCTCAAGACTAATGTGGGTGTGTGCGGCACAGACACGGCATGGTGCTATGGCTGCACTTGACCCAGTTGGTCTCGTCGGGGAAAATGGGGTCATTTCCTTGAAACATCCTGGGGTCTTCACGCAGGTAATGATAACATTTGATCAGGATTCGCTTTGTAATCTTGGAGAGTTCTGTATCTTCGTTTAGGAGCTATCACTTGGGAAGTATAGAGATGCCGAATCCAGAATCAGTTGAAATGGCTCCGTCAAGTTTTCTCTGACCTTCGGGAAAAAATCTCTCATCGAGTACATCATTTTTCATCTGTCGACGGTGTCCCTTCAGTGAAGTCCCTGGCAGCTTCTGCAATTTCGATTCTACTTGTGATCTTCTTGAGCAAGTCGATTGAAGTCTTTCGCTGCTGATTCCACAGGGCCTACAAGTCTATGGTCGAGGTGGATCGGTCATTCACAGCGCTGTGCTGGACCCGGAGGTGGTCCAAGAGGTATAATATCCAATGAGCTGCTTTGGCGCACACGGTTTGCTGTACCGTTTTTACAGAAGACATAACGATCCTGAGAGGGTAATTGTTCTAGCTATAGTCGGGATAGATCGTTGAGAGGTGAAGAGGCTTGCTCTCGCGAGTTCTTGCTTACTTTTATATTGATCACGTTGGTAATGACAGGCCTTAACATACTCATTGGAGAAGAGCATTCCTTCGGTGGGATTCAGTGACAACCGTATTGTCACTCTGTTCCGACACAGCTTGACAGATGTCTTACATACGGTGTATTTAGAGCCGAAGGTGAATCTCATTCGAACTGTATCCTGGGATCGAATCTGGCTCTTTAAAGACCATCTTAGGTAGTGGAAGTTTCTAGTTCATGTTGCTGACTTGCACATTGTTCTCGATCGTGATTGCAGGCAGAAGTTATTCCTTCTTTAAGAGACTTAATGGAAAGCTGCCCTATCCAGGTAGGGATCAACTTATGGATCTTTTGCGTAGGAAGTTCTCCTTCATTGTGCTTTCTTTTGTCGTGTGTCGTAATCCGTTCGCAGGGAATGCATGTCCACCAGGGTCACCAGAGTCGTGTTCGTTCGAGGGTTTACTGCATGTGCAGAGCTGATGGAACTGTCACCGTGGTCCTTGAACAGAAACTCCTTTTTTACAGTACTCCGGAAGATATCAAGTATAAAATAAGACCTTACTGGGCCGAAAACGTGAGAGGTAGAGCGACGCTAGTTCAAGCTTTAGATGACATGCTCGAGATTCTACCACCTGGGCAGTCCAAAGGTGCAGGTGTCAAATTGCTGCTGGACAATCTGGGTGTCCATCCAGAAGAGGTAAGAGCCACCGTTTTCTTTTCTTGCTCTCTAGTGAAGGGAAGAGTTTCATGTGACTGGAAAGATGTCGATGCGAGTTTCCTGGAATCCAAAAGTGGGGCGATATCTTGTTATTTCTCACACAACTTTTATCCCACAGATCATGGCGATAGGAGATGGGGAGAACGATATTGAAATGCTAGAACTGGCTGGATGGGGAGTAGCTATGGCGAATGGCTCCAAACGTACGAAGGAAGTAGCCGATGCGCAAACCTCAAGCAACGATGAAGACGGCGCAGCTGAAGCTTTTCATCGATACATCTTGTCATAGTGCTTTCTAGCTGATTGATGCACTCCCACTGATTTCATAATTAAAGTGGGTGCGTTTGTAACATACTTAGGAACCCTTTTAACAGTGGAATAAGATCAGGTTTTCACGAGTCTAGTTTGCATTGCGACCGACGGATTGAGCCCCATGGTGTGCTTTAAGGATGCAAAGTCCTGTTCACTGTCAAACATGAAGGCTCTATGACATTTGCAGAGGAATTGCCTGTACGCTGGTTCGGGTTGTGAAAGGGTTGTGGAAGGGTCCATGGTGCAAAAAGATGCGGCGGGTATTGGTCAACGACTTAAGAGTGCGTGTGGTGAAACCCAGTAGGTGCAGCTTCTCTACCTCGGCCACCTGACGCATGGGAACGACAATAGACAGCATGTTCTCGGGCTGAGTTTGCACCTGGTGATTTGGGTAGCCTCAGGTTCTCCAGGAAAGCAACTGAATTTTGAATTGCTGAAGAGGCTGGTGAATAAACTGACAGCAACCTACGTTTTCGATATCTCAGTTTTGACATCGCTCGCAGCTTGCAACATCATCTACAAGAGAATCTTGCTTTTTGAATCTGATTGGAGTGGTGTACATGAAGAACTCGTTTTTTCTCCACCGCACTGAAATTCCGATCATACTTAAGCTCTGTCTATTTTTTTCAGCTATGAAGATATGTTCTCAGAGAGGTTCGGACCCGCGTTAAGAATATCCAGGGTTCCACGCAAGGAGAAGTTCATGTGCAATCCTTACCTGATAAGCGCATGATCGCGGGAAATGCAGTTTATGCTTGATCTTTTTCGTGTGGTCGGGGAAGCTAAGGGCCAGAACGACCACTCTTACAGTGCCATATATGATTTGCTTCAAGTGCGTGGAAACTTCAAAGGAAAGAAATACTTTTAATTACACTATAATACACGTGCTAAGGGTTTTTGATTTCCCTGACCCAGAAGACACCCGAACAAAATAAGGCGAAGACTGTCGAGATGACCCTTTTGATGCAACGCTTTCCTGAAAAGCAGATAGAAAAGGGCAAGGCGAGGCCAAGAGGGTAAAAAGGAAGAGAACATCCAATCAAATTCTACGTTGTGGAACCGATGGGGTGACGGGGCTGGGCTCCAAAGGTATCACACTGGGTTGCGAAGCTCTCCTCTATGAGATATAATAAAACATCCAGTATAACGAAACATACTTTTCCTATTTCTCGACGATATTTTCGAATTTATCAGCCAGTGGTTGCACGATGGCTGCTGCTTTTTCACGCAACTGCAAATGTTTGCTCTCTCCAAGTATCCACAAACCGATATCTGATTTTATTGACGAACGGAGAATTGTGTTTGAGAACTGAACATCGATCATGTCGGGCCCGCATTCTGGTGCCGCTTTCAGCATCACTTTTCTAACTAACTTGGATGTTCATAGATGAGCTTCATTTCATGCTTCGGGTCGTTTGAGTTCCCCAGTGAAAATGTGTGGACTCCTTCGATGAGATTGGACCACGTCCCATCAGTTTGCGCTTCAGTCAACTGCCGGCACAGGTTCACTTTGAACAGAGCCTTTTGCTCCTGCATGCTTTCCAAGTACAGGCGTTCAAATCCCACCAGTTTCTGCAAGGGGGAACCATCTTTGCCGGCAGTGGGGGAAGTGTGATACAGGAGCACAACATTGGTTCCAGCGACGGGTCCATCATTCTTCACAGAAACCACAATCTCAATCTTCATACTGTTACAGACCAGAGCATTATCGGCAGACGAACATGGAATGTTGGGCGAGTCTCGTTGTCTTTGCGAGCACGACTGCCTGCTGTTTGCAGACGCTGTCACCACGCTGGGTGCCGACACGAACGAGCTGCTGAAGGTCGTGTAGCTCATCCCCTCGCCGAACCTGTAGATCACATCTCCACTGTAAAATCTGTACGTTCTGCCCGGGTAGCCTGTGGATTCATCTGGACGCATGTGCATGTCCGTCATAGGCACCTCCGTGTACGACTCCGGATACCAACTCATCGGAAGCTTTCCCCCTGAGCATTGAGCATTGAACCACAGCACGTATGATTTTCTCAGAATCCTAACTTTTCCCTTCCCTGAATCTCTAGAATTTGAGACTTGAGGGCGACACGCAGGGTGGAATCGAAAAATAGAAGCATGTGATCTTCTCGTGACTGAACTATCTATCGATCTGAATCTATCGATCGACTGAACTGAACTGAACTGAACGAAACTGAGCTGAAATAAGAATTCATCCAACTGCACCTTCTGGCAAGGGTTTTGAGCACCAGTGGATGATGATGAGACTCACCAGGATTGCGATCACCGAAGATGACCTGGGCCAAGGCCTGGCCACCAGCTTGACCCGGATAGCCGACCCAGAGGATACTTTGGATCTTCGGGTCGTCCTTGATGAAGCCAATGTCCACAGGCCCTCCCGTCATGAGCACGAGGATGACGGGCCCTTTGGCGACTCTACTCACAGTCGTGATCAACTCTTCTTGCTGACCAGGGAGCCGAAGGCTGGTCCGATCGAATGCTTCCCTCTCTTGGTCTTGACTGAGCCCCACGACGACGACCACAGCATCAGTCCACGTTGCCACCTTCGCTGCCCCCCGGATGAAATCGCTTCTCCCTTCACAAGTTGTTCCATTATCGCAACCCGGATGGTAGCTTGCATCGGGCACGTACTGCGCCAGTCCTAAGTAAGGAGTGACGTAAACGCACGGTGGACCTGAACACCCACATGACGAATGCTGATTATGAGGGGTAGCAGATTACTCCTGAATCCCCTCTCCCTTATTTGAGAGTCAGACTTTTCAGATCGACCAAGAGTCGAGTCGTTCCACTGTTAGGAGCTCGGAATTCGGACCAGGAGGCTCTGCCTCATTGGCATACAGGAATTTGTCGACGACGATAGCGCCTGGGGGTCTTCTTGCCCATCCCTGGTCCCTCTCGAGGCTGCTGTGTCATTCATTGCATTGGACGGCATCACCCGATGAAATGGCACGCATTCTACTGAGTCTAGCCCGATGCTTCTGTACATCGATGCAAGTTCATCTTTCCCCAGCTCAATATTGCTGGACTGGCCGTCAGATTAGCTACATTTAGAGCTTCAACGCAGCAAAGGAAGCAAAGGAAACGCACTGACTATTTTCTGCAGTGACCTGGAGGTAGGGATGGATGTGTAAAGCAAGTACAGCAGATCGAGTCGGTGAGGAGTACTCACCGGCATAATTGCCCAGCATGGTGTTGACAGTGTCGTTGGCATTGGGGCCAAGAACGGCAAGGCTGCGAATCTTGTCTGCTGAGAGAGGAAGCGTATTTTGGTCGTTTTTCAGGAGTACGATTCCCTGAAGAGCAGCTTCCAGTGCCAGATCCTGATGCTCTGGCGAGCAGATATTACTGTGATCGAGTTTGCCGTACTTCGGATCGTTCAGTGGGTCTCCATCGAAGTACCCCAGTCGGTATAGCACTGTGAATGAGTTGTGCAGAGCCTTGTCGATATCAGACGTGTTCAGTAGACCGCTGTGCACGGCTTCGACGGTGAAATTGGACGCGGTGTCTCCGCAATTCAGGTCCATACCTACGGCCATCGAAGAGATCAGATCGGATCAGATCAGATCAGTTCTGTCCTGTGCTCAGAGTTGACCGTGATGCTGAATACATCAGAACGCTCAAGTCCATACAACTAGTCCCAAGTTCTGAAGGCTCTGCTAGATTGAGAATCTGCCATGAGAGCTCTTGTGTAGCTCGGATGAGAATCACCTGCTTTCAGTGCATAGGCCACCGCCTCTTCGGGGGTCTGGGCATATCTGGAGTTAGCGTACATGACTTGTACAGCATCACAGTCGGAAACGATATACCTGGATGGTGAGGCATGAAAATAACTTTGTCGATTCAGGCAACTTCAGATGTGGGACGGAGAGCTTCAACCGAAAATGAAATAATGATAAATGAGATTCGGAGGCCGGCAGCCACCGACACCATTCAACAGCTGATCAACATTGTCTTGCTTCATTCCATGCCAGCGTTTTGAGAGACGCTGGAGTCCAAAAATCTAGAGCAAAAGTTCATGGAAAGGCATCGAGCAGACCCGTCAAAGCCCCAGGTGCCTCTTGCCAGCTTGGTCAGAAGATTGTAGTCAGCACATGTTGGCACACCGTTCACTCGGTTGTAAGAGCACATGAGACTGCTGGCCTTGCCGTCTTCGATGCAGCTCTGGAAGGGGGGATTGTAAGTGTCAAGCAAGTCTTGCTGGGTGACCTGCAAACAAACATGTGGGACGATTCTGTGGGTCGCTTGCAGCACGGAATGTCGAGGGGTAGTAATCAGAGTCACGACGCCTCAAGGCATTCATTCCTGCACTGAGTTTGAGCTGAGCGACTTACTTTGGCATCGAAATCGTATCGATCTACGTCGTACCACTGATCGATGTCGTATGCTGTGAAGTGCTTGCAGCAGGCAGAAGTCTTCAATTGCGCTGGACCTTTGCCACTGGTTCTGAGGTTTTGTCCCTCGTACTCGTCGTCCTCCTGCATCCCTCTGACGAAATACTCTGCATAAATGCTCGTCAGGTATGGATCTTCTCCTGGAGTTTCTTGACCTCGGCCCCATCTGGGATCACGGAAGATGTTAATATTGGGAGCCCAGAACGTCAGACCCGCCTGATTCTCGTTGTGCATAGCTCTGGCTTCGGTGGAAATCACCTGAAACAGCGAGGGGTGCGAATCAACCACCTAGAAGTCACAGAGTACTGTCGAGTCACGGTATCTTCTGGTCACAGATGGATAGAATCCTATGAACCGTATCGGACACCGAATTTCTTCATGATCTGATTACTTCATTGGCTAAGACTGGTGACAGACCTGGCCAATTTTGTTGAAGAGCTCTTTGTTGAAAGAAGCAGCGGTGAGAATCGGCTGAGGGAAGCTGGTAGCTGATTTGACCCGACCTTTGAATCTCGCACCAGGACTGTCGGCCACACCATGCAGGGCTTCTTGCCACCATTCGTAAGCTGGCAGTCCCAGCCTCGTGATGTTGGAACCGGATCCCATGTTCACCAATAGCCTCGCCTTCTCCTCCAAGGTGAAACGTGACACGAGATCCCGGACCCGATCCTCATTCGAAAGGTTCACATCACAGAATGGATAAGCCGCCGGCTCTTGACAAGGGTGTGGAACTCGGGGCCTCCTGGCATCAGGGCCGTCAGCAGCAGCAGCAGCTTGCCCCGAGATGATGCTGGCAGCAACGACGATAGCAATCGCGAGGCGCAGGAGCGATCCTGCACTTGTCATATTTGTGAGAGAGTCTGGATCCGGAGCTCCTTTCCAGGAATTCCGGAAAGATTCGGGGCAATCTGAATGATGATTCAGATCTCAGAATGCATCAGTTTATATTGACGACGGATCAGGCTTACGAGCCGTCATAATTGAAAGATGGCGATGCCAAGTTTCAGACTCTCCTCTTCTTCACGCTTCTTGAAGCGCTCTGGGTAGATAGATGATCAAGTCAGTGCGGACCATTCAAGGCTCGATCCACATGGTTCTTGGTTCTTGAATGCATGCCTTACGAGGGCACCGAGGAAGGTTCAAGTTCAGAATGGAGGTCGTCGTCCAAACAGAGTCATACGCGCACCATCTTTATCTTTGTCAGCAGTCCGACCTCTCGAGACAGTGCGTTCTGTCCAGCTCACCGACCAGCAAGTCCCCATCCCCATCTTGTGACACAAAAGTCACTCCGAAGGTTGCTCGAAGTTCGAACTTTTTCCAGACACCGAGAGCACCTTCGTGACCCAAACTTGTGCAACTGTGCTGATCCAGTCCATCACGACGAGCGTCAGTACGAGGGAAATCGCCATGTGTGGCTGGCGGGCGATGGGGATGCTTTTTTCTCTCGTTGTCATACGTACACTCAATCATGACGCCGTTCCGACCCGCACTCGGAAACTCTCGTCCAAGGCTCTCCCGTGGCACATGTGTACTCGCTGTGATGTGCACTTTTAGCTCCCGTTGTCAGCTCTGCTGAAACTATCCACTTCCACACCGCAGCATCAGAAAGCTGATCCAACAACTGTGGCTTTACGGTACACTCACACGTCCATTTCCGTCTCCCAGAAGATCTCTCTCTCCCTCACTCTCTCTCAGACCTGAAGCTAAGACAACGCGCAGAAGTGGACATGGGCTCGTATGTTGCTAACGCTCACGGGGTTTGCGGACACTTTGGCTTCCTCCTGGAAGAGCGAGCGACTGAGAAAAGCTTCTGAGTCGATCGGTTCCACGCAGCAGCTTCGGCAGCAGGCACCTGCAGGCGCAGCAGAGTCTGCACCCGCTCCGAACACCGAGACCAATAATTGTTTCTCATGGTCAGGGTCCACCACAGGCTGCAGCAGCAAAAGATCCCTTGATCCCTTGATACCTTGCACGAACAGTACCTGGACTTCGCATTCGCCGAGGCAGGCAGGTCGGTCGATCGATCGATCGACCTCTGTGTTTCATACTACGACTTAATTCTATGTATGGAGTTGGACTTTGTGGACTTCCATGATGCCTTATCGAAGTCGGGTGCAGAGTAATTAATTGGCTAGCTCGAAGCGCTTCGGGTCTAAGGGCGGATATGATTGGGCAGTCGGTCATTCCACATCTGCTCCAGGAGTTTCGCTTATGCTGTCTTTTGAAGTCACTACGGTGTTGATTTCAAGCCTGCCGCTTGAGTTATGGAGGCTGTTTGCAGTTTCCGAGATGGCTTGCTGGGGATCGATATTTTTGTACAAATGCAATCCTGAGGGCTTGGCTTGCTCCAACAGGTTTCGCTCCTGGATTTGTCGGATAAAGAGGAGTCTGCATGGAGTACGTGTATACGTGGGCATTCTAACAAGCTGGGGTAAATTATATGAATTGAATCATTCTATAATAAAACATTGGAATAATATTACTTCTTCGATGCAATACTATAGTGTCATTGATAAAAAAAATTCACTCAACCTAAATATTGTTCACGTTCTACATATACAATGGAATACTAGAGAGAATGAGATTATAATACAATTGAGAATGTAAGTTATTGAATGGATAATAAATTTAATCAAAATGTCATTGCACATATATAAAGAGCAACCAACAGGAACTATCATATGATAAATTCAAGCATATTACAGATTTATTTTCACGTAGAGAAAAAATACTTTTGACCCAGTAAAAACCAAGTGGAGATATATTTGACTCATGGGCTGAAGGGAATTAATAATGAAAAAAATCTAATACGAAGGTCATAAACAGTGGCACTCGAACTCACTAACTGTACTATAGTAGTCCAGACCAGAAAATGTTATTACATCGGCCCATAATTAATACAAATGTTCTTACAGACCAAACTCTTCATTTCATTCTGTCTGTATCAGGGTACGTTGAATTTGTTTCATTGCTCGTTATGAAAGAGAAATATTCTGCAAAAATTCATTGTCTTTTTAAATCTGGGTTTCAAAATAATCACAAGCATTTGAACGAGATGGTCATCAACAGCGACATGGACAAAGCAGCAAGACCAACAGCTCTGATGGACTTCAAATTCGAAAGCCTCTGACTTCTCCCGAACAGCTCCAAGCCCGTTCCCGTTTGCACGCTCCGCACGCATCCGCTCCAGCATCGTAGCTACAAATTGCTAGGGCCTCTCTTCATTTCTTTCATTTTCACATCGATTCAACCTAATACACAATCACGTCCGCAGTCTCGTCCTCGAGACTGCTGACGTGATTGCGGATTGCGTTAAGTTTACGTTTCTCAGAGCGGATGGTTGAGCAGCGAACGCTTAGTCGGCGGCGGATGTTTTGTATGGGGTGAGTGGAAAATTTGATCCTGGTTTCTCTTGTCATTAAACTTCAGGCTCCAGGAGTTTAAAAGTTTCTTGTGATTTTTGAGAATCTTCTCTCCTTATACTAATCCTTGTCTTGTGGTGTGCAGAACCGTGATTTCCTGCTCTGCTGTGACTTGGAAAGCTTGTTGAGAACTTGCTCCTTAGAAATCCCTTCACAGATCGGGGCAGCACTTTCTAGTTTTTTTATTACCTATTCGTTGTGATTGATTGAGATTACATTCGACGGAAGAAGAGGAGTTAATTGATATAAGTAGAATGTTGTTCCATTTAAACATTAGCCAGTTGTTTTTTATGTCAGTCAGTGATGATCTTATCTGATTTGAATTTGCAAATATTTCTTTGTTGTAAAGATATTAAAATTGGATCCGGAGACCTGAAAAGACGCGGAAAAGAATCATTAGTGCGAAAGAGTCAGACAAGATCATCATGCATTGTGGACTATAGATTGATCCGTGAATGCAAGCTGGAGTTTGTTGCAAATGTTTGAATAGGTGCATGCAACCACAATATTATCTCAATATTTTGACGCGAGCTGTTATTGTAGAAAAGTCTCATTAGTTCAGTACAAGAAAATATTAGCTCAATATTTTACAGCTAGCTGTACTTGGACAAGGGTGTAAATAGCTCATTGCAATTGAATATTAACTCAATATTTAACGCATTTTTTTGGGTTTCTGGAAAAGATCATCATGCATGAGTCTGCAATATTTGCAGACTTGTTTTTGATATGAAAATATGAAGAAATATTCAATCTCATGTGATAGCCAATTCGATTGTCCCAATATATCTCAAAAATCTTAAATAAAGATCAAAGAACCTGACAATGCTTGGATTTATCAACCCAAAGCAAAGTTGGTGATGTAAAACGACAGGATAAACCGATTTTTTTAATCTCATTTTATCATTCAGATATATGGACTGAGATGAAATATAAAGTTTATATACTAAACTCAGAAATTAATATCTTTATATTTTTGTTTTGAGAGAAACTCCTATAATTTTCTTTCAAAACTTGTTCAGTCATTCTGAACTTTTTTTGCTATTTACACTTGCTGGAAATGCCACTGGGCTTCACGCTCAGGACAAAGCAGTAAACCAAGCACTTTCATGTTGAGTCATTCTCAGATCACCACACATCTTGAAGTTAATCTCACTCACATCAACACAGAACTGGTTTCATGAAACAACACGTTTGAAAATTCTTTTAAGTACAGGCATGACGATAAATTTTAACCTTATTTTAACATGTCATTTTCTTATATCTGCTAAGTTTGGGAGATGGCTGAGTTTTTACACTATTTCTCACACATTTCATTAAGCCTTAAGTATACGTAGACTGCAATGCACAAGTAGAGTTTTAAATATCGCATGTTCATTCCAAGCACAAGTAGTGAAATCTGTGCTTGGCGGTTTGGATCCATTGCCATGGTTCTTGCTGAACATTAGGTTCACGGTGGTATTTCGATTCTGTTTTGCCTTGCGCCATTTTGAACCTTCGAAAATGTTGTTAAGGTGTGAAGACTAGGTTAAGTGTACTCCAAGAGTGCCGATTCTAATGCATTCCTACGGGAGTAGGCAGTGACACAGATTCAAAAATCAGAATCTCATTCTTTTTGCAACTGTGTTGAGCTTGTGCTAGTATTGTCAGCAATCAATTTTTCGATGATAAGATACGTTTCGTGAGCTCGGCTGAGGGAGAGGGTGCGCAGCACTTGACTAGAGGAAGAGGGCTTGTAGAAGCGCTCCCCCTCTGGTCGACTGCTATACACCTCTCCTTTCCCGACGATTTAGCCACTTAGATAATGGCTAAATGAGAGAAAGAACTAAACCGTTCAAAATTTTGTACAAAGTCGCGAAATTATATACCTCAAAAGAGAATGTGCATTCTCATATGTTCTCACTGATTTATTTTTGTAACAGGAGCAAAAATCTTTCTCAACTTTTAGGTTATAATAGACATACAACATTCTTAAATAATACTTGACTACTGTCTGGACTGTATTATGTCTTGACCTGCAATATTGACCAGCATCTTTAAATTAATCTGAAAATATTAATAGATAATTAGGAATGATAATTGTGGATGATTATCATTTATCTATTTATTTATCTTCAGGAGATACATTTTCAAGTTATTTTCTTATATTCTTTTGGTGTACATGTTTCGCCTTTTGCCGTGCAGATCTTATCAGTCAATATGATTCATAGTTCTATCTGTACATCTGCAATGTGTATGTTCTTATCCAAGAAAGAGGAAACTTCTATGCCGTCAGATGTTCATATGATTTAGGGATATATCTGGATGGAGTCAACTGATATGCACAGGAACATTACCATCCTTGACCTACTAGAGTCGTTAACATTATCAGATGCTCCGACTAGACAATAAACGAAAGATCGTCTTATAGCTACTCTTACATCAAACATTAAATGCATTACCCAAGAATGCGAGTCCAATTGTAACGTTCTCTTCCACTTGAGTAGAACCGACGAGAGGAGGAGCGTCAGATCGTGCGCTGTACGTACCTTCTTTGGCGTGCATGATTAACACATGGACGCCAAAGAATGTTTAGTTCAAAACTATTCATGCTTCCATTTATCCGGAAAACTAGTGTCATGATTAAATTTTCAATGACCAGCTGATTGTTAATGTTATGAATGGTACTTTTACTATATTACAGTTATGGACGATCGGATGTTTCCATGTAAGCTTGTGCAAAGTAAGGTCTGGACATGGGCTTACCATTAGATTATGAAGACATTCGTTAGAATATATGGTCTTGTATTTGCATGCTCTGAGGAATTCAGAAATATGTGAGTAGCCGAGAATTAATGCTATTAGGATGGACGAAGATAGATGAGGTTCATAATCTAGGAAAATATATTTAAGAACATATATTTCACAGATAAAGGCTTTTTCTACATATACTAGATTGTC